CTAACTTCCAAAACACATGCACTGCTAGGCTAGCCTGATCAAGATCTTTAGGACACAAGGTGATGGTGCTCATGGGAAATGCAGTATGCATCCCAAGAAACACTCCTGCTTTTGTCCACAGGTGCCGCCAAAATCAGTACAAAATGAAAGTTCCTTGTAGTTGCTTTATGTTTTCTTGATCATCATGTCAAACAACGTATGAATATTACTGACTGAGTCATCAGTATTATAAAACAGTCCATCCTCCCTACTCTAGGTGCATCAAGCAGCTACTCAGACATGGCAGTGAGCTTTGAGCAGTGGCCCCCAGCACCAGAGTCTACACTCAATTACTACCCCAACCATCCAGGATCCAGCTATGCTGCAGCCTACAGCCACCCAATGACATCTGAATACGCCACACAGCAGCATGACCCAGGATATGGAGACACAATGTCTCAGACATTTGTAAGAGAAATGCCTTCGTCACTGGTTTTTAACTAACATGTTCTATGTATCTGTATCATACCTTTATGATGGGTTGACCTTTCTGAACTGCATTCCTCTGAGCAGGAGGGCTCGATGACGGTCGCTGATCCCAACATGGTATCGCCTTGGTCATTTCTGGGTCCCAGTCAGGCTGCACAGCTGAGTTTTGGTTCGTCGTTGGACGCCACCAAGTTGGAGGAGGCCAGGATGCTGCTCAACGGGATGGACTACAGCAGAGCCACTGGGCAAGATGAAGATGGAGACACGTGAGTGCTTATGAGTGAGTGCATGTGCTTGAGAATGTGGTGTGTGGTTTATATGTGTTTCAGTATATCTGCTAGAGAGGCTGAAGAAAAAGAATATAAATAACTGACATGTATGGGCTACTCATTTTTCTTTGAATGCAAGATGACACTGATAGTACACACACACAGCTGACATTACAGTCTTGTGTGAATGTGCATGAGCACACAATTTATTTACTTCCATTGGAGTTTCGTTTTCAGTCACATGCTAAAAGTGAGAGCCACATGTGCAGCTTGGTAATCCTAGAAAGATTAAGAAAACCAAAATATATCAATGAGTCAGCCGATCATGCTCGATGATTAGAAACTCAGATAATACGAAAGGACATACTCAACTGTGAAAGGGGAATAGTGTGAAATTGGTTGTGGGGATTACGGCGATTTTCCAGCCTCGTTTAAAACTGATTTATCTTGTGCTCTTGTTCTGTCAGCATCCTGCACATCTACACTGCCAAGGGGCTCAGGGAGTGTGCCTATGCTGCTGCAGAGAGGCTGAGAGATGTAGACAGGCTTGATGCCAAAGAACACAAGGGAAAGGTATGAACAAAAACATCTTCCAAAGGGTGCAAATTGCTCTACTTTTTTTAATCACAAACATTAGCACAGGATTATTCTTCTCTAAATAAATGTGTGTAACGAATGTGCTTGTGCAGACTGCTTTACTGGTGGCGGTGACAGCAAACCAGCCGGAGATTGTGCAAGATCTGCTGTCGTTTGGAGCTGACATCAATGCCTGTGATGTTAAAGGACAGACTGCCCTTCATCTGGCTGCCCACTATGGCTTACCTGGAGTGTTGCGGGTAAAGCAACAGCAGCACTGAGTTACTGAGTTACAGAGAAGTTGGTAATATGGAGCTGATCTTAACAATGATTCCTTTTTGTAGGCAATTCTGTCAAGCAGGCCGGCTGTCAACCTGGAGGCTCGCAACTTTGAGGGTAATTTAATGTTTTACAATGGTTAAACTAGCCATATGTTAGAATTTTTAACAAGTTTTAGCACCAATTACAAAATATTTACATGATTAGAGCCTTAATTTAAATCTTGCATGTGTCTTCTTCTTTTCCTCAGGTATGACTCCTCTGCACTGTGCAGCCATTTCGCACAGTGTCACCATGAAGGCGCTGTCCAGCAGTGGGATGCAAGATATTAATCTTCGGCCCAAGGCTATGGAGAAGCTCTCCTGTGTGGAGATGCTTCTCAGCGCGGGGGCGTCCCTACTCAGTCAGGTGCAGTACAGCTCTTACTTTTCTCAGTGTCATGTAAACTGCCTTGCTGAGTAATGGGCCAAGATCCATAGATGTGTCACAATAGGTGAATGAATGGACAAATTAGTGGCCACAATCAGAAACAGAAAGCATCAAAGCTGAATATGCTAATCACTGACCCATGGGAGAATTACTGAACAGGCTTACTGAGCACAGGCCCAGGGCTCTTAGAGTTTATCCTTCACCTGCACAAAATCACTCAAAGAGACATGTATCGACCAAGAAGAGACTCAAAATGACCTCAAGGAACCCCAAAATGACCACAAAGAGACACACAGAGACTCACAATGACTATAAAAAGAGGCAAAACAACCACAAAGAGACACAAATGAGTAGAAAGACATCTAAACCACAGAGAGATGCTTAATGACTACAAAGAAATGCAAAACAACAACAAAAAGAGGCTTGCTTATATGTAGGAGAGGTGACGGGGCCCTCTGCATATCTGTGTCCAGGGGCTGATTGTCTCACAATTCACCCATACACCTGACCTTTCAGTCAAAGTACACACTTCATAGGGGAAGTGCCCTGGTTTGATCTAACCATGATGATGTCATCGTACTTGCCATTTCCCTTTTTTACTCTTACATCACATTCAATTCTCCAATTCCAGGAAATCAAAAGTAACAAGACCGTGCTGCACTTGGCAGTAAAGGAGGGGAACATCGATCTGGTGACCTATCTGCTGAGGATTCCCCTGCCCAACATGAAAGACTTTGTCAACTTGAAAGTGAGTCCGACACTGACACAGAACTCATAACTGGATATTACATGCGCATGTGGGTTTATGTGCATGTACAAGTATGTGTACTGTTTACATACCTGACTATAAACAGTCTGAGTCATGCTGCATTTTTCCCTTTTTGCCACAGGCGCATGGTCACACAGCTTTACACATGGCAGCTGGTCTCCATGGTAACCCCCACCAGGAGGAGATCCTGCAGCTGCTGCTGCGCAGAGGAGCTGATCCCAGTATCCGCAACCTGGAGAACGACCAGCCAGCTCACCTGCTGCAGAGCGGCCTCCAGGGAGAGCAGGTGAGCAGCCCAGAATTTTAAACAGTCAGCCAGCCAGATATGAAATGTTTTAGTCCTGCTGTTTCTGTTTTTATCAAGGGCAATTCATTATCATCTTAATTTATGTTTCACTTTCTAGCTCAAGCTCATGCTGAAGAAACGGAGCGCTTCCTCTCGGCGACGTGTTGTGTCCTCGCAGGACCAGGAATGATTTTAAAAATCCCCACTTGTAATCCCCATTTGGAGGGAAAGAATCTGTCTTAAGATGTTGCCTCTGTTAAGAAGGGGATTTACAGTTTATTGTTATGTTGCTTTGGGAGTCTCTGGCCCTAAATATTGTTAACAAACTACTTTGGCATATTAATCTCTAGATATAATTCACATTGGATTAGACAAATGATGCTTTAATGCACAAAGCTTAAATTACCTGTGATTTAGTGTCTGTAAAAAAAGCTTTATTTATTTTAATATGCACAGGGTGAAGTATTCATGTGTAGGCGAAGCATTTCATTCCAAAATGTGATCACCTCCATTGGACCTTTTCACAAATTAGCACTCAGATCTCAAATTCTGACTATTAGAGGCATTTTAATTTTTGTCAGAATGGATATTTAACATTTTTAGATGAGAGCCTTTAAAGCTGTAGTTGCTAACTTTAATAACATAACTTTTAACCACATTTGCTGAAACTGTCACTATATCTGCACAGTAGTTCACGAAACAGACAATAATGGCATTTACTAGAATTTACCTCGGCTGAAGGAAAATGACCAATCAGAGCCGAGGAGTCTCAACACAGCTGTCAATCATGTCTATCACACCTCGTGAACTATGGTCAAACTGTCAAACTAGGCAGCGCTGATCAAATATGGATCAAGATTCTGTCTCTGCATTGCCTATTACTCACCTCAGATGTTCTCAGTAACATATTTTAGTGTACTGTTTAGCTGTAAAACGAGAAACCGTGCTCCGACTCTCATTTTACAGCTAAACAGTACACTAAAATGTGTTTCTGAGAACATTTGAGGTGAGTAATAGGCTTTGCAGAGGCAGAATCTTGATCCATTTGATCCACACTACATAGTTTGACAGTTTGACCAAAGTTCCCGTGCAGCGATTGACAGCTGTGTTAGAGAGTCCTCGGTTTATCATTAATTAATGTGTGGTATAAGGAGGCAGATGAATATGATTTTTTTCCACAGATCATCTGACTCATGTACAACTGTGTGGATATAGTGACTCTTCAGCAGACATAATAAAAGTTTTCTTATCAAAGTTACCAGCTACAGCTCTAAACAAATGGAAAGAAAGAGCATTAGTTATCTTTAAACAGCAGAAGGTATAGACGTCGCTGCGGAAGGTGGAGTAGTATTCATCTTCGTAATGGGCCACACTCCCAGTTTAATGTTGATTTCTGTGAAATCGTTTGTATGACCTCCAGGACAATGTCCCTGAAACCCCTCTGACTCTCTTGTCAAAACCCCCATCATACTAAGTTATCATATTGATACACTGAGTGATGGTTTTGATTTCAGTCAGCATGTGTGCTTATGTTAAGAATGCGTGTGTTAACAAAAACAAAAACAAAAAACTGAATCACATAAGTTAACTTTCTCTCTGTATGCATCATACTTACATGGGTAACATCAAGTACAATTTTTCTTTGTGGAAAAAGCGACTTGACAGTGTGTAAAGCTATTATGTACTTGAAACTTGATTGTGACAAAGAATGTGTTTATCACAGAGACATTACGTGAGTAGGTGCGGTGACAAATTGTCTGAGTAACTGTACATTTTAGTCATGAGTCATGAATAAAAGTACAATAACACTGTATTCAAAGTTCCATCTGAATGTTTTGATGTTCAGGGCATCCTTTGAACAGTCACATTTAACATTTGGCCACAGAAATTACCATGATGGAAAACATACCATCCCACCAGAAAGTGATGGTGTAAAGAATTTTTATTTTTCAAGCCCATTTTCCACCATCACAATGAATGTTAGTCACAAAGGTCTGAAATAAGGTCTGAGTTGTGTGTCACATATGTGTCATCTCTGCTGAATTCCCATAAAGCACAAAAGAAAGATCAATCTCATGAGTAAACGACATATTGTCTTATTTCTACATTACATTTACATCACTTTAAGATATATATAACGTTAAGAACAAGTTCATTATAAACTGATAAAACCACGTTGAGTAGACAAGACCTTTATTTGAAACAGCGGCCTCATTTTTCAGCTTTACAGGTAATACATTTTAATTTGTAATACCATTGCCTTTGAATTTAATAGAAGAAATTACTACTAATAAAACAAATACACATTTCATCTATTGTAATATTGATCAAAGCATTTTCAAAATAAAATACATTGCTAAACATTGTCTTATATTTTATTGTAGCCACTTGTTTTTTGCCTATTCTTATCAGTGTCTTCATCATTTTGTCATGCTGAATAAACAAGATACCAACAAAAAAATTAAGAAAGATAAAGGCATAAGATAACTGTTACAACTGATCAATGCATGCGTTTTTTTGTTTTGACCTGGAGATGTACTCTATAAATATTTAATCATGCTATTAATTTTATTGCTCTACATGAGTACAATGTAAGAGAACGATTGTTGCTTTTTTAAAATTAAAAGTACCTCATCAAGTCTCATGTTTGAGTGTTTTTCCTTTTTTTTCCCCCTTCTTTTATTCCCACTCAATTTGGAGCCATCTTTAGATACATACACAGTACATTGCTATTATTGTAAGACTCTCTACAGAATTCAGTGGGAGGCTCAATGAAACCAGGTCAGGATGTGTTGGAAAACCCTGTATATTGATCATCCAGCTGGCTGAGGTATATTAGCCATAACAGGGATGGCCATAAACAACCAGTGTTTGTGTGTTTTCGCTGGCGGGGTTCCTGTGACAACTTCTTCCCCTTTCAAGTGTTATATTTTCTATACACTTTGAGGAGGCACTGGAGAAGAAAAGAAAATAAATCAGAGGGAACAGCAGAGAGGAAGTGATCATTATTGAGCTGCACATAATGATCCTAATCAGTAAAGTGAACTTACCCTCTGTCTTTGGTATTTGGGTACCAGAGGAGCTGGAACTGCAAACAGAAATAATGACATCAGTGGACATTTGTGTTGTTTTAATCCATTCAAGATGGCTGATTATTAAATATAGTTTGAAACCTGTTGCCACAACTTCAACCTGGAGCTAGATTTGATTATAGCTATAATCAGGCTCCAGGAGCAGTTGAAGCCACAGGGTTCTGAGGTGTAACTACAGACCAATATGCAGCTTTGTGTCCCGTTCAAACAGCAGCTTTTGCCTCTCTTCACTTTTTTTTGCCATACAAGCGGCATGCGATAATATCATATCACTGCCCACTCACTACCAACACATGAGGAGTGTGATGCATACATTTTTAGAGCAAGCACCGAGATAAAGGGAAGATCAAAGCGCTGCCCACATATGATTTGCCACACACGGTTCTGCGTAAAACTCTTTTATGTGTTGGGAGTGTGTTTTGGGTTGAGTGTGCAGAACAAGGAAGGGGGTATTCAGAGAAAAGGCATCCAGGGCAGGGATAGGAAAAGGCTGTGGGAAACTCAGTTATAGTCAAAAAACAATAGTGGAACAGATTTCCACCCTGGTTGGGTATCCCCTTCAAGTCAGATTCATACAGCATGCACAGGCGCATCATCCACTAAGCTTTACACAACTCTTACTTGGATGAGGATTTTACACATTTTGTGAATTTTTTACCTGTTTGAGGAATCATAGATTAGTTACAAAGGTAAAGGTGCTCATGTAATAAAGCCTCTTTATTCAAGTGATATGTAAGAGAAGGTCTAAACTTACTGAGGGCTATTAAAATGCCAGAGACAAACATGACTACAGCGAGGACAACACCTGTGGTCCGCAGTGTCTCATAATCTACAAGGGGCAAAACCGTATGGGACTTATTGGAGTTTCTGATGAACTTAATACATACTGTTCTAGAAAATTTCACAATTGAACATGGTGCTTGTGATTTTAGTAGCAGATGGTGTGAATCTTACCATAGTCAAAGTCACTTCGGTCTGGGAACATTGATTCTGCAAAGAAAGAGTCCAGTCAGTTACAGAGAACATAATAAAAGTGTTATGTTGACTGCAGCAGTGACCTTTATCAGTGTGTGTTCAGTCCAGCACTACGGACAGCAAGGTTTGCAGCTCCCCAGATCTGCAGGCTTGGCTCCACAGCTCCTCAGGAGTATTTTTTTTCTCCACTGAGAGGAGCTCAATGCAGCATCTTTGCTCAGCAGAAAAAGATGCACCATGAAAAAGTGGGTTACAAGCCAGCTGCATGATACAGCACAGGGGTATCATCACAGCAGCAGAGGAAACAGAGAGCTTGAATAGTAAAAAGAAACTGATCAAAGGGTGACTTGCAGCTTTAGAAGCCACTGCTGTGTTTAATTTTAATGCAAAACTCTGAACTAATACAGTGATTGATTTGGCAAATGTAAGGGTGTTTCAGGCTGCAGCCTGTGCCAGATTGATGGACTATCTGAGCGTCAATAATGCGGCTTGCATGTTGCTGAACCCTCACTCCCAAGTGGCTGAGCCAGCACTTTGCATTTCTTTCCACTGTTTCTTTTTGCCACAAAGGCTGCCCAGTTTGAGAGAAACAAGCGACAAACATCTTTAGTACTTCTTATCTGTTCATCAAAGGGAGTTCACTGAAGAACTCCCTTTGTCACAACACTGATACATGCATCAGCAGTAAAGTGGCTGCTGGCACTGAAGCAACGATGCAGCAGGCTAATTTACAACATAAAGAAAGGTATGGAAACAAAACATTTGACTCATCCAAATTAAAAGACAAATCACAAAATGATCACACATATAACAACCTAACAAGTCATTCTTTCTCAACTCTGTATAGCTCACAGCTGTTTCACAAATGTTACACCCTTTAACAACCCATAAAAGAAAACTATCAAACCTGTGGTGGCCATGGCTGCACTGCAGAGATGTAGAAGCGCTCCGTCTCCCAGATATTTAGCAGCTTGCTGGGTTGCAGTTTAAGGGTGGATGTGGAGCAAGGTAGCTGGACAGGACAGCATGCAGAACCCTCTCTATAAACTCAGCAGGGACCCTCTGGTGGCCGCAGCGAAACATTGCACTCACAGAGGTGGGGGTGCTTCTGTAGGCTGAATGTGGACTACAGGGGGTAGTGGGTCGCTACAGTAGCCTAAAATTGTAATAAATAGTAGTAAACAGCTAATGTAATTTTACATTTTACAACAGTCTTGTGTGGTGTGTGTGAGTGTATGATGGAGGTGTGCATGTGTAAAAAAATGAAGATATTAGGATTGTTTCAATAATTTGTCTCTGAATATGATCTATATAAATATTGCTTGCATGTTTCAAATGCACCAGCCTCTATCCCATGTGTTGTCTTTTGTGCAGTGCGGTCAGCCCGTTCCTGCAACTCCAGCCCAAAAAATACAGCCTGCATATGCAGCTTTGACATTCTGCCAGACTCACTACAGTTGAACATCTGCCAATAAACCAGCCCTGAACACAGAGATAGGTAAAATTAAGAGTGTTTTTCTTTTCTTTTTTTTTTTTAAAGACAATCTCCTCCAAGTGCTGCACAATGCAGCACATAAATCATTCACACCCTCACCGCTGGTAGTTACTACTGCATGTGTAACTGAACTGTCTGCAGCGTCAGCAGCAGGAGTGCAGCATACGAGAGGGCTGTTCGATGCTCTACTACTAATGGCAGAGAAAATGAAATAATGGTGCATTAGAAGAAAAAAGACAGAAATCTTTTCATACATTTGTTTATTCTTATGCATTTGTCGAACATCACAAAAAAATACAAACAATAATCACACTATTGCTACCATATAAAGTCGGCATATCATGACACTAATAACACTTATTGATGGAAAAAACATTACAAAAGAAAGGAGCAAAGTAACATTGTGAAATTATGAAATTGAAGAAAGCTTCTTGTGTCCATGGAAAGATTGTCCTCAGCTGTGATCAAGGTATTTGCTGCCACCTAATGGCAAACAGTCAGCAACACTGTGGAGATGGGAGAGAGGATACGTTTGATTTGTTCTGACACTATTTCTGCGTTCCAATATCCAAACTACCATACTACTGAGTATACCAGAAAAAGATTTACTATGTCCTGCTATGTAGTATGTCAAATGCAGAATGCCAAAACACCAGGATGCTTTTCTGGCTATTCTGACCCACAAGTTTTCTTTTTACTTCAAATGTTGTGCTACAGATGGTCATCAGAGTTCAAGTTGCAATATTTTAACATAGTAGTATGTCCCAGTTGTATGTGTACTCCTTGCAACAGTGTATACTTTGTACGGGCAGCCGCAGTATCTACTTGAGGTTAAACAGAAACAGTATGTGATTCAGAACTAGCTAATCTGTTTTAGCTTCCTTTTGTAGGAAATACATTCAGATGTTTAAATGACACTTACCAGACCTCCACTGCTCTTTGCCTTCATGCCCACTAAGCTGCAGGAAAAGTTTTAGGTTACTGTTTTATAAAAAAAGTAAATAAAATGGCAAGACATCTGCTTAATATGCATTTAACATTCATAGTAATTATTATAGAAGAAACATTTACCCCTTGGAACACCTGACTCTGCATCAGGACCCCTGGACCTGAGGAAGAGTTTGATAATGAAAGGTAAAATGAACATATTCTTATCCGTTTTACAGAAAACAAACATTCTTTTTCTTTACAGAAGATATACTTACCTTGACTTGTCACTGTTTGAGCAGGTGCATTTTCTGGCTGTTTTTAAGAGAAACACACACACAAAAAAAGAGTTATAAGTATCTAAACCTGTGATTTTCCATTGAACAAAAGGGTCATTACACATTATAAATAGAAATGTATGCAGCTATAACAGTCTGCAGTGTACCCCATAACCCCCATCCAACCCCCCCTTGAGTACTAAAAGAGGAAGAGGTTGCTCCAAGCCTTGATAGGTACATGATTACAGTCTTGAGCTAGTGCCAACAAACCCATCTGGGCTCAAAGCCTTAGGAGGCCTCATAAGCTTGCAGCTTACTGGCCCGAGCACTTGCATAAGCAGATTTGATTCATGTACCTGAATCACAGCTAAATTCAGTTGTTTAACTTTGGCCAAAATGCAGGAGTCAGTGTGTTGAATAACTTCCAGCTAGCTGCATTTATATCACGTGGAAGTCTACAAGAGTTTTAATCTCTTTGGTTATGTCTTTCAGGCTCACTTCAGTTGGTCTATAAACATTATAGAGGCACATTCACAAAACATTTTCAGCGTCTCCATTTGCTTTCTTTCAAGTCACCAACAGTGTCCATATCCAGTATATGGATATACTATGCAGCATTAGTTCAGATGCCCTACAAGTCTTCATTCAGACAAATTAAAATGTGATTAAAAGTAGAGCTGTTCGCTTTATAAATATTCTGTTAATATGGCCTGAATGCTCTTTTCTGTAATTGGTCTTTTATTGAAGGATAAAACCTAAAGTGAAGCCGTCTATTTGGCCGCAGACAGGCTTACACATGTGAGCAGCGTCATGTAGGTTAATGTTGTTAAAACTGTGTAAAGGATTATCTGCACCGTGCAGGGTTTCTCAATAAGGCCAGCTGAACTTCATGGTCGACCTCTTGAAACAGCTCTCAGATATCAAAGTAGTCTCGAATCTCAGCTTCTCTGAAAACTGAAGAAAACTTTATGTAGTAATGTGTTTTTATCATCTTCTATAAAAAGATACAGCCAGTCATAGCTTTGATTGAGAATGTGCTCACAAACAGAAACCACCTGAAGTGCTGACTAAGACACACACTTGCTAGAATAACTGATGTAACTGGAAAAATAGCTGATCTATCCCAGACCTGACTGGTGACCTACATACACGCAGGACTAAGAATAAAGCTGAGAGCATCTTGAAAGATAACACTCAACTTTTATTCACTTGCTCTGACAATAGGAGGCGCCAAAGGGTGTCTTTTAAAAATCAATGATGTTTTAGCTGCAACCAAACATAAGGAGGGCAAACCCTGGAAGTTTATTTTTATGCTCTGCCTGTAGGAGCCTGTAAGTGTTTGATGTCACACTTTCACAAGTGCAGATTAAATCAAGATGTTTCCTCAATCAAACAGATGTTATGCTTTCGTCAGTTGAGCAGTATTTTGCGCAACCATTTGGCACTGTTAAAAGCCTAAAAGGCCTAATTGGTATCTTTTAAAACCATATAAAGTTAAACTATATTTACACCTAATGTAAGGGGTTTTTTTGAGTTAAAAAATGGAAAAATCAGTCACAGGGTTCTTACAGCTTAAGGCAAGTTAGATGTAAGACTTTTAAAGACTTTTTAATTCCACTTTGAATAAAAGTTTAAGACTAATTTTGTTAAATCAATTACTGAGGGTTAGTTACAGTTTTGCCCAAATGTTTCCTGTATTATAAAACATTGTTTTTTTGTGTTGTGGCCAAGACATGGGTGGAACAGAAGTGAGAAATATTGCGGCATTTGTTGATGGGTTTTCTGGGTGATTTTGTGTTTCTCACTCTGCGTGTGGGAATCCACTTTTTTTTTTGGGGGGGGGGGGGATTTTTTATTTTAAACACAACTTGCAGGTTTACATTCAACAATAACTGTTGTCCATATCACAGCACATGTAGATATAGATATCAGGGCAATGACAGTTGAATGAACAAAGCATGGCATAAAAAGAAAAAAAAAAAGAAAACAAAAAACCTTATTCCACTGCCTTGATTCCCATCATGATGAGTTAGAAAAACTTTTTGCATAAAGTATATGGAGCGTCGTATGCATGCCTTGTAGCGTTTCAGCCATGCTGTGAAATCTTGGTGAAATAGTACATTTTCGCTGAGCTTGAACTTCTTCATGTCATCTGGGATACAGGGACAGCTAGATAGCAGGGAATGGATCCTCTGCTCTGAGCATAGTAGCAAGAGGCATTCAGTAAATTAAATATGTCTATATAAAAAATACAAGATACCAATGATTTTACTATGCAACATCAGACAAAAAAATGATTCATAAAATTGTACTTTCCATGTCTTAGCATTTGTAGGGCATTCTAAAGATTGATTTTGGACATTTTAATATCAATTAGGGCCTTATGTTTAGATTAATGAATTCAATACCTTTTAAGACTTTTGAAGGATCCGTGGGAACCCTGAGTATTTTGTGTTGCTCGAGCACAGTTGAAAACTGGAGAACGGATTACAGATGTAAACAAACTGTTCCAGGAAGAAAACATTCAGTTGTGGCAGTGTGACAACCCATTTACATTTTGATGTCAGATTACACCTTTCAAAGCCAATTCATTAAATTCAAACACACTTTCATCCCGTTTTTTTTTTTTTTTTTTTTATCATTTTAGTGTAATGCAACCACTCCACTGAGGGCAGTTAGAAATCCACAGTGATCTGGACTAACAGAGGCAGAGTCGCAGAGTGTGTGGGTCCCTATGAATTATTTATTGGTTGGTTTTGGTTTCAGGGCTACCACTGGCGGTGACAGCATGTGCTGGCAGTTGAGGAGGAGGGACCTTGGAAGGACATAAGTGAGGAAAGGGAGAAGGTATAAAGGGCAAATTGCTGCATCGCACAGATCATGAGAGCGTTGAGTGCCGAGATTGTGCAAGATGCATCAGTGCGCCTCCCTTAAAGACCTCTGGGAGAGACAGACGCTTGCTTGTTATGGGAGACCGCGAGGTCAACTCACACGTATACAGGGATCACAGTGTGGTGACACGGAGACTCAGCACTGCACATCCACCGTGTACTTAAGGTGGTCGAACACTTACTGACAATGAGGGCGATACCCATGAGGAACAGCACCACTGCGAAAACCAGGCCACCGATTCTCAGGGATTCATAATCTGAAACAAGAGAAGGACTTTATGATGCTTGATGGTGACATGTGAATGTTGTGTAGTACAGAATACCACATTCTGATTCATGAGCAGCATTGCAGAAACATCCCGCAGCCCCCAAATGGTCATGGGACACCACAAATTCCTGTGAGCTGCGGTCACCCAAACTGTTAACACTATAGTCAACTTTAACTCTGTTGTTGGTTCTCTCAGTGACGCTGGACACCGTTGTGTAGAAGAAGTAGGACATGTCTGTGTTTCCGTTGGTTGCAACAGAGTCAAGGCAGCAGTAAATGTGACGGGGACACTGCCTGCTTGTTTACTGGTAATCCTAAAGCCTCCCAACTAAAATGCTAGCATCATCTCATGTTTCTGTTTTCACCAACATAGAGAGGGTCACAGCTTTGTTTACATGCATCTAACACTGCCTTGTCTAGTTAGCTGGTTAACTATCAATATGGCCACTCACTGCAGGCGTTGGCACAACCATAGCAAATAAACAATTTTTTCCTGAATTAACTTGTATTTTAAGTCAAAAGGGTACAAGTACAAATTGTCTGCTGTTAGTTTTTCAGCTGCCAGCAGTTCTTTAGAGCAGTTCCTAACCTTTTTGGCTTGTGACCCCTTTAAATGAAGTATTGTCTGCTTGAGATCTCTTGCAAACACATTCACCTAGGGCTGCACAATATTGATTTGTTTTTCATAAACGCAATGTCAAACTGCGAAATAAACAAATTGTGAAAGCCTCAGGGATTTTTGAGAGAGAGTCAGTACTAAACTGCACTTAATATAACAATTATTCTTTTTTTATCAGCCCTTTTTCTGTTCAATGCTCAGTTACTTCAATAAAATAATGCTGGAAAAATTTTAAATTTTTTACATCCAACAACTTATTTGTTTATTTCAGCAGTGAAAGCAGCAGAAAGGCAGAACTGAGTAGGCTACTATTAATTGACCATTTATTTACTGCAAGTAATATCATTATCAAAATATTCATTTTTATTGCATGTCACACATAAAACGTCAGCTACGGGGTGTTTAAAGAAGCAGAGTGATGTTCAGAGCATATGCTTCAAAGTCTGGGGCGGGATTGTCCACACACAGATCTCAACATGGAGGTGGCAGTCGGCAGCTAGCAGTGCTAACTCAAAAACGGCAACAGTGCTGACAGAGCTATCAAATTTAACCAGGGAGAACTGGAGGTGGGCATTACACTTCTGCACTGATGCTGTCCCAACGTCTGTGATAGCCACTGTATAATCACAGTGCAGAGTGGCTGTGGTGAGCTAGCCAATGGGATACATGCGCTAACATGCACATGCAGCCAGACCGTCTACCACAACAGAGAGGCTCAGATTATAACACACACAGAGGTAGTGTGACCTCATGCTCTGCTCAGGGCACCATTATTTCACTTTATCTTCACAATACAAATAGTGGTTTGCTGCCAGGTTAATGCTCTGAATGTCTTTTAAGCCCCTTTGCTGCTACGGAAGCCCTGAAGGAGATTTAGTACCCCAACCTTCAAGAGAAAAAATAGATAAAACCAGTAAAAAAACATACTTTTGTGTAATAGAAGTATTTTTTTCTTTCTTGTCCCTGTTCATAAATTGTGATCCCTCAGATTTATCTTTGGACCTACTGAGGAGTCCCGACTCCCAGGCTGGGAACCACTGCTTTAGGGGACTTCAAATAGGGCGTATATGATGGTCAGAATGGTACTACCAAAAACTGCCTGTTGCCCAAATGAATTAAAAGATAACAACCACTACACTGATAGTAGGTATTCATAACATATCAATGCAGATTTCAAGTCATACTGTGATTTTTGGTGCCTTAGATGGACTGAAAATCAGGCCCATGACACTCCGGACAGGATTAGAAATATTCACAGTGGGACTACTTCAGAAATGTGGCCTTCAGGGTGACAGTTTTCCATCACTTATGGAAAAACAAGTGAAAAATGCCTCGTCCCGACCTCTCAGATGTTTCCTGTGTAGAGGGTCGGCCATTAAAAGCCTGCGTTCATCTGCTAAACACTCACCGTAATCAAAAGCACTGTCATAGTCTGCTAGGAGAGAACAGAGAGAGAGGAAACAAATGAGAAGCAGATTTACCCACTGACACACTTCAGAGAGCACTCATGATATGACAGCTATTCAGCACTTTTAGCGCCTCAGTCATCCATCTAGTCATTAGCCAGTTTGGTGCCAGTGCCAATTTATATGCCAGCTAAAATGAGTGTGCAGCTTATCTTAATTTGACTTTTCTAAGCGTCTGTTCAAATAATACCCACCTTTGTCCTCATCTGCCGCTGAGGCTGTGGGGAAAAAAGCAAAAAATCATTAGTCTTTATAATACATTCACATGGTGGTATGAGCGCATGTCAGCAAGTGGCAGAACTGATGGTGGCGGGGTAAATTCACTCTGTGGAGAGGCCCAAAAGGTTAGTATCAAAGCCAAATTTGTATTTATGTAAAAGTTTAATGATAAAAATATTACAAAATCAAACTGCAAAAGAGCTCAAAATAAGCCAAACTTCATGATTCTACTCTCCCTACCTTTCTTTACCTACTAGGCTTAGGAGATATCAAGGTATTATTGTATGCTGAGGTATTTAGAAATCCTGAAGGTATGATTTGAATACAGTCAAAAATCCACACACTCCTGTTTCTTTCAAATTGAAACGGAGATGCTGTATCGAGGCGATGTACTGCAGTGCACAGCACACACCACCAGAGGTCAGTCTCTACTGTTGGAGCAGGCAGCCAAGCTGAGAGGGAAGACGACTGTGAGTGGCGGGGATAACGTTACAGAACAAGTACAAAGGAGAAATGCCTCTGCCCGTGGTTGGGAGTATCGCCACATATAACTTATGTCAGCTTAGAAAGTAATTTAATTGCCACATGATTTTATTCAACACATCTCCATTTAGCCCACTGATGTACCACAGGTCCGTTTCCTCTCTATTCATTACTTTATGGGCCATAAGTATTTAAACCCAGCAAGACTAAGTTGGCTACTTGCGTATTAGAAACACAGAAATGTAGACCAGACAATGTCATACATGATACAGTTACTTTTTGTTTAGTACACAAATACGTGGCCCACAGACATAAAGATACAGATATGAAGTTGCAAATAGAAATCTCCCAAGCCTATTACATACTGTGTATTTACTGTATAGCAATGATCTTTGTTACTCTGTGTGCTGTCGGAGATGTGGGAAAGTAAAGACCTCTGTGCTCCTTCACATCTCTTCTCCCATGTGGAAACACATGTTGGCCGCATTCACGTTGCGCTCCAGTCTTTTACATCTGACAAGAAAGCCTACTGTTCTTGGTAACGAGCTAAATCACAATTTCTGCCTCATGTTCGTCAAGAAAACAACCACAATAATTAAAACAGACAGCTTCACTTGGTGTAATAATAAAGACACAAAGCAGACATTGTTTACATGAGCATCGGTGTTTGGAGCGAGAACAATTTAACCTTGGAGCAGCACACTGAATGTTACATAAACACATTTCTACTTGCGCTCGGAAACATTTCACATCATTAATGCGTTATTGTTTTAACAGCTCTCATTAAAATGTTCAACAGACTGTGAGCAGAATTTTAAATGTCAGTCAGTCACAGTAGTTCTGCTTGTGTGGAAACTTTGACAACTGATGCTGAATGAAGTAAAATGAAAATCTGTAAGTATAAGTACACTTGAAGTGTAAGTTTGCCTGTTGCACCTTGTTATTACAGCTCATCAACATATGTTTAGATACTAAGTGTTGACACCAAGAGCCAGAATCATGTCCTTGATGTTCATTATTCAATAAAGTCTGACATAGCTGCTACACATGAGTATGATACAAGAATAATACCGAATATTTTATACACTCCACATCCCATTTACTGCAGAGTAAGGGTAGAGTGCTAGAGTTGACTTTGACCTCATTATCAGGCAGTAAATACTGTCAGTCTCTTTCTCTCCATGAAGCAAAAACACATTTTATCATATCCGTGCTGACGAGCCTTTGAAAATAAGGTCAGACTCAAACAGACCTGAGTGTCAGAGAGGATAAAATAAACCTTAGTGTACGCAAATCTGCTTAACATCAAGCTCAACTGATGGCATGCAGGGCGCACAGAGAAACGAACCAAAGACCAGCACCTGCATTAACAATGAAAAACTTGGAAGCAGGCAGAATAAGTGATTATTCAAACTGCAGTGTGAGGAAACATTTACACTATTCTGACATGGCCTTTTCTCACAGCAAACACACTGACAAAAAAAATGATTTAAAATGGAAAATATTAAATGGAAATCACACTGAAAATAGTATCGCTGCGATGCTAACCGTAAGACAAGACATTTTATATACAAAAAGAGCACATGGCAAGCAGCCATACCAAATAGCTGAGCAGAAATCAAACGGCCGAGCATTGCCAGTAACCACTCTAATGCAACTTACCAAACACTTCCCTGCCAAACGCTGATCCTGTTATACAGACACATCAGTTTGTTTAGCGTGGAGGAACTTAAACACAACCAAAGCTACAGAAAGGGGAAGCTACTGACGTACACCACGCTCACACCGATCAGTCTGAATCAGAGGGAACAACGTCAAGCAACTCAACGTTTAGTGAAACAGATGCTCACCAAGTGCAGGAGCCACCCAGGAGCTGAACGCCACCAATACCACAAGATCCATTATGCCTGCTGATAAGAAACAAACAGGAAAAAGTACATTAAAGAGAAGTAATTAATGTGCTCACATGTTGGAGTGGTTGCTGTTAGATGAGGATAATGTGCAGGGGTGACAGGAAGTTGAGGCCTTGTTTTTCATGTGATTTACAGATAAACATTGTAACTCACTGACTCCCGTCAGACTAAAATAACTCTGCAACCTAAACCGCCTCGCTGAGAACAGAGAGAAGCTTGTTTTCAAAGTCTTTAGCAGCTCCCCTCTAATACCTCCAAGAGCCAGTTATGGTTAGGCAGGACTAGTTGATTTGCAGAACAGTAAGGGATCAGAAATGGAGGGACTGGCTTTATTCACCAACTTGTTTTTCAGTCTATGATTTATAAACTGCAGCTTAAAATGAAATTGTTAAAGCACAATGAGAAGTCAAAATTAAAGCTAGAGACACCCTGACTTTTAGTTCCCTCTACATAGAGCTGCAACAATTAACCAATTTGTTGTCAACTATTACATTAATAGCCAACTGATCTGATAATTAATTATATTGGAAAAAGAAAATTCACTGATTCTAGCTTCCTAACCTCCTGAGACACTTTTTCTTTGAACAGTAAGTCATTAGTTAAAAATGTTTTCCTCATATGGGGACACAAGTGTGTAATAAAATTTTCAGTGCCTGTAAATGATTGTGCAAAAACAAAATTACAAACAATGTAACATTCGTTCAATGCTTTGAAACTCATTCAGTTTGGGGCCACTGTTCAATACTAAATCTGCTCAAAACTGTTCGTTTCAACCCCTGAACGTGGCTGTGCAACAGCAAGTTTGCTACGACAGCAACACATCTAAAAACCTTGTGATTTGTTGTTTTGAATTTTCCTTGCTCTACATTCCAAGCTAGAAAGTCCTTTTGGTCTGTGGGAACAGTCGGTCACACCCAATTGGCTTGTGTGATGCTGTGATAATAAAAAAAATAAAGTCCCATTCTAATTAAAAGTGTCTTAGCTTGTTACTGTTACTAAAATTGGTTAAATTTGTGTGCCATATCAAACTACAAACATTATCAAGCATACATAAACAGGTTTCAACCACAAATTTTGATCAGGTTTTGTGTCTTGTCCACTTTTGTGTTGGGATCAGCTGCAGACTGTTTTTACATGGATTAGTGTATTGTGCTCTTATCACCTCTAGATGGCACTAAAAAGTGTCCACAGACTAGAACAACAGGTCATTCTTAGGCAGAATGAAGTATAAGGTTCGGAAACCCAAAATTTGATATCCCCATATGACGCAGAGTTGTAGGAGGTAAATGTGAATACTTTCTGGTTTTATTATTCCTCGGTGACAGTAAACTGAATATGTGGAACAAACAAGACATTTGAGTACGTCATTTCGGGCTTTAGAGAACACTGATCAACATTTTCTGACATTTTATAGACCGAACAAGTAGTTGAGTAGAAAATAATTCACAGGATTAATTGACAATGAAAACAATCATTAGTTGCAGCCCTACTCCTGCAGGTCCAACACTGCGTCAGACATTTTCCATAATGTAACTGACTTAAGAGTTTCATTAGTGCCCCTTGGGACCATGCCTAGTAGGGCCACAAAGCTCCATCTTTGCTAGACGCTGTGTTATCAGGTTATGCGTCTTAATAATGTGGTGTCCTGACTGTGTAAGAGAAGAGGGTCTATTTCAGGCTCAGCACCTCAGTGCATGGGGCTTGGCAGTTGAGGGGTGCAAAGCAAGGCCGGTGTTGTGTTGCATTTGATATTTGGTCAGTGGGTTAGAACCGGTTTTGCTGGGTCACTTACTCCACACATGGAACGAGACACTCCTGGGGGTTGTTTTTCTGTCTATATATTATCTAGAACATTCTTTGAGATTCTCTTACACGCATATGTTTACAGGCTGAGGCTCCACAACCAGACTGCCTTTCCTAATTGGACGCAAAAAGTAGCCCCAGTTTAAGGGTGCAGTGTGGGGATTAAGGGGGATATAATGGCAGAAATGGAATATAACATCACTTTATTTCTTAGTGTAGTCTATTGATAGGGTCCTTGAGGGTCATTCGCATTTTAGTGTCAGCCCAGAGCAAGAAACCCCTCCACGACAGTGATCTTTTAATGTGAACGTGCCTTATTCTGTGTTCTTACTGGTTTAAATCACCGGGTCCATTTGTTTTGGAAAGAAAGAGACCTTTGCAGATAATCCGGCTTCCTGTAAAAAACCTCCTGAACTCTAGATCTTCAGTTATCAGAGAAAAAAAGTGAGCACAAGTTAGCTTGTGCTGAGCTTGTGGCCTGTCTCCAACACGCCAAACAGTGTCGGAGATTTGTAACGTAAAACTGCTTTATTCAGTGTTTTCACCGTTTTCAGTCACAGAGTCTATTTGTTTTGGAGAGGCAGAGACCTCTGTGGATAATTTGGTTCCCACTAAAAACCTCCTTAACAATGAACACTGAAGTAATTCTACCAAAGAAAAAGTCTCAGTTGGTTGCAATCTGCAATCCTGACCACTAGATGCCACTAAACCCCCCTAAATCTTACACACTGGACCTTTAAGGACACCGCATGACCAAATGCATGCTGGTGGCAGTTTTGTTAGCTTCACAGTCACATTATACCAATAAAAGCTCGAGACATCACAACAAAATGTATTGCAGGTACACACAGCTTTAGCGCCATACTTTGAGAAAAAAAAAAAAAAAACCTAAGCCGTGGAATAAAATGTTTTGCATTGCAAAGATCAAAGCCTACGTTAGCGGCAGCCAAGGTTTTCCCTCCCTGGCCCAGAGCACTGCTGGGGATTCATGCATGACTAGAGTGGGGGTGTGAACATGGAGCTGGAGTGGAGAGAAACGAACACTTCAACCCTGGGAGCAGGATTAACAACAAAGGGCTGCCAATCAGGTTTAATCAAACAAATACAGGGTGAGTTATTCGAACAAGAACCAATCCAATAATCTTGTTTGTTAGCCTTCTGAGTGATGTAGAGGAAGAGAATGGGGAGACAGGAAAGACGCCCATAAAGCAACACTTTAAAAATTAATTACCATGGATTAAAATAAAGTGGGATTAATATGGACAGTTTGTAATTAAAAAAGGGGGGTTTGCTTACATTAACCCGTACAGGCAAGCCTATATGAGTGTGCTCACACTGTAAATACACATATCGGCCCTTTAAATTAGTGAACGGGCCTGAGAAATGTCACTCAATTGAACATATGGACCAGGAAGACACTCAAAACAACCACATAAGCCCAGTTGCCACCTACAGTAACACTACAGTACGGCTGAGTTCAGTTTGGAAAGCTTTTTTTCTGTTTCCTCTATGAAAAGTTGTGGATGGTACCAATGGAACTGTTCTGTACCATCCCCTTTTTTGGTCCCCCCTCTGTTGGGGTACCTAGCACACAGATCTGGTACTAAAAGGTGGAGCTGTGAACACTGCAGTCTGTTGATTGGTCAATAGAGGATGGCCCCAAGCTTGCCTGAGAAGGACTAAATGCACAAACCCGCTATTTTTAAATGTATGGAGAGAGACTCTCACTGCAGCCTGTTTTATTTTGTTCAGAAAGTGTCAGCATGCAACCTCGTTCCTTGGATGATAAACGAAGCCCAGACTTCCATCTGTCACCAGTAATGAGGAAATACAGTGAGTGCTGGACGGAGCAGTGAGTGACAACAACCCAGCCCACATTTAAGAGTACTGTTTGGGGTGGAAACGCTAGGGTCTAAGTACCATGTCTGAAGGGTTACTTTTGGTTCCAAAGGTAGCATAGTGAAAGTGTTTGGTGGAAATGGGGCTAAAGAAATGCAAAGGGTCTGCAAAAAGACACCAAATAACTATAAAGATAGGCAAAACAGCCACAAAGTGACTGCAAAGAGATAAAAAAAACAAAACAACCAAAGACAGACATAAAATTACCTAAAAGTGACACAAATGGCGACAAAGAAACACAAAAAGATGCATAACGACTACTGAAATGTCGCAAAGTCTGTGTGCTATGCGCCTGTGTAAGTGAGGTGGTGGGGCCCTTTGCATATCTGTGCCCAGGGGGCCCATTGTCTCATGATCCGCCCATGCTTTTCACACAAACCTTTTGATAATTAAAACTCGAGTATGATAACTACTGCAGACAACACAAGACAAGTTTTTAAAAATTTACCCATTTTCGACGTCACGTAGTTGTTCTCGCAGATTACCGCGATAAAGTTTGAAGAACATTTTATGAATTGCTGGCTACAAAGTTTCTGGCAGCGCTCAGAGTAAGAAGTGTCACTCTGGACTCCATTAAACTGCTCAGATGGCGTGGCGTTTCCAGACAGGATACCACCGCGCCAGCTAAATCCAAATGGAAAACAACTTTGACACAATAACCCTAATACACCGGTGATTGGAAGAGAAAACACAAACAAGTCTGGCTTGTGGATTCATGAGCGTGAGAGCAACACGAGCGGCGGCTGGATGTAATGAAAAGGTCACATGCATTTAACAGTTGGAAGTTGGGGGTTGGAAGTCTTGTTCGGGATACCCGGCTAAAACAAAAAGAAAAGGAAAACCTCTGCAAGACAAAAAACTGTGGACACAGGAAAGTGTTTTTGCAGTCTTACCCTGCAGATTTAGCTATTTATAATATTGTTTAGGCCTAGTGACTGCATTTAAATAACAAATTAATCTCGGAGCATGTATTTGTAAATTTAAATAAACTTACCGTGTATCAGCCTCCTATAAACTCTGATGTGTTTAACTTTCTCTCCGCCCAGTGAGCCGAACTTTGCAAAACAAGTTTCCACGTGTCACTTCAGCCAAGTGAGAAAATATGAACCTTCTTTTACAGCTTGCAAATAAAATAATAAACAGTGATTAAAGGAGGAATTATTCTTTGGAGGGTCCTCAGTACTCGGCCGCACCAAGTAGAGCTCTGTTCTTCCTTGGTCTAGCCTCAGGAATGAGAGGCAGAGAGAAAGAGGGGGGCGGGGTGCTGCTCAGCCACTGGAGTTAACCTTAACTCCTCTAAACTACCCTCAGCTCCCCTGTGCTGAGGTAAACAGCACGAGGAGAGCTCTACAGTACATACTGCTACCGAGCAGGAAAGATTACTCCCATGCGGGTTAGTGCCAGCATTGATAGTAAAACATGATTTCATAATGAACTGTAAATCACGCTCATTTCCCCCCACAGCCAAATATAAAGAGACACAAGCAGCATCAAGCAGTGAGCTTGTTGCTCTGTTGTGTAATTTACAGGCTTTGGAGAGAAGCTCAGCGCAGTGAAGTGAAAGCATAAACACTACTGCGCTTTCATGGCCGCCGTAGTTTGTCAGTAAGATAAAGTTTTCTCTCAGCTATATATGAAAACTGTCTCCCCAAGGTCTCTCCCACACCAAACTGCCAGATTCCCCCCTCTAGTAGCAAATACAGAGCTGGGTGGACTAAACTCAGATGGCAGCTGCTCCTGCCTCAATCAGGAGAACTGTATCTACAGTCAGGTCCATAATTATTTGGATAATGATACAGTTGTCGTCATTTTGGCTCTGTACACCACCACAATGGGTTTTAAATGAAACAATGAATACCTGCTTAAAGTGCAGACTCTCAGCTTTCATTTAAGGCTTTTTTCAAAAATGTAGTATGAACTGTGTAGGAATTACAACCATTTCTTCACACAGTCCCCCGACTTTAAGGGCTCATAAGTATTTGGACAAACTAACATAATCATCAATTAAACAGTCAGTTTTAATACTTGGTTGCAAATCCTTTACAGTCAATGACTGCCTGAAGTGTTGGACACATAGTCATCATCAGATGCTGGGTTTCTTCCCTGGTGATGCTCTGCCAGCCCTTTACTGTAGCTGTCTGCACTTCCTGCTTGTGTTTTGGGTGTTTTGCCCTCAGTTTTGGCTTCAGCAAGAGAAACGCATGCTCAGTTGGATTCAGGTCAGATGATATGACTTGGCCATTGCATAACATTCCACTTCTTTGCCTTAAAAATGTCTTTGGTTGCTTTTGCAATATGCTTCAGGTCATTGTCCAACTGCACTGTGAAGCATCGTCCAATGAGTTTTGAAGCATTTAGTTGAATCTGAGCAGATAATGGTGCCCCAAACACTTCAGCTTTCATCCTGCTGCTCTTCTCAGCAGTCACATCATCAATAAATACAAGAGAACCAGTTCCACTGGCAGCCATACATGGCCATGACATAACAGTACCTCCACCATGCTTCACTGATGAGGTGGTGTGCTTTGGATCATGAGCAGTTCCTTCCCTTCTTCCTTCTCTTGTCTTCCCATCATTCTGGTAGTTGATCTTTGTTTTATCTGTCCATAGTATGCTGTTCCACAACTGTACAGGCTTTTTAGATGGTTTTTGACAAACTCTAATCTGGCCTTCCATTTTTAAGGCTAACCAATGGTTTGCATCTTGTGATAAACCCTCTGTATTTATTCTAGTGAAGTCTTGTCTTGCTTACAAGAGCAGCAGGATGAAAGCTGAAGTGTTTGGGGCACCATTATCTGCTCAGATTCAACTAAATGCTTCAAAACTCATTGGACGATGCTTCACAGTGCAGTTGGACATTGACCTGAAGCATATTGCAAAAGCAACCAAAGACATTTTTAAGGCAAAGAAGTGGAATGTTCTGCAATGGCCAAGTCATATCATCTGACCTGAATCCAACTGAGCATGCGTTTCTCTTGCTGAAGCCAAAACTGAGGGCAAAACACCCAAAACACAAGCAGGAAGTGCAGACAGCTACAGTAAAGGGCTGGCAGAGCATCACCAGGGAAGAAACCCAGCATCTGATGATGCCTATGTGTCCAACACTTCAGGCAGTCATTGACTGTAAAGGATTTGCAACCAAGTATTAAAACTGACTGTTTAATTGATGATTATGTTAGTTTGTCCAAATACTTATGAGCCCTTAAAGTCGGGGGACTGTGTGAAGAAATGGTTGTAATTCCTACATGGTTCATACTACATTTTTGAAAAAAGCCTTAAATGAAAGCTGAGAGTCTGCACTTTAAGCAGGTATTCATTGTTTCATTTAAAACCCATTGTGGTGGTGTACAGAGCCAAAATGACGACAACTGTATCATTGTCCAAATAATTATGGACCTGACTGTATATCTATCTGCTGTTTGGCTGTAGACCTTTGTAGGATTTTGTTATTGTACAAGTTTCTTTTCACTTCTGCACCAAGGACCTTCAGATCACTTTATTAACTCATCAGGTAAACACAGGATTTCTTTGTCACCAGCTGCAAACTGCACACACATCACACATACCCATAAGAGTAATGTATTTTTAAGTAAGACTGGTATACAGACAGATTTTATAGGAGTAAGATTATCTGGGGAATATTGCATTATACTTTTATCAGAGGTGGGACCAAGTCAGTGTTTTGCAAGTCACAAGTAAGTCTGCAGTCTTTGCACTCAAGTCCCAAGTCATAAAGTTTAAATTTTGAGTCCTCAACAAGTCACAATGCACTTTTCACCAAATGCCATTTTAAGAACATTGTAAAAAATTGGGCTATTAAATTTACAAAAACCATGAATGCTTTTTAAAATGTGTATTTATCCATTTTCAAAGTTCATGTTACTCCTGATCTAAGACAGTCCAAAAATATTCATTAACTCTTCCAGATTCAAAAGATAGAGTGCTGAAATCAAATGTGTAATGTCATAGGGTATAAAGTCTGGAGCTGCTCCATAGACAGTAAATTGGGAAAGATGTTCTAGGTCAGTGGTTCCCAACTGGTCCAGCCACGGGGTCCACATTTCTCCTTAGTTCAGGGTCCACACAGTTTAATATATTCAGTGTCAGATTTGCATTTGGCCATGTCTTCGAGCTAGTTTGCCATCTCTGTTAAGTAACTATCCATTATTCACTTAGTCTACAGCAGGAAACAGCACTTCTAAATGAAAGCTCTGTGCTGGAAATTCACTTTACTTCAAAATAAAAGGTGTTTTTTTTTTATCAACTTGACACGTTCTCCAGCCACTTGCAGTTCATTCAGAATGAACCCGCAACCCACTAGTTGGGAATCACTGCTCTAGATGACACTGAGAGCAGCCAGGGGAATGCTCTGAGTTTATGGGTACATTTTCTGTTTCAGGACTGACAACACTACAATAGAATAAAGCTTATTTGAGTTGAGAAAAAAGAAAATCCTTGGCTCCACAAAATCAGTCTCCCTTTCATTGTCTATGGAGCAGCTCCAGACTTTATAGTCTGACATCACAAGGTTGAGACTTGCTTGTCTGATTTGTGGCGTTGAGAGAGAGTCTGTCATGTTCCCAAATATTGATTCAACTTTCATAACACGCTGAAATTCTTAATTTGGGAGGCGTTCTTCTTTAATCATAAAAGAGTAGTGCTGACACTGCACTTTCATAGCATACAGCACTATTAACCAGCACCACAGAATGAATTTGTTTCTGTCCTGTTTTGTTGCATTTAGCTCATCTCATACTGGAAAAAACTCAACTTTCTCCTCACATATTTGAAATTAATTTTCAGTAAGACTTCTAAAGTGTTTCATGTCTACACAAAATAAATCAATGATAGTTAACGTTAGCTGGTTTAGGAAGTAAAGGGACATAAAGTGATTTGTGGCACACTATTTTGATAACTCCTTGAGCTTGGGGAAAGGTATCAAGTCTCTGAGTCAAAAGGCTCAAGCTCAAGTGAAGTCAAGAGTCACTGGTGTTAAAGTTCAAGTCGAGTTACAAGTCTTTTTGATTTTGTCGAGCCTGAAGTCATCAAATTTATGACTTGAGTCCACAACTCTGACTTTTATTGCGCTAATACTATCATCCTTGTTTCATTAACATAATATACATGTTATATTTGCACCATCACTCTCATATCATTATAATGAGTACAGCTTATTTTTGCATTTTTATGTTTTTTTCCCTATATTGTGTTACAGTATTACAGTACGTGCATTTGTAAATTGCCCCCCCCCCCCCCCCCCCCCCCCCCCCCCCCCCCCCCGCCCCGCCCCCCCCACCCCCCCCCCCCCCCCCCCCCGGACAAACAAAGTACTTTGGATTGAAACAACTCATGCAGTGTAATGGAAAAGTTTTTATTGGTCAGAACAGTAAGGAGATCACATTTTGTAAAACAATTTTTAAAACTAAGCAAGTACAGTATAATAAGACAGGTTTAGGACGAGTTCCTCTTGCTCTGTGGAGAAGAGGCGGTGTAACTCCCTCCTCCACTAGATGGAGGTGTCGGTCAAGAGTGAGCCTGATTTTTTCTACCACTCCAAAGTGAACAATAGAGGACCAGACGGCCAGTAAACAACCAAAACCATTTCATGAATCAAGAGGAAGTACTGGAAGTATGATGAGTAAGACTGGCTGTAAACAAGCAACTTCCACCGAACAAACGTCACATTCTTCATCCTGTTCAATAGGGGTAAGAAAATGCAGCGAAGTGAGCCACATTTTACGGCCGTTTCATTCAGGAGGAAACATCAGTTCATGGTTCTGAGGGGAAACAACTTGAGTTTTTTACCTGTATACCAGATGCTTTCTATCACCGCAGAACCAACATCTCTACAGGCCTCTGAAATGAGAAAGAAAAAAAAAAACTGCAGTCAAAGGGCACTGGAGCAAAGTAATGTCATGTTCACTCGGGCACAACAGAGATTACAAGCAGCGCTTCTGAAAATTGTATTTCTAAAGGCATATGCAAACACTCAGGAGCAGCACCGATGCATTTTCTTGTGTTGTTCAGGGTCTGGTGATGAGAAAATGCCCATAAAAACACAAGCATGTTGAATAGAGAGAGGAAGGGGGGCGCACAAAACTCAATTCTCTAAGGGACTGACTTAAGGAGAGAACACAGAACTAAAGATGAGGGCTCAAATTAATATTGCACCCAGATGAGTCTTAAGTGTCCTTGGATGACAAGCGGTGATTGGATTGCAAGCTTGGTAGCTTTTGATGGCCATGCCTGTCAGCCTCACCTGCTTTTTAATCAGTAATTACCACAGGGGTTTCTCTGGCATTTCTTAATTAAATTGGACCAAATGCAATTAAAAACCACACTCTCATTCCTTTAAAAGGGCTCTGTGGAGTCCTTGTTTAGTTCTTGCTGTTAAGAGAATAAGCGGTTGAATGGTCATAGCACCGTACCATCTCTCACTGATCTGTACTTGATTATTTCAGTGGTCAAATTAAGTTTGCTGTTTGCATAATAAAGGGCAAGACAGAGTTCAAGATTAAAACTTCCACTCTAACTGGAATTGAAGGTTAAAAGCAGAGATGAGGAGGCAAAGTTGTTATGTTATTAAACAATTAAAGTTAACATTTGGAGTTTGGGGAACAATGTGATGAGAGCATGTTGTGAAGAAGACTATTATCATAGCAGTAAATGTAGCAATGGATCTTTGCCCATTACATTCACAGAGGAAGTGTTACAGTATGCCTTTCAAACACTCACCATCTAGAAAAGTCCCCGGCGCTCCAGGAGCCAACAACCACAGTCACATCAGTGGTGATTTTCCCATCTGCGGTCCTCATGTCATCTTTGGAGTTGCTATTGTAGTTGCCACAGGCGCCGCACATTTTACCGGCCAGGCTGCTGTCGACAATAACGGTGACCTCCTGTGAAATTGAGTAGGTGACCTGCATGGCATGTGCGTGCTCGATGATCACAGTCCTCTCTGAGATTCGGATAGATATTTCACTCGTCACTTTAGCGGGAAGAGACACTTTCCTGCCATTTACCTGGGTGTCATGAAAAATGGAGAAAAAAACAAAGTGAGATAAAAGTTTCGACAACAAAATGACTATTTTTTATGGTTGAACGTTTCAAAGCTCAGTGTGTAGGATTAAGGGGGGAATCACCTGAAAATAGGAATGCTTGTGTGTTCATTACCTTAGAATGAGTCATTTATATCTACATGGGGCGCAAGTCTGCACCCACGGAATCCGCCATGTTGCACTGCAATGCCTCTACAGTATCCCAGGACGGACAAACCAATCACTGGCTCTAGATATGGCCATTTGTGTTTTTAAGTCAGTCCCCGTAATTAGCAGCCTCTCCATGATTAGCCAAACAGCAATGAAAAAAACGTTAATTTTTGATGTGAAACTGCTTTATTCTGTGTTTTTAGCAGTTTTAACGACCTGATCTATTTGTTTTGGAGAGGAAGAGACCTGTGTGGATAATTCGGCTCCCGCTAAAAACCTCCTAAACGTCTGGATCTTAAATTATCAGAGAAAATACATGAGCACACATTTGCAGGTGCTGGGCTAGCAGCCTGTCTGCAATGAGCTGAATAGTGTCAGAGAAACACTGATTTGTAACGTTAAACTGCTTTACTCAGTATTTATACCAATTTTAATCACCTGATCTGTTTGTTTTAGAGAGGAAGAGACCTCTCAGGATAATTCATGTCAAAAACCTCCTGAACAATGAACACTGAAAGAATTATAACCAGGAGTTTTGCTTGGCACATGGGAGATGTTTTAGCTGGTTGCAATCTGCAATCCTCACCACTAGATGCCTCCAAATCCTACACACTGCTCCCTTAACTATTCTTGATCCTTCTTTTCTCACCCAAGTCACGTGTTGGCTGTTCACTGCAACAGCTGTTTCCTTGAAGAACACATACACAGTGGCGACAGCGGGAGATGCCCCTCTACTGCAGACCCTGACATCCACAACCACGCGGAACCACAGCTTGGCAGCTTCGTCACACAGAGACGCCACTTCAAATGCCCCTTTAGCTCCTATCGCTCCAGACATGCCATCAAAGGAAGTGAGGTGGCCGACTTGGCTGATGCCGCACTGGCCCTGTTTGACGTGGCAACCTCTGACCCCGTCTCTTACGCTACAGACCTCCTCAGTGGCACAGGACAGCTTCTCACATTTCACCACCCCAGAGGCCTGGCACACACACTTGGACTTGCAGCCTTTGTCCACCACTGTTTCGCCCACCTGGAAACACACATTGTGTTAATGTTAGAATGTTTTATGTTACTATTCAGGTATGAATGCTGTCATTTGTCATATGCTGACTATTTTATTACCGACTGTGGCACAGTTACGATGTCTGACAACAAAGTAAAATCTCAGTTGTACCGTCAGATATCTGCCATTGAGCACACATCCACAGTTGTCCAAGGGAACACACTGGATGCCATCGAAAACAAAGCCAGCGTCACATTCGCATCCTTCAAAGCAGCCTTCAGAACAAGTGAACGGGTAAATAAAGCTGGCACAGGTCCCACCACAGGTGTTGGCGCACACCTCATAGTGACTGTGTGCAGGGCAGGAGGCAGCTGCAAGAGAAAAAGATGTTTTTAAGATTTTTAATGCACACCTGAAATATCAAACAGAAAAAAATACGAACAATTCTTCAGCTAAAAAGCTGTGTGACTCACGGCAGAAGGAGCCGCTCCTCCATGGCTGGATTTTCACTCCTTCACTCTGGCAGGCCAAAGCATACGCCTGGACACTGTTGCACAGAGTGTCTTTGTCGCCACCCACCGCACAAACATCAAACACACAATGGGACACATATGCCGCTGGGTCGATTTTACTGTGGCAGGCTTTGAAAGGCCCATTAGGTGCGCTCATGATGCCACAGGAGTCGGCTCTCCTGTACAGGGTGGCCTTGGCCTGCTCACATACTGGACACTGGCCTCCGCAGCCACCACACACATTGCCAGGCAGGTCCACCACCCATGCCTTCCCAAAGTCATCGACGTTGTTTGTTTTTCTGCCATTAGGAAGTATGAAGTCATCGCCGCCGTTCTTGTTGTAGTTGCCGCAAAGACCGCACATCTTACCCTGGTATGTGGAGGGCACGATCACCTCAACATAATAGACAGTGTCATACAAGACTGTCAGTCCAAAATCTGTCCGCACAACTACGTTGCGACCCTCCTGGGTGACCCTGAGACGCCCATCGTCCAGGGAGAGAGGAAGATTTAGAAGTTCATCATCCACCTGGACAGAGGAGGAAGAACAACAGTCATTGTGAGGAAGTAAATAAACATGGACAAACGTAACTGCACATGTGGATTTAAGTGTCTAACTCACAATGACTTTCCATGGCATCTTCTGCTGGATGTAAATGACATAACCGTAGACCGACACTGCAACCGACTTGGTGACAGCCACTTTGCCATTTCCATACTTCTCGTTCCCCTGAGTAACAGTGAATGGCGTGAGCCGGCCATTGTCATCATTACAAACCTTAGCCAACACATAGACACAGGTACCCTGGAAATCAAACCTCCGTCCATCAAAGGAAATGTAATGAGGGTCACCAGAAGCCACACACTTGCCCTGCCCCTCAGGGTGGCAGCCTTTCACTCCATTTACAAGCTTACAGATCTCCCCTGCATGGCACTTGGCTTTTTGGCAAGACACCACGCCGTTCTCTCCACAGACACATTGCTCCACACACTCGGTTTCAGGGTAGAAGACGTCTCCTCTCCTGTAGTAGTGGCCATCATAGGAGCAGCCACAGTCTTTGACAGGCACGCAGGTATCCCCGCTCAGCAGGTAGCCTTCGTCACACTCGCAGGCCTCTGTGCAGGCCCTGTGGCAGGTGACAAGGGAGGTTAAGCTGGCACAGGTGGTCGGGCAGCCCGTGGCACACAGGGTATAATGGCTGTTAGCTGGACACACCATTGCTGTGGGATAGGATGAGAAGAGAGGGAGAGAAACGAGGGAAAAGATAAGAGATATATTGAAATGAGAGATCTGAAATATGAAAACAAAAACACGATGTCAAACTCACGACAGAAGTTATCTGTTCTCCAGGACTGGATGACGATTCCTTCGCTCTGACAGGCATAGACATAGATTCCTACGGCATCACAGATTGCTCCAGGGTGACCATGATAATGACAGGCATCATACACACAGTCCTCCAGGTAAGGAGCAGGGTCCACACGTTTGTGACAATCTCTGAAAGGCCCTGCTCTGTCAGCAATAATACCACAGTACTTCTCGGCTCGGTACACTTTCCTCTGGGAGTCTGAACAGGCCTGGCACCATGCCCCCTGGCAGACTGATGAGCAGCCTGGTACAAGGGCCACCTGCCAGCTCTCCCCCAGCATGTCTCCATTTTTGGCGATCTGGCCGTTCCGCATGGTCAGGTCATCCTGACCTTTTCCATTGTAGTTGCCGCACAGACCGCAGACCGCATCCTGGTAGTTGCTGGGCAGAGTAACACTCACTGTGCTCCGCCAGTCAAAGGTCACGGTGATACCAGCAACTGTCTCCACTACAGCTGTCCAGCCGCTGAGAAACACAACCAGCTCATTATTGTAATCCAGCGGTAACGAAGCGAGCTGCCCATTGAGCTGGAGAGCAGAAAGCGAGGGAGGGAGGGAGAAATATTTTTAGGAGATTATAGATTTAATAATTCTGCGGTCCTTGCTAATCCATTCTAATGTGCAGTTAAATCTTAGTTTAATTAAGTCTGCCTGGATCAAAATTTTAATATGCAATTAAATATATATGCAGAAGAGCATGAGGGATGTCAGAATTAGCACAATGACAGAAGGCATTATCCTCCACTCATTTGAATGAGGCTCAGCGTATCTGTGCTGTTTTTATTTTTAATACTGTAACTACATGTCCTATTTTTTCTCTCTCCAAAGATCCACATGAATACAAGTGTCAAGATTACTCATTTAATCTTTTATCAAATCACCCATATGCTTCACAATATCCATACCTCCACATCCATACTTACCAAGACCTTGTGCGGGTATTCTCTGCTGATGGTGAGGGTGATGCCATATATGGAAAACGTGACAGTCCTTGTGTAGGACACGGCTTTGCTTCCCCTGTGGTCGTTCTGCACAGTCACCTTGAACGGCACTAACCCGGGCCGCTCCGAGCACAGTCCCACCAGCTGATATACACATGTGCCCTGGAAGTCATACCTGCGGCCATCGAAACTGCGGTAGTGTGGGTCACCTGAGGCTGTGCATGTGGCGTGACTGATGGGTCGGCAGGCACGCTCTCCGTCCACCACGGTGCATGTCTCCTTGGCAGAGCAGGAAGCCTCGCGGCATGTCACCATGCCCAGGGTCGTATCACACTCACATAGACGGCCGCAGGTCTCATCGTCCCAGAAGTGCTGGCCTGGCTTGTAATAACGGCCCTGATAGGAGCAGCCACATGTTTTATCGGGCACACAGACACCAGCGCTGAGGACGTAACCCTTGTCACACACACAGGTCTCCACACAGGTGCCGGTACAGGCCTTCTTTTTCTCAGGGAATGGGCAGGATGGCTGACTTGGGCTGGCACAGTCTTCATAGTGGCTGTGACGCTGACAGTTCATTGCTGGATGGAAATTAAATTTTAAAAATTTCAAGGCGTTAACCAAAAACTTAAATATTTGAAATCTTGAATTAAAATGGGCAAATGAGATTCTCATTAGTACTCACGGCAGCCAAACTTTTTCCTCCATCCTTGGATTATTATTCCTTCCTCACGACATTGCTCACTGTATGAGGCCAATGCCTGGCACAGCATCTTTTTGTCTCCCTTATTTAAACACATGTCATACACACAGCTGTTCATGAAGGCCTGGGGGTCCAATTTTGCATGACATTTCTTGAACACATTGTTGGTTTTGGCTACGAGGCCGCCGCAGAAAGCCTCGGTCTCATAGAGCTTACGCTGGTCACCGTCACAGGTAGGGCAGTTTTTCTTGCAGGTGTCCCAACAAGGATGGTCCTTGTCCTGCTCAGGCGTTTGCCAGCTCTTGCCCCACTCTATCACTGAGGAGACAGCTTTGCCGGCTGGATTCAGGAGCTCGTCGCGGTTGTTGCCGTTGAAGTTGCCACACAGACCGCAGACACTGCCGTAGTAGCTGCTGGGCAGCCTGATGACCAGCTCCCAGTTCCAGTCGTAGGACACGATCAGGCCAAAACTTGTCTCCACCACTGCAGTGTGGCCACGCTGAAACACTGACACCTCACCCTCGCCCTCATCCTCAGACAGGCGTACAGGAAGATTCACCAGCTCTCCGTTCACCTGAAGGGAGTGGAACAGAACAATATATAACATCCACGCTGAAATACTAAAGATCAAACACATCAGATGAGAAACTAAAATCTTACCATGACTCGACCAACTTGGCTCTTGCGGATGGTGATGTTGTACCCGTACACAGACACATCTACCTCCCTGACATAAGAAACTGCCGTGTTTCCACGGTTATCATTTCTCTCAGTGACTGAGAAGGGCACCAGACCATCCAGCTTCCCGCAGGTCTTGGAGATGACATATTTGCAGGTGCCCTGGAAGTCAAAGTTGTAACCATCAAATGTGTGGTAGTGGGGGTCGCCCCAGGCCCAGCATACTCCTGTGTACTCGGGGACGCACACGGCTTCACCCTTCTCAACATGGCACTTCTCTTTGACTCGACACTTGGCATCTTTGCAGGGATCTATAGGATATTAATAGAAAATTTGAAAATAAATTAAAACTGATTTAAACTTTACTGTATATTAGAGGTTAAAAATACTTAATACAAGTATACAGTATTTGTGTCTTGCCTGTGTTGTAGCACGCCCTGATTTCTTTCCTGACCATGCATTTGGTGCTTTTGGGGCAGGTATGGTCTTCACAGACAAGGCCTGTCTCTGGTTTGCAGGTGCACTTTGTCTTACAGTCTTCCTCATACACCACTTCACCAGGCTGGAGACACAGAGCAGGTTTAATTATACAGGGAGAACTAATACACATAAAAAAGCCATGTTAAAGAAGAGTTCAAATGATTTCATTCTTATTCCATTTTATAAAATAACCCCACAAATTTAGACAATCTGCTAATTAAGTCTCAGGAGACATCCTCAGTGCACTTATCTAAGATCAGACTGGCTCGTGTCCAAAACTGTGGAAAAAGCAAAGGCAATTTAATTGCCACGTCAGCATGAACGTTGCTATGGGTACCCGCTTAAAGGGACAATTCACCCAAAAATCAAAATACACATTTCTCCTCTTACTTGTAGTGCTATTTATCAGTCTAGATTGTTTTGGTGTGAGTTGCCAACTGTTGGACATCGGCTGTAGAAATGTCTGCCTTCTCTTAAATATAATGGATAGTGCCCGACTTGTGGTGCTCAAAGCGCCAAAAAAATAAATTTGAAAACTCAACAGCAACAGCAATCCACAAATCATGACGCCGTTTCTCAAGATAATCCACAGACCTCACTGTGAAGAGTTTCATGTGGGAACTATTTTCTTCACGTCCATCACCACGCAGAAGGAAGCGTGCATCTACTGCTAGCTTACCTAGCACCACTGAAATAGCCATTGATGTTTACATGTTACGCTGTCACAAGCACAAGCCTCTAGTCTAGGAGTAAATGCACGCATCCTTGTGCTTGGTGATACGGTTAGCGGGTGTGGTTAGGTAGAAAGAAAATAGGTCCGACATGAAACTGCTTGAGTAAAGAGGTCATGATTTCTGGAAAGAGACATTGCAGTTGAGTTTTTGAAATGTTTTTTGGGGTTCTTTGAGCACCACAAGTGAATTAGATGACACACCACAAGTGTCATCTAATTCCATTTTATTTGAGAGAAGGCAGTTATCTACGTCTGATATATCCAACACTCATCAACTCACACCAAACTGCCCCTTTAAGTCACTTTGACACTAAAAAAAGCTATCACTTATACACTACTGTGGATGGAATGGCTTTCATGTACAGACGGCAGCGTTGAATTGTACCTTGTATGTTCTTCCATTGTCGTAACAGCCGCACTCAGTCTCTCGAACACACCCATGTCCATCATATAAGAAGCCAGGATCACATTCACAGCCTTCTGTACAGCTGTCAGAGCACTTGACAATCTCTGAGAGGCCTGCGCAGGATGAGGAGCAGGGGTGTGCACACACCTCGTAGTGACTGTTGGCCGGGCATTTCATAGCTGAAATAAATAAGCACAAGACAGGAAGAACATGGATTAGAAAGGAGTTTGTTTTATATTTAACAAATACAGTGCCGACACAGTACGGCAGACGAGAATAAGAGGTTAAATTGGAGGAAAACAACAAAGTGAATTCATCACTTACGACAGAATGAAGACGTCCTCCAGTTTTTGATGTCCACTCCTGCCATGTGACAGTTGAACGCATAGGCTGCTACGCTGTTACACAGCACCTTCCCGTCACCGTCAGAAGCACACACATCAAACACACAGTCCAAAAAGTAAGGCTGTGGGTCCAGTTTACTATGGCAGGCTGCAAAAGGACCTTTGGGTGCTGTCATAATACCGCAGTAAGTGGACTTTGAAAACACAGCCTTGCGAGCTGGGGGACAGTCAGGACAGTTGTTCCCCTCACAGCCATTTCCACACCTCACATTCGGGATGTTGATCATCCATGATTTTCCAAACTGATTCACATTGTTGGTGAGCTTATGGTTGGGCATTTGGAAGTCATCTTTTTGGTTACCATTGAAGTTGCCACACAGGCCACAGACCTTGTCACGGTAATTACCAGGTACTGTGACCGTCACGTGATAGACCAGGTCATAAGTGACACGCAGCCCGAAATTTGTTTCAATAACATAGTGCATGCCTTCTTGGAAGACTAGCACTGCTCCATCCTTAAGATTCACAGGCACGTAGTTAAACACCCCATTTACCTAAAAGAAAAGGCACAAGTTGTATTAAAGAAAAAAAGCACGGATGACAAGAATGTAAAATATTTTTGTCAAGCTAGTTTTACATCTATCAACCATCTGCCACTGCGTCACACAACCAACAGATTTCTCTGTATTATAACTATAGAGAGTTGTCAAATGACCAAGTGTTGATGCTCACCAGGACCCCAAACATGTTGTTCCTCATGATGAGAGTGTAGCCATAGACCTCCACAGCGACCAGCTTGGTGACAGACACCACTTTGTTGTTCATCATCTGGTTCCATTGCACGTTCTGTACCTGGACAGAGAAGGGCACCAGGTGGGTGCCTTCCAGCCCACAGCTCTTGGAGAGCGTGTAGGTGCAGGTGCCCTGGAAATCAAATGTCCGCCCATCAAAAGAGCGGTAATGGGGGTCACCAGAGGCGTGGCACACACCCTTACCAACAGGGTGACATTTCTGGACACCATTCTCCACTTTACACTTCTCATTAGGGCCACATGTGAACTTCTTGCACTCAACCTGAGAAAAGAGTTGAGAAAAATATTAAATATCCAACAAATTAATTTCCATCCTGCAAGTTCACACTGATCATGATCAAATAATTGTTGCCCACGTTAGTATCCATTACCTCTCCATCTTGTGCGCACTTGCACTCTTCCTGACACTTCCCATTGGGATAAAACACTTGGCCGATGCGGTAGTAGCGATCATTGTAGACACAACCGCACTCTGAGAAGGGAACACAGTGATCCCCGCTGAGGATGTACCCCTCATCACAGGCACAGCCCTCCTCACACTCGGCGTCGCAACCTTGAGGAGGGGTCAGACTCTGGCAAGTGGCGGGACAGCCGATCGCACAAATTTCATAGTGGCTGTGGACCGAACATTTCACCGCTGTGCACAAGGGAGAATAAAAGACAATGTGAATGTCTAATTATAGTGTGGATTTCAAATGTAGAGAGTGAGTACAAAGCAACATAAAATCTCAGATGAGGAAGAAACACGTAGAAACAGGAGTGAGACTCACATTCACTCATTCTTTTTTCCAGTATCATTGTTATATTTTTCACACCAGTGTTCCTTATGGAACCCTTTTTCTATCACTGAGTGAACTGTTGACTAAGTGACATCTTTTATAGATATTTCTATCAATGTTTAATGCATAACAATGACAGTAAAGAACTGATAAACTGTACATTTATCCCAAATAGTAACGTTCTGTAGTCTCATTTAGCCACTTTTGAGCAACCGTCTTTTCTAAGACGCATAAAAGCTTCAAAATTCACAGTGGGGCATTTACTGATGTATTTTATGTGGTAGAACAAAACATAAAAGTCTCTTAAGCTTGTGTTAACCACAGACCTTTTTTCAGGCACCTAACCAAAAACTCATTAACAAAACCCACTGACTTCAAGACAAGGGGACCGGAAGTACTAAAACAATAACTAATTTCCGGGTTTTAGGACTCATTCCTGCAGCGCTCTATGGGCTTCTTTTTTTTTTTTTTGTTTTGACAAATTCAGTGTTTTCTTCTCCACGATGCCTGGCCATTGTTCTTTGAGCTTTTCGGCTGTTTTAACTGCGGACTTTTCAAACACAGGATGAGGCTGGTTAGCAGAGAGTGAAGGCTCTGTGAATACAGCTTGTGTTCAGGCTTTCACTGTGCCTTTATCCTGTGGGATTTTTTGAGCTATATCCTGAATAACTTGGTTTTCTTTAGAGAAATGAATGAAATGCTGAGTTATAGGCCTACTGTATATATTTAAATAGTTTTCTTACACTTCTTAAAATCAAGACTGCCTCATGATCCCCTGTGAGGCCTAGGTGACCCCACATGGGGTTGGGACCCCCAGGTTGGGAACCAGTGTTCTACACTGCCACAGTAAATGATTCTCACTTTGCCTTTTGTGTAAATGTGTTAAAATGAATGATTTTCTCACCGCAGAACTGTTTGGTTCTCCAGCTGTACACCTTGGCCCCCACAGCTTGGCAGGCAGATGTGTATGATGTAATAGCCTCACAAAGCACATCCTTTCTGCCCTTATACAAGCATACATCATAAACACAGTCCTCAAAGAATCCAGCTGGGTCCACCTTGGCATGGCAGTCACGGAACGGCCCTTTGGGGTCTGTGATGATACCACAGAAATCTTTCTTTTCATACTGAACCTTCTCATTAATGTCACAATTAGGACACACCCCTTTACAGCCCTCCACACATCCTGGGATCTCTGCCACTCGCCAGCTGGTGCCAAAAATGTCTGCTGAAACAGGTTTGTCGCCATTCTTTGGAATCAAGTCGTCCTGGGCTTTGCCGTTGTAGTTGCCACACAGGCCGCAAACGGCTCCCATGTAGGTGCTTGGCAGTGTTACGTACACAGCGCTGTTCCAGTTGAAGGTGACTTTGAGGCCGAAGTTTGTGGTGACCACAGCCGACCAGCCGCTCTTATACACAGATATCTTTCCTTCATCCAGGGTGACGGGCAGGTTGACCAACTCATTATTCACCTGGAAAGTAAAACACAATTATAATTACAAACAGTGACTTAATATTAGAAAGATTTAACTGTTTATTTACGAAACATGATGTAGTTCCTACCAAAATCAGGCCTTTGTGGGTCTTTGTAATGATAATGCTGATGGAGTCCACCTTGATCTCCACTAATTTGGTGTAGGAGACCACCCTGCTGCCCCGGTGATCATTCTGCACCAGCACTTCAAAGGGCACTAAGTCTGGGTTCTTAGAGCAGAGTGCAACCAGCTGGTACACACATGTGCCCTGGAAGTCAAATTTCCTGTTGTCAAAGGTCTTATAATGGGGGTCACCCGTGGCTTGGCAGGTGCTGTGGGAGACTGCCTGGCACTTTCTTATGCCCTCAACCACCTGGCACTGCTGCGCTGCCCCGCAGCCTTTATTGTGGCACTCCACGCGCCGGCTTCCAGCAAGGCATTTACACCTTCGCCGACAGCCCTGGTCAGCCCAGAATGACTCCCCAGCAGGGATGCTTCGACCCTCATACACACAACCACATTTGGAGGTGGGCACACACTGACCTCCGCTCAAAACAAAACCTTTGTTACAGGTGCAGGACTCCACACAGGGACGTCTGCATTTGGAGGGAGCATCAGGGTCAGAACAAGTGGCAGGACAGGCATTGCCGCAGAGCTCATAGTGGCTGTTAGCTGGACATTTAGCAGCTTTAGGGAGAAGAGAGAGTGTGATAAATATCAAGAACCACAAAGAAAAAAAAAGTATGTTCATTTTAGGATTTATTTAGTTGACATTACTTACGGCATTTTGCCCTCTTCCTCCAGTCTTGAACCTGGACCCCAGCAAGCTGGCAGGCTTCAGCATAAGCCTCCAGTGCCCTGCAGAGGAAATGTCGAAGGCCGCCTCCCATGCATACGTCATATTTACAGTTCTCCAGGTATGCTTGTGGGTCAATGACGGAATGACATTTGCTGAATGGCCCATCGAGTATGAGTGTGATGAGCCCACAAAACAAGTCACCCTCCCACTTCTTCATCAGGCTGTGTTCACAGCGCTCACACCCACCCACACAGTCGTCTTTGCACAGAGCATTTTTAACCAGCCCTGGCACCTTCCAGCTGCTCCCGAAGGCCACAGCCCCACCTGCCTGGGTGCCGGACGGTGTGGTGAAATCATCATTGGGGTTGTTATTGAAGTTGCCACAGAGACCACATGTCTTACCAGCGTAAGTGGCGGACAAATCGACCTCGAGATAGTGTTCCCAGTCATAACGGACAGTCAGGCCAAAGTCAGTCTCAATGACCACAGAGCGACCGCTCTGAAACATGAGCAGTTTGCCGTTTTTCAAGGTCACAGGCAAACTCCACAGACTGTCGTCAATCTGTACATAAGAAAAAAGAAAATATATTATGAAGGTATTACAGTCATGATCTATTGATTTAATATATGCATTTTAATATGTCACACCAAGATATGATTATAATATTCATAACAAATCCAAGATAATATTTAAAATCCAGTAATTTGAAAGAATAATATTTTACTAATAAAAATAAGAAGCCTCACCCTCACACGACCTGTCTCAGACCGAGCGATTGTGATGGTGAAGCCATACACCTTCACTGTGACAAAGGCGACATACGACACCCTGAGGCTTCCCCTGTTCTCGTTTTGGGCAAGGACCTCAAAGGCAGGGAGCTTATCATCCTTCCCACAGTTTTTAGCGATGACATATGTACAGGTACCCATGAAGTCATAGTGGCGCCCGTCAAAGGTGCGGTAGTGGGGATCTCCCATGGCCCAGCAGACACCAGGTTTCTTTTCCACAGGCTTAGGGACACAAGAGGGATACCCACCCTTCATTTCACACACCTCACTGGGACTGCAAGTGATAGTGCTACAGGACAAAGATCCACCACCACCTGGAAAATCATAAATATATTATTAATGCTGACATCATTACAACTAATTAAAATTAATATATCACTCTTAGAGGGATAGCTCGGATTTTCTGAATTGGAGTTGTATGAGGTATTTCTCCATACTCAGTGTATAACGCACAACTGAAGACTGTGGGCACACCACCAGCCTGGAGAAGCAGACAGGAGTACAACCACTGAAGTGAAGCAATGTAATGCTGTGGATGGGGGCAGCAGCAAAACATGTTTTAACAACCTGAAAAAAGCCCCAGTCCCAAAGTGTATGCTATAATGAGAATATTTTTACTGCTTTACCCTGCCATCAGACACCCCTTTTCTGACAGGGAAGCTATTTATGCTGCTGGTCTACCACTGTTTCGATCAGTTAGTTTGTTTGTCTTAGTGTGTGACTTTGGTAAATCTGAACAAACCATTTTAAATGCTAAAGTCACACAATAACACAAAGAAACTAAGTGATCGAGGCAGCAGTAGACCAGCAGCTCCTGTGTTCAGAGATGTTAAATCACTGTTTTTCCTCAATGGAGTCTGGCTTTGAAGAGAGCGATATAACGGCCTCAGTTTACCACTCCAAGTCTCTGTTTGATGGCAAGGTAAGTGGTGAAAATACTTTCAAAACAGAAATTAAACAGTACATTGCTTAGCTTCCATGCCAGTGCTCTTGCCTGCTTTTCCAAACTGGGGGCGTATTGACAGCTATCTACTGTAGGTAATACACTGACTATGGATAAGTGCCTCATAAAACTCCACTTTAATATGCTGTATATCATAACAGTATCTGCTTGAAACAGATTTTTTTTCGTAAACAGTTGTGCACCTTACCTTGCTGTATACATTGTCCTGGGGCACCATAACCATTCATCTGGCTGACTCCTAAACTGTAGAGCGCAAAGAGGGAACCAGAGCTGGACACAGTGTGCCTATTGTTGCCAGGGGTCAGTTTGAAGGGCATCTGTACCCAAGAGTACTCAGTCCCTGCCACCTTTTTCCACTGGACATTACGGGGCAGGTTAGTACCATCAATACGCAGCTCTGCCATTGCACTGGTCTGTGCCACAATCAGGGCTTGGTTGTCAAAGCCTTCCAGGGCCTCTAGTGAGTAAGAGGAGCAGAGGCGGTCTGTGGGCAGGATTGTCATCAAGAAAGGGTCGATGAATTGGTGCCAGTTCTGTGTGACGCCGTTGAAGAGGAAGAGGACCTGGATGCCATGATCAGCCTGGATGTACAGTGATTCAGTATTGTGGTGGCGGATCTCTATTATCCGTCTTTTGTCGAAATTATAATTCTGCTCACGGTTGCCATATTTGACAGTGGCTTTGGTGGGCTTGGAGGCTTGGAGGAAGACGCTGTCATAGTTCTTCTGAAAGCTCAGTGGAGGCACAATAAAGCTGGTTCCCCACTTGCTGACTGGCAGCAGCTGCTCGTATACATGGTTGCATTTGGAGAAGAACCAGGTGCATGTGTGACCTGTGACAACCGCAACAGGGTGCTGGGATGTAACTCTGGTGCCAGAAAGTTTGTATGTGCTCTGGAGCTGGACACTCTCATACGGCTGGAGATCTATCACCATTCGGCTGCCAGCCGCATAGACACGACCCTGGAACCTGATGGGGCCACGGGGGAAAATCTCCACTTTGGTGGGCTCTTTGCCGTTTGTCACAGAGAACTCTTTATAGGAGCCGAAGGGGGACCCAATAGGCGTAAAGATGAAATATTCTGTACCCCATTCAGTGATTGGATACACCACAGAGGTGTCTGCCGTGTACTGCTTGTAGTTGAAGGAGGTTACAGTCACATCTGCTGAGGCTTCAATGCGCACCGTGTTGGGAGACTTTGTGCTGTCGTGCATCTCAACACCAGTAGGGAGACTGATGGTGACCCCTTCTCCTGCACTTAGAGTTTTCTCTTGCTTGAAGTTTAAGGGAGGCACTTGCACTGTCACTTTAGCGTTGGCCTGAACAGCAGTGATGTATAGCTGAAAGCGAGGACTGTCGTAGTTGGGAATATAATTCTGCATGAATGACAGGGCAAACTCCCTCCCTGCCCATCCAGCATTAGATGGACCTGACAGACAGGGTAAGGAGCAACGAAACAGACAGAAAAACACATGTCAAAAGAAGACTTCTTTTCAAGTTTCCTAAAATGAAGTAGTCAGGTACAAAACTGTGCTTCACAAATCTTGTGTATGAAAAAAAAAAACATGTCAAGAAAAGCATTAGGAAATGAATGAGACTATTTGTGCCAAGGCAATCAAAGGATTTGCAGGCTGGTAATACAAAACTTGGCTTGAGACTTCTTGGATCGCATACACAGTACAAAGAAACAATATGACACCAAAGAGAGAGTGACTGAAAAAATACCTTCATTTCAGCGTTAAAAAGCAGGGATGAATGCTAGTCTTTAATGGATGGATTGCTTTTTTCCTTGATAGCCATTGTGGGAGATTTAGACTGAGGAATAGTCACTTGACTGCTTCTCAGCAGCACTCAATAAGTCACTTGTGCAGACAATATAATTGCATAATGGAAATATTATCAATATCTGTGCCTTTGCTGTGAAAAGAACATTTTCTGGGCTCAGTCAGGGCCTGAGGGATTTAGATTACACTCCTGTTTCACCCATTCAGTATAATAGTTCCAACTCAATAGCAGCTGAAGGTAAATGCTATTCCCAACAAAAGCAAATTTCAATTTAGATGGCTATCCTTTATGTGCCGCTCTCTCGAATTCTTCACCTGTTTAACATTCTGCTTCATTCACACAAGCACCTGGTACGGCCGCACAACAATGCTCTCCACTGATGGGGTTGACAACCTGGATAAATTGCTTCAAATTGAGCGATCACTTGGCTACAATGTCCTGCTGGTGAATTCTGAGCCAAGGTTTGTGGAATGCTGCTGTGATTGATTAATTGAGCGAAGGCAGGTTTAGTCAGATTTAATAGTTGTTAATGAAGAGCAGGATATTTGATAGATATTAAAGAATTAAAATTTACATTGCTACTACTGTGTTTGCTCAGTGTAACACAGCTTAAAATCATGAAAAAATTGTCAAGAAGACAAGCACAGATACATCACATCGAAATGGAAATTTAAGTGGGTCCTGTGGCTGTTATAACAAATAAGAAAAACCAGAGTATTACTTACTGCTGAGTAAAGCCCCCAAAACACAAAGCAGCAACAGGGCACCCATGGCTAAAAGACAGAAATTATTGTTTTAGTTACAGAATGATGTCAGATTCACATTATTTAAATAATATAAATGCAATAATTTGACCAAAACAGCCAACATAAAGAATCCTAAAACGAGCAGTGCTTACCTGCTAAGAGGCATGTACGGGGTGTTTTTTACAGTTCCATCCTTTTATACATTCTGATGGACAAAACACAACCAATGAAAAAATGTTTAACTCAACAGCTATGGCTTAGAAAAAACAATACCCTTCCTCTAAAACAAATTAAGGCAGAACCTGGCAACGCTGTATGTTGACATAGGTCTGAAGTCCAATGCCAGCTACATACAGGAGGTGAATCATTCACCTTTCATGTTAGACATGCTCATCCTGTCTTTATTACCAGGAATCTGATCAGGACTTCTGCAGAAGATAAACATTTGTGGGTATGCGTGACATTGAATGCTGTATTTGAGGATTAGCAATTCAAACAACCTCGACTGTCTTCTTTGGAAACGTATGTCATCTCCTTTTCTCATCACTGGAAAATTTTAAAATTAAAAAATGCATTTGGATAATTTGTCATTACATTAATCGTGCAATTATTTGTGTTTTTAGTCAAGTTTTTTTTCCCATTTTTAATAAACAGTAAATCCAGTCCCGCTGGATGCATACCACCAGGTAGATTTAGGTCAATTTGCTTATTTGCCCACATTCAACTGTATTGTATATTCTGGTGTAACCAAATAATATTATCCATTTTACAGTGGGCAAGGCAAGAATATGATAAGACCAAAATCAACTTATCTTCAAAGTCTCTGAGCTGACATGCAGCAGTCTAGTTTCATAATAGGGGCTGGGTTTTGAAGAATATGAAAACATGAATCATTGTGATTTTTTTTTCTTTATATACATATTTAAATATGGATTCATGTCTTAATTTTTTCACATTTGCTGTGTGTGAATCAAATTGAGCTTACATGGTATGACATTTGCTATATAAATAAAGACTGATGATTTATGTCTCACATCACAGAAGATATACATTTCAAAATGTTGGTTTCTTCTGGTAAGGACATGGATTTTCTCAGATTTTACAGCAGAAAAAGTGTTTCCTTAAAAATGTGACATGATCATTTCTTCTCTAAACTCTTGCTTTTCATTCAAAATGCCCTCCTGTCAGTGTTCTTTATTGTTTACCAGTTTGAGAACAAACTCCGTAATCACACAACCTACTGCGCATATTGATAGCATATAAACCCTACTCAGTGCACAAATCACAATTTCTGCCCATGTTTATATTGTGTCCTTTAAGCCAGTGCATGCTTGTAAACAAAGACATGTCCCCTTGTAACGCTTGCAAAATGGGTGGATAATCCTATGGAACTGATCGATCAAATCTTAATTAAACCAACATTTCTGCGGTGTGGCAGGAGTTGGGCTTAACGGGCGGTTTCTGTTGGTTTTGTGTGCCACCCAAGGTATAACAGCACACAGTGGAGGGTGCTACAATCACTCATGATAGAGGGAAAGTAAATATAACTTAGCCCTAAAAGTTTGCATTAGATTATGAAAAAACCCTCAAATATTTAATTACTTTTCATTTGGTCAGAAGCCCTTGGGCAGGGCAACAGTAAGCCTGGTTTAGTTACTGTACACATTGTGGATGTAGATAAAGGTGTGCCCTCATTGCTTTTTTTTATTGGATCCTAATCAACGTTGGCCAGAGATGACCTTATTTAAAAAAGGTGTGTGGGCCTGACTGATAAGGGTGCTGCCAGCAGGAGAAGGGCATGCCAGAGAGTTTAAATGACAGACTATGCAAAGTTATTTAAACGGTTTTTGTATTTAAACATACAACAACACATCTTTTACATTAAAACAATCGTCATCATCCAGTGAAGCCGCTGTGAAAAGAGAAAATATTCATTATTTAATTAATTTTTAAGCATATAAACGTAATTAGTCGATGTACTAGTGTTGTGAAGGACATCACTTACCAGCCAGGAAAGTCAGGGAGAACCCATGACCTGACTGAACTGTGTGAGTGGAGGTCATTAAGGTTTCCACAGAGACCACACAATTTCCCTGAGTACCAGAAAGGGACCTTGACTGTCACCATGGTAACACCAATCTCTATCTCCAGCTCTGACTCCAAACCAGTGTTTCTCCTCAAAATCACTGTGACCTCTGACTTGTCCTGGCTCACACCAGAGGACAGGGACACCCCTGATGGCAAGATGTGAGGGAGGGACACGAAGCGTCCATCCACCTGTGGGGTGCAACAGTGAGTTATTGAGGACAGACAGTTTCAAAGTAGGTTTCGGTTTCTGGTCATGAAAATTCTAAGAGAAGTTATACCTTCACTGCTCCTTCCTGTATAGTTAATGATGCTCCATGCAGGAGGATTTGAAACACAGTGACCAGCCTGGAAGAGCTGCCATCACAAGGTCCATGGTAAGAGATCAGGCTGAACCAGTGCACACTTGCCTCGTCACAGAGGGACATCAGACTGTAAGATAACTGAGGTTCCAAGCTCAGCTGCTGCCCACTGAATGTGGAGACCTGGAGGCTGCCCCTTAGCTCACAAACTTCAGGTCTGTCATGACAACCCCACGAACCATTTCTCAGAGCACACTGCTGTCCCACACTGCACTCTGCCCCCTCACATATCGCCCCACCCAAAGGGTGGCACCAGCATCTCTGGGTGCAGTCCTCAGTGTACAACTGTTCATCCAGCTGAGGAGGAGGAGGAAAACTAATTATGCAGTTGCCGAAATCCTCCATGTGGGCTTTAATTACTGATAACAACATACCTGGGAATGTGCATAGCATTTACTGTCTGTATTTAGCAGATATATTTACCTTGATATATACATCACGATGAACACACCCACACTGACTGTAAGGTACGCACTCGCCCCCATCAAACACATTTCCATTGTGGCACTCGCAGCCTTCTGAACAGCCAGTTGCTGGAGAGCCAGGCCGGAGCAGAGCGGGGCATGAGTTGGAGCTGGAGTCAACACACTTCCTGGGGCTGCTGCGGTCAGGACACTGGAGAGCTGGTGGTAGGAAATGCGAATCATTTAGGCCTAGTCCACATGTACATGGGTATTTTCAGGCAAAAATTCCTGTCCACACAGGTACCACAATAAAAAAAATCTCCATCTAAATGAAAATTCAAAACACAATTTAAGCACTGTTGAGAGCAAGCCAAACAAACAGGCAGCAATATAACCCTAAAGCCACACGAAGGAAAAAAAAAAGAAAAAAAAAAAAAGATGCTGGTCTATCAGAAACCTAAAAAAGCTATTACCTGGAGCAGTGACCTCTGTAGTGCATTCAGATGCCTCTGTTTCTCAGTATAGTGGAGGAGTAACTGTACATTTATGTGTAAAGATGTAATAAGTCTTATTAACCAGCACTATCTTTGGTCACATCCAGCACTGCAGGACATGTAGCCTCATGTGTGACCCCTCACAAAAGAGAATGGTGTACACTCTGACATCTTAAGCCAAAAACTCACTTTTCCCTGTCTCCACTGAAAATAAGAGTTTCTGAAAATCTTCACCCTTGACAGAGTTCTACAAAGGATCAGTTATCAGTGACTTACAATGCAGTTTACGTGTAGATGAAAGGCAGAAACACATAGAAAAGGCTGTTTTAAAATACACCCATGTATGTGTGGACAAGACCTGAGAGTGGAGCACATACTCATTTAAACAGCCGTCAAAATCATTTACTTACCACATGGAGTGTTCTCTTTCCATGACCCCACTGGTATCCCTTTACTCTGGCAGGCTGCAGAATATGCTTCTAGTGCTAGACATGCAGCCACATGCCCTGCTGCCCCGGCACAAAGTGCCCTGTTGCACATGAGTGTGTAAATATCTCGCTCCACATCACTGTTCCAGCAGTGGTGGAATTCAATATTATTGATCAACAGGATATCACAGACCATGCTGTCGTGTGGGGACAGCCTACACTCCTCACACTCTCTCCCACAAGTGTCAGTGCAGTGCTCTTCAGGAGCTGCTGCCCAGCTGTGCAGGAGCTCTGCAAAGCTTTTTGCAATGTGGCCGTTCCTCATTTCCATGTCGTCATACTTGTCCCCATTGAAGTTCCCACAGAGGCCTGAAGCTGTGGTGTCATAAACCTGCGGTACAGTCAACCTGAGGTAATGGGTGGAGGACATGTCAATCCCCACCCCGGATGGTGTGATGATAATCAGTCGGTTGCCATCTTGGTAAGCTGTTAGTTGTCCATTGTTGAAAGGCACTCCATGTTCTTCTCTGTTCACCTGTAAGCACAGAAACCAGTTAAGGCTGCAAATATTTTATGAAACTTACCTTTAATAAATAAATGGATACAGATTGCTTACTTGTATTTTCCATAGAGTTTCAGGATCAATGGACACCTCCATTGAATGCAAATTAAATACCACTCTGCTGATTGTGAAAATGCCAGTCATGTCCTTTTTAAAGCTAAGCAGCAGAGTATAGTCATGCAAGGCTTTAGATGAGAGGGCTGATACTATATAGGTGCAAGCTCCATGGTGAGGCAGAACAACACCATCAAAAGTGATGTAGCCGAAGCCAGCAAACACTTGGCACACCCCATACTGCACGGTAAGGCCATCCTTTACTGAACAGCTTTCCACAGGGCCGCAGGTCACCCTTCCCCCTTTGCAGTCACACTTTTGGCAGCTCTTCTCAGAGTAGAAGTGGCCAGCAGGGTGATACTCCCCCTCATGCATGCAGCCACAGTCAGAAACCAGCACACACTGGCCATCACTCAGGACGTAGCCAGGGTCACACTGGCAGCCCTCTTCACAACCTCCACTACAGTCTGCTGGGGAGGACAGTCCGAGGCACGCAACAGGGCATTGAGGTCCACACAGCTCATAGTGGCTATTCTTAGGGCATGACATACCTGGAGGGAGAGACGGTACTAAGTCTTAAATGTCACAGAATCATGACGTTTGACAATGACACATCTCATTCTACCTGAGCATAATTAACATCCAACAGAATTTTGTTCTACCTTCGTCACACATAAGCTCATCCAAAATTTTCCCACATGCTCTTAACACTCAACCCACTGACTTATGTAGTGTAAATGTCTGTGTGTAAATGAGTGCAATGGCTCAATGTTAAATACAGCACAGAGGAAACTTTGTAAGCTGAATAATTTCTGTGGCCACTTAGGACTGAAATATTTGGTTGCCTTCCATTAAATAGAAAAAAAAAAGTATTGCTGTAGGGTCAAAACAAATAACTGACACATTAAAAGATATGTCAAATAAATCAACTGTACAGTGTTTGTAACGGAGTAATTTACATAAATTTTGAGCTCTTAACAAAACAATACCAGTGTGCCTTTCCTGGCTTGAACACACGATTTAGTCATAGTGTTACGGATGATGGCCGATTGCGGACACCTGCCCTGCATGACTGCTGACTTGTCTAATGATGTTTATAAAAGCCTGAAGGTCAACAAATATGCCATCAGGTACAAGCCAGCTGCCCAGCTTTGAACCCGGACAGACACATAAAAGTATCAAGCACTAAATGTTCCTAGGAATCTGTGAGGCTGGACTCTAATCAGCTGTAAGGTATTAAAGTAAATTAAAATTTAACCAATGACAAACAGACCGAATTATATACCCACCACAGAAAGTGTCACTCCTCCAGTGCCTGACTGGCAGCTGAGCTGCTTGGCAGGCAGCAGCATAAGCAGCAATGGAATTGCAGAGTGCTGAGTAGTGTCCGTCATAAGAGCAGGAATCTGTTACACAGCTGTGGAAGTAAATCTTGGGACTCAACACTGACGCACAGTCTGCAAATGGCCCTAGCTCATTCAACAAGACCCCACAAAAATCACTGCCTTCAAAAAGCTTCTGCACCTCAGCAGGACAACGCTTCGGTCTGGAGGAACAGTTGGACCTACAGGCCTCTGATCCAGGCTTCCTCCAGCTGTGGGCAAACTCTAGTTTATTTTGGGCAAGCTCTTCATTGGGCATCATTTGGTCATCGTGAGGGTCAGTGTTGGCATTCCCACAGAGACCAGAGACAGAGGAGGCGTAACTGCTGGGGAGGATAACCATTAGTGTGCCAGTGTTGTAGATGATCAGATGTAACCCCACATCAGTGTGAATGATGATAGACGAAGGTGTGTGGTAGGCATTAACATGGCCTGTCTGGTGAGAGTATGGCAAGGGCTTATACAGTCCATCAACCTGAGAATGAAAAGAACACACTCAAGTTACATACAATGGTTCATTCTGAAGGCTGTCAATAAGACATCGCAACATACTCACCAAAACCTTCCCTGGGTCATCCTTTCTCACCACCACCTCCAAACCATAGATGGAGAGTGTTAAATCCAGGCTATGAAAAAGCCTTTTGTGGCAACTTGCATCAGAGATGGTGATATTAAATGGTGTTAGTCCAGTTAGGTTGGCCTTAGTCTGAACCAAAGAATAAGCACAGCTGTCCCGAAAGTCAAAATGATATCCATCAAAAGTTGTAAAATGCAGCCCGGTGACAACAGTACAGTTCTGAGGCTTTTCAGGTTGACACACCCGCTTGTGCTGTAGCCGCTTGCAGACCATTCCTCTGGGGCACTGGGCTGGCTGGCAGTGGATCTCTCCAGTAGCCGGTCCACAGAAACAGAGCTGACCACAGTTGTCTGGCGTCCAGAAAGTTGAGTTGAGGCTGTAGTATTTGCCTCTGGAGTCCGTGCAGCCACACTGATGTGGACGCACACAGCCAATCTGACTCCTAATAAAGCCAGGGTCACAGAAGCAGGCCTGAACACACTTCTTGTTGCAGAAAGTGGCGTTAAACTCACAGGATGGAGGACATGCTGAGCCGCAGGTCTTGTAGTGGCTGTTTGGTGGACAGTGCACACCTGAAATTATTTATCAGTGTGTCATTTAAGATTACAATAGCCACAAGAACATTTTAACTGACTTACATTGCACTTTTTACGACTACTTACCAGCTGTCACTTCATCGTTGTAGCCATCACTGGCTTCTTCACACACTAAGGAATATGAATACATGGCCCCGTCAAGTGCAAGTTCTGACCCTCCGTCATGCATATGATCAAACACACAGCTGTCATAGAAGGAATCTGGATTAACTCGACTATGACAGTGGGAAAGCGGACCATTCTGATCCATGAGCACTGCACATTGTCCTTTGCCACCAGGGACAACCTCAGAAACAGGATCTGCAAGCATGTCATCTTCATCTGATTTCCGTTTACAGCCAGTACAACAGTTATCGTCCCCATCGAAGAGCCGGTAAGCTTCAGTGAGCGCCGCAGTTGTGTTGACAGGAGGGGAACCAGGTGTAGTTACAGGATACTCATCTTGAGGGTCACCATTAAAATTGCCACACAGCCCATACACTTTACCCTTGTAGTATGGGTCCAGTTTCACAACAGTATTAGAGTTCCCATCGAATACTACACGCATAAAGTCAGTCATCAGTACAGCTTTGCCTTCCTTGGAAGAAACCTGGATCTTACCTCGCAACAGATTAACAGGAATATTAGTCACCTGGTTGTTAACCTGAAAATAAAGGGCGAGACTCATTAGTAATAAAATTAAAACCTGAGCAGCTTTTACATTCAAAAACTGACATTTACTTACATGTACGCTGCCATTTCCTCCACTAAGCTTAATGATGTACCCATAAGCTTTTACAGTGACCGCCTGTGTGGACGACACAGTGCTGCCTTTACAGTTGTTCTTCTTGGACACACTAAAGGGTGTCAGACCATTTGCTGACCCCCTGCTGCCTGTAAGCAGATAGGCACAGGTCCCCTCGAAGTTATAGTTGAGCCCATCGAAGGTGTGGTAGTGCCGGCCTCCCCAGGCCCAGCACAGACCGCGACGACTCTCGCAGATGTGTGTGCCATTGCTCAGTTGACACGTCTCAGTTTCATCACATTTTCCCTCACATGGATCAGGGGTTGGTGCTGCAAAAAATACAGTAACTTATGTTTTTACAGCAAGAGAAGTAATAATTGCCCAGGCAAATTAGTATCAAAAAATATGGCTCTTAAAATTTAAATGCTCACCCTCCTTGTGGCAACCCATAATTCCATCTGAAACTACACAGCTGTGCAATGCAGGACATGAGTATTGCTCACAGACGAGAGGAGGCCCACAGGTGCAGTTAACAGTACAGTTTTGTAGCAGTTTGCTCTCAGAGGCCTGCAAATAGAGACAAAATGACAGAAACCAATATCAGAATGTGTTTACTGAAGTCATTTGAAGAAGATTCTTTATTAAAATATTGCAAACAAACAACGCAACTGCTGAATTTAAGTAAATGTGATGGACTATCTAAATGAATACTCGTTGAAAACTGTTTAATTCTGACCTTAAACCTCCTCCCGTCCTGTACACAGCCACACTGCTCTGCTGGAACACAGGAATAACCATCATAAAGGTGTCCGGTATTACACTGGCAGCCTTCCTCGCAGTCTCTGGGGCACTGCACCGTCTGGCTAATCTCAGGACACAGTGAGGAGCAAGCATTGGCACACTGGCTGTAGTTGCTGAATCGAGGACATTCATAAGCTGTAAAATAAATCGCACAACAGTCAGTCTTAATAAGTAGGATATATTGCAGCATTTAATCATTTGAAATTTTAATTCAGTCTCATTTAAACATTACTAAACAATGTACAAAGACTCACCACAGCCTGTGGAGTTCGTCCAGAGGTCAACCATCCCTCCCGCCTCCTTACAAGCTGCCTCGTAGGCCCACAGTGCGTCACACAGAGCCCAGTGTTGTCCCTCTGCTTCACAAAGATTTTCCATGCAGAGTGCGTAGTATTTATTCGGGCACACTAAATGGTGACAAGAGGAGAACGGACCCGTGGGATGGGTGAGAAGGCCACAGTACAGGTCAGATGTGTACTCAGGCACAGGATAATGGCAGAGTTGACAGGTACTGTCACATGTGTTGCTGCAGGATGATTTGGTATCAGACAACTTCCATGACAGCCCAACAATGTCAGGATCAGAGATCATGGTGCCATTGGGCAGCTGCAGGTCATCCGAAGGATTATCATTGTAGTTTCCACAAAGGCCACAGGTTGTCTGGTGGTAAATGTCGGGGATTTTGACCAGAATGTGGTTTTGCAGGTCTGAAATTAGCTCAACAGACTGCAGGGTCTTGATGGTTATCCGTCCATTTTTCTGATGTACAGTCAAGTTGCTCTGGGAGAACGGCAGGTTCTCGAAAACTCCATTTACCTGGGTGAAATAATTCACGTTTAAAAATGTAAAATACAGAACAGTTCGTGTATGCTGTGAAAAATTACTTTACAGTGCATGCTAAAAGATGAACAATAAATCATGTTGAAGGCTGTGAAATCATTACATGAATTACCTGAATTTTTCCAGGAAAAGCTGCTGACATCTTAAAATGCATTTTATCGACTTGCAAGTAGATCTGCCTGCCCTCGCTGTGGTTGCCCTGTGCAGCTATGAAAACAGGCTCCACATCCAGTTTATTGAGGCACGTCTGCACCAGGGTGTAGTTACATGAACCATGAAATTCAAATGCCTGTCCATCAAACGTGGTGTATTGGGATCCATCAACAGAGCAGCGTGCCACTTTGGGTTTGGGGTGGCAACCTTGAACACCCTTAATAAGCTTACACTCCTCATCCTCACCACAGGAGACATTACGACAAGTCACGCGTCCCCCAGCATGACATAAACAGCTTTGCTCGCAGGTAGACACCTCCTGTCCTGCTCTGAGGTATTCTCTGTGGTGGAAGCAGCCACAGTTTTCTGGGTAGACACACAGGCTGCCACTGTGAACTAACCCCGCTTCACAAAGGCAGTTCTCCCCCATGTTTGGAGGCATCTCTACTGTGTTATTCTGCCAACTGAGGCAGAGCTGAACAGAGGCAGAACTCATGTTGTAGCTGGTACTGGAGGGACAGGACAGGTCTGTGGAGATACAGAGAGACATCAGTCACTTAGGACAGGAAGACAGAAAAATGTTGTAAAGGTTAGGGTTGACCAGTGATGCATTAGTACCATCTAGTGGTCCAATAGCACCTAGAAGGTTGCGGCCTCAATACCAGTGTGTCACAGACACTGTCAAACTTATACAAACATTTTCAATAAATACCCGAGGGAACAAACTTTACATTAAGCACCTACAGGCATGTATTTGATTTGTATGCAAATAATCTCCATTCTCTTCTCCTCATGTTGCGTGATCAATATCAACAATCTAAACATGATGAAACGTTGTGTGCTTGCACAGGCATCTGCAAACTCTCCATATTTCATTTGGTGTGCAATGATGCTGAACTCCAAACAACACAGTTACAATTGTAGAGGATATTAATTTAATTCACTCGCACAACAGAGCTCAGAGCACATTAACACTCACAGCAGAATCCAGGACTCCTCCAGGCAGAAACTGTAGCCTTGTGGGAAAGGCAGACAGCAGTATACTCTGCCAGGGAGTGACACAGTGCAGGCTGGAGACCTCCATGAAGACACAGGTCACTGACGCAGCGCTTGTAAAAGCTAGAGGGGTCCACTTTGCCATGACAGTGCCTGAATGGTCCATTAACTTCCAGAATCCTCCCGCAAGCCTCCGGGTCAGAGAAGCGGGCCAGACGCTCAGATGAACATTTTGGACAACTTCCTCCCAGACAGCCCTCCACACACCAAGGATTCGGCCCACTCCTCCATGCTTTTCCAAAGTGCTCTGGACTGAGATGCTCCTGTAGGCCATTTGCTGTGAGGTCATCAGTAGGATCAGAGTTGAAGTTACCACACAGCCCACAAGTAGCATTAGCATATTTACTGGAGAGACTAATGCTGACTATGCCCTCTATGCCCACACTAAATTCAAAGCCCATGTCTGTGTAGATGTAAGTGTGCAGCCCCAAAGAGAACGCCAGCGCAGAAGGGCTGAAGTGATAGGGCATGCTCCTCTTGACACCATCGACCTGTAGGGGGGGCCAAAATTGCATTTGAAAGTCAGCAAAACATTGTCAGAAGTAATCTCTGTGAAGTCTGGTTAAATTATTAGATGATTTATTTACAACCTATTAGAGTGTCAGAAAAAATTATGCAGTGTCACATTAAAAAACAAACACAACAACAAGAGGATACTTGCACTTACCTCTATGCTCTCACTGTTTTTGCTGTTTAGCTCCACAAGCACACCACTTATATTGACCAGGACATGAAGCGCTGAGGCCAAGTGTCCATCCGTCTGTACGTAAACCTGAATGGGATCGAGGCCTCGTACCTGTCCACACATGCCCAGTAACTGGTACCGACAGGTGCCGTGCAAATCATAGTCATGCTGATCGAAGGTGATTACGTGATGACCGGTGTACATGCATGTCTGCTGGGGGTGTGGCACACAGCTTCTGACTCCGTTTTGAAGGCCGCAGAATTTGTCGGGGTCGCAGGAATCCAAACGGCACTGCGTCTGGTTGGTGCTGGGGTCACAAACACACTGTTTGGTGCATCCATCGTCTGCCCAGAAGGTCTGGTTGCCATGGTAACGGTAGCCGTTGTAAGTGCAGCCACACTGGGATAAGGGCACACAGGTGTCACCGTCCATGACGAACCCTGGGTCACACTGGCAGGTCTCCACGCAAGCCAGGGTGCACGGTCTTGAACCGGATGGGTCCTCGCAGGTGGGAGGGCAGGCTGAGCCACAGGACTTATAATGGCTGTTCAGTTGGCAGGAAACGGCTGATAGGAGAGAAGGAGAATGCTCAACAATGTGGAGGGAAAACTACACGCTCAAAGAATCAAGACACCTGTAACCAGTGGGTGACCTTTAAAAGACAGATGAGTTTTCAACTGCCTGTGGGAAATATGAACATTTAACAGCCTGTCCATTTTTTATTAAAAGCCATTTTTGCTGTCTTTTCTCTTGTTAAATTGTACATTGTGAAATTGCTTTATCACATGAGACAATTTAGTGTATGCAATGTCTGAGTTTCATGGTCTGCTAAACCAGTGCTACAAATGTTGCTCTAAAATAGGAAAGTTCTGTCAAAATTAATTTTTATTATTAATCAGTTATAGGTCTGGGTGTGGACAGTGAGGTGTCTGGGTCAGGGGGGATGTTGAGAGTTGGCAGGCTAGCAGGTAGTTAGGTTAACTGTAACCAGCTAATCATGTGTTGGTTTGTAAGAAGCATTTTCAATTGCAAAAATTTACTTTCATAAGACAAATTTGCTCACGGCAGAAGGTGCTGTTCCTCCACTCTCTGATGTGGATCTGGGCATTTTGGCAGGCGGCAGCGTAGGCCTCCAAGATGGGGCAGAGGACCTCCTGAGTGTCATTACTAGAGCACAGGTCAAACATGCTGACACCTGCTGAGATTTTAGTGTAATTAACAACTTCCCGGCACACGTAGAATGGATTTTGTGGTGACCAGATGTTCTCTTGCATAGAGATCCATTGACTGGCGACATCCTTCTCCAGTAGCTGCTCAGCAGAGCAGCGTGGGCAGGCATCTCCACAATCTGCTGTGCACCGAGCTTCCTGATCAGCAACTCTCCAGCTCCAGCCAAAGGTGGTAGCATCAACAGCTTCCCCCTGTGGGGTCTTGAGGTCATCATCTTTAATGCCGTTATTATTCCCACACATGCCATGGACTGCTGTTGTATTGGAGAGGAGGATAGTGGCAATATGAGAGCAGTCATACTTAATTTGGATTCCCAGGTGAGTATCTACAACAACAAACATGCCACTCTGATAAATCTTCACGCGTGCAAACTGCAGAGTCACGGGTAGTAGCCTTTTCTCGCCATTTATCTGTGGAGAAAGCAAAAACATTTTGTATATATGTTATCCCAGGATGCAATTTTGTGATGAAATCTTAAGGGACAGTTCACCTCCAAATCAGAAAGCATATTTTCCTCTTACCTGTAGTGGTATTTATTAATCCAGATTGTTTTGGTGTGAGTTGCTGAATATTGGAGATATCAGCCATAGATGTCTGCCTTCGCTCAAATATAATGGAATTAGATTGCAATCTGCTTGTGGTGCTCAAACTCAACAGTAATATCTCTTTCCAGAAATCATGACCCTGTAACTCAACATAATCCATAGACCTTGTTGTGAGCAGTTTCATGTAGGAACCATTTTCTTTCTTCTGACACCACAAGCTGAGTGCCATCTACTTCCATTATATTTGAGAGAAGGCAGACATCTCTACAGCCAATATCTCAAGCATTCATCAACTTGCATCAAGACAATCTAGGTTGATAAATAGCACTACAGGTAAGAGGAATAATATGTATTTTTGATTTGAGGGTGAACTGTTCCTTCAACCCTTGTAGTGTCAGTGCATCTACATTGTGAAAAACCACAAGCAACTTAATATTTAAAAGGACATATTGAAGAAATGATCAATAATGGATGACTGGCATCTCAAATAATAAAAAAGTTAAACTACAAACTGACAGTGAGGCTAGAATGGTGATGTGACTATTGTATTTCCTAACTCAAACTTACCCAAGCATGGCCTTTTTCCCCTCTGTAGATGGTAATATTGTCTTGAGCCATTTTGACATGGATAGCTTTGAGAGAGGAAGCCTCGTCGGGGGTCCTGTCTTTCTGTACCCCTACCCAAAATGTCAAATTCTCACTGGTGTCATTCAATAGTTGGGCCAGAGTGTAGGTACAGTTTCCTAGGAATTCAAACACCTTCCCATCAAAAGTGTAGAAATGGGCACCTCCCAGTACCCAACACTGGGTTTGCAGAGGTTGGCTTTGAACACCACAAGTCTTGCCATCTTCACAGATTTTAGAATCATTATCACCTGAAAACAAAGTGGCAAATTATCAGATTCATGCAGACACATGCAGCTGTAGAAATCTGCAGACCAGATCAGCCTATGAAACAACTGTTACAACATAAGTGAATAAAGCTCTAAAGTAGTTTTTAGAATAAAACCAAATAATATTTAGTCACAGAAGTAAAAAAAACAACAAAAAAAACAAAAACAGACTCATTTGCATGGCATCAAATGTAAATGCACATTAAGTCATTTGCAACAAATCACATTTAAATTTCAGTCACAGGCTTTTGTGAGTAAAATAAGAGGTGCATTATTACTTATGATTGACAAGCACTGCAATCATGCTGGAGCCCCCAGGCAGGGACGAGATTTTTGTACATAATGGACTATTCAAAAGGGTGACGGTTTAACCTCATTTTAGGTAAAATGACAGGACACAGAAAAAAACAAAACAAAAAAAACCCACCTGTGCGCTATGTATGAGGTTGCAAAACAGCCCCAGCAGAAAAACAGTTACATATTAAAATTTGAAAATGCAAGACAAATGAGTGTTGCACGGTGCAGCTGAATGAACAACAGTCAGCCTGTGAGGAAATGTCACCCAACCCAGCAGAACCAGCTGGGCCTACCTTTCCTTGCACAGCCCCAGGTATTGTTAAGGGTGCAGCTCTCTCCCTCGGGGCAAGAGGCTGGCTCGCAGCACATGGTGGCAGCGGCGGAGCAGTTACACCGCTCTGAGCATCCCTCAGCCCACGATATCTCCCCAATCTACAGAGAACAGTGAGTCACTGTTGGTGTGCGTTACCCAACTGTTCTCTTAAACACAGTGCAAACAAACAAGCCAGGAAAACACAAAGGCCTAGGATTATGTGATTAGTCATGCCACACACAGGTGAGGCATATGTACCATTGACTAAGACATTAATGAGTCATGTTATTAACAGTGCATGGAATAACCAGGGCACGTCACTTGTTTAGCTTCAACTGTGGCAACATGTTCAACTGCCAGTGCAGTGGGATCACATGTTGGTGTGTCACAACACACCTCAGTGATTCAGTGAACCAATAGGTTAATCAGAGTCAAACAAATCTCTGCAAATCTTAAGATCTTAGATTTTACGTATACAGTTTCACTGGATTAAGAAGAATCATAAATGCATTGCAGAGACAAAGGGAAAGTGTATAGCTGATATTTGCTAAATAATGTGTAGCTACTCACCTTGTAATAGTGCCCACTGTAGAAGCAACCACATTCCTCAGCTTTGACGCAGCCATTCCCACTCTGCATGTATCCAGACTTGCATTGACATCCCTCATAACAGGCCCATGGGCAGGGGATATCGGATAAAATGCCACAGGACTCAGGGCACGCACTGACACATATATTATAGTGAGTGTTTTCGGGGCATGAGAGTGCTGCGGGGAGGGGAGAAAAGGTGTTCATATACTGTACAGAGTCCAGCTAGTCTTACATCAATCTGGCAACAGCACTGTACAGAGCTTGCCAGAGTTCTTAAAGTACAAGAGAAGTGTGTGCAGACCTGTATGATTTACATGTACTGGCACACCATGACAGACTGATGAAACAAGACATGCGCACTCACGAGAGAGAGAGAGAGATTAATGATACTCACTGCACTTCTCACCCCTCCATGGTTTGACCTTCGCTCCTGCCTCCTGGCATGCAAAAGTGTACGCTCTCAAACTGCTGCAAAACAATTCTTCATTCCCATTAGACAAACACAAGTCATTCACACAGTTGTGAAAGAAGGGCTTTGGGTCCACAGTGGAGTGGCATTCACCAAATGATCCTGCAGGAGCGAGCAGCAGGCCACAGAGGTTATCAGATGCAAATGAAGCTTCCATGGTAGAGTTGCACTCTGAACAGGAATCGCATTTTTCAGAGCAGTTTGTTCCAGGAGGTGAAAGTGACAAAGATGCAAAGATAAAAGCATCACTTGCAAGGCTGGAATTCAGGCTCTGTTTGTCAGTAGTAATGGCACTGATGTTTCCACACAAGCCACACATTTTGCTATGGGAGGCAGGAATCACTATTTGTACCAGATTAGGCCCTCCATAAGTGACAACAGTCCCTGTGTCTACAACAACACGAGTAAGCGAGCCAGAAAACAGTATTGCTGCATGATCCAGCTGGACAGGAAGCCTCCTCAAAACACCATCAATCTGGAAAATTTAAATGTTAGAGTAACTATCGAGGCACATAAACAGTGAGTTTCTAAATGTGCAGCTGCTTACCTTTACTTTTCCCAAATGCTCCATCTCCAAAGATATGTTCACTCCACGGACCCTGAGGTGCAGCTGTCCTTGCTGGATAATAACAGTGGGCTCAGACTCTTCCTCGTCACAAACCCGGGATAGAACATAACGGCAGCTTCCCATATTAAAGTCAAACCTACGTCCATCATAGTTCGTGAAGTGCCTGCCGCCCATGACTGCACATTTAACGGGTTGTGGTGCATGACATGCCCTGTGGCCATCTTGGGTGGCACATGTTGTTCCTTTTGGACATGTGTGGTTGGTACATTGCACTGTGTTGTGGCCCACACAGACACAGTGCAGCTTACAGTGCTCATCGGGGTAGAAGTTATCATGGATTTCATAGTAAACATCATTGTGAATGCAGCCACACTCAGAGTTTCGTAGACATTTCCCACCACTGTGGAAGAACCCAGGTTTGCAGAAACATCCCTCTTTGCATTTCACTGCTGGAGGACTTGGGTTTGCCACACAGTCAGACATGTGAGTGGAGCACAGGTGGTATTCACTGTTAGGAGGGCAGGAGTGATCTGAGGAGAGAGAGAAATCAATTAAATTCACAATAGTCCTATTCTGTACATATGCAAAAATAATGATTTAACCATGGTTACTCACTGCAAAAGTTTAAATTTCTCCATTCATCCACTATAGCTCCCATTTCTTGACATACAGCAACATAGCTGGACAGAATCTGACACAGGGTGGCCTGGTTACTAAAGCAGAGGTCATGAACACAGTTATCATAAAAATCTTGTGGATCGACCATTTCATGGCAGCTCTGGAACGCTCCTTCTGTATCCAGTAACCTTGCACAGAAATCTTTCCCCTCATAAAGAGTCCGATCGTGTGAATTACAACCCGAGTTGTTCATAGGCACATCCACGCATTCATGTATGCTGCTGGTTTTCCAGTGTCTCACGGCCTGAGACATATCGGATTCGTCGTCGGGCATCACATCATCTTCTGGATTGCCATTAAAGTCCCCACACAGGCCACAGAGATTACCAGAGTAGGTCCTTGGCATTCGAACAGTCAGGACATCAGAGCTGTGTGTTACCACAAGGCCAAAGTCAGTCTCTATACACTTTGAGAGTCCAGCCATGTAGAGCTTTACTTTGCCCTGGCTCAAAACAGATGGAAGACGCAGTAGCAGACCATTTACCTGAAACAAGCAGAGTAGTGTTAATACTGCAAGTGGAGAATATGGTTTGTCTACTCTAGATGTACTGTGGACAAATAACTGAACGTACCATAACTCTGTTCCTCTGTTCATTTGACATCTCAATGGAGTAACCAAAGACTGCCATTTTAACATGCCGAAAGGAAACATTTGTAGCATCCTCTATGTGGTTCTGGACCTCCACGGTGAAGTCTTCCAGGTCCCCCCAGGTGGGACAGTGAGAAGTGAGTAGATAAGTACAGTTGCCATACACATCAAAATGACGCCCGTCAAAGGTGGTATAATGAGGATCTCCTTTGGCTATGCACACTCCGGGCCCATCCGCGTGACAGCCGAGGTCTCCGTTCAGAAGCTTACACACTTTTCCATCCTGGCATTGAGACTGAGCACACATAACCGTCTTGGAGCTGGGCTGGCAGACACACTTCTCCTGGCAGTGTTCGTCGATCCAGAAGTTCTCCTTGGGGTGATAGTAGGACCCTTGGTGAAGACAGCCACACTTGCTGTGTGGTACACACTTCCCACCACTCAGCAGGTACCCCTTGTTGCACCGGCATGATTCCACACAGGGCAGGGAGCAATTGCTGTGGGCCTCCGGGTTAGCGCAGGTAGCAGGGCAGGCAGAACCGCAGATCTCATAGTGGCTGTTTTTTGGACATACCATAGCTGGGAAAGGAACAACACAGTATTAGCAATTCTGTGGTTTACTTTCCGAGCAAATTATGATATCATTTAAAGGAGCAGTGTGTAGGATTTAGTGGCAGATTGCAACAAGCTAAAACTTCTCCCAAGTGCCAAACGTGAACTCCCTGTTAAGATTCCTTCATTGTCCATTGGTCAGGAGGTTTTTAACCAGGTGTCGAATTATTGGCAGAAGTTTCTTACTCTCCAAAACAAACGGACGAGGTGATTTATACTGGTAAAAACACAAATAAAGCAGTTTCACATTACAAATCAGTGTTTTCCCAACACTGTTCAGCTCATTGCAGAGATGCTGGTAACTACAGTGGCCGACGCAAAAACACGAATGGCCCCATCTTGAGCCAGTGTTTCGTTTGTCCGTTCTGAGGCTCTGTGGAAAAATGGCAGTCCAACGTGGCGGACCCCGTGGACGAGGACCTGCTCCCTATGTAGATATGATTGACTCATTTTGAAAAGGTAACAAAAACATGACCCTTGTTTTCAGGTGATTATAGACTAGAGAAAACATATCACATTCCATCTCTGCCTATATATTCCTGCATCCTACACACTAGACCTTTAAAAAAAATAAAATAAATCTCACAGCACTGTGAGATGGTTCTCCAGTTTTGGACTCTGGCCGAGAGCCTCTGGCAGATGTTGGCATAGGCCGTCAAGACCTTGCATACAGAGGAGGCATCTTCATTGACACACAGGCTGTTCACACAGCTACGAACAAAGGGCTCAGGATCAATATACAAGTGACAGTCTGCAAAAGGTCCATTGCTCCTCACAAGCAGAGTGCACCCAATCCCAAGGGAGCGGCCTTTATTGCCAGGAAATGATTTGGTCTGGCTTCGAGTGCACACTGGACATGAGACACCACCACCGCAGTCTTCAATACAGGAGCCTGTGTCACCGTTCACCACCCATGGGAGGGTGAAATCCACTGTCTGGGTATCATCAGTGCCATTAGGGGCAATGGCGCCAGCTGAGGAGCTGCGATTAGCATTTCCACACAAACCGCACAGGAGGCCATACAGCTCTGGGCCAACTTCAACCTGGAGATGGTGTTTCCAGTCGTACTGCAGAGCCAGGCCAAAGGTGGTGTCTAAGACAACGCTGGAGCCACTTTGATAAAAGTTCAGGGACCCGTTTCCCAGAGTGAGGGGCAGGTTCTTTTTCTGTCCGTTAATCTGAGTTTAAAGCAAGAGCAGGCATTGTGAATTAACACTTAACAGCTACAAAGTGTGTATTTTTGATTTAAATAATTTTGGTACACTCACCCTAACATACGTTTTGTCTTCTTTAACTATGGAGATGTTAAAGCCCTGGATGCTTATCTCCACTGTGTGGATGGTGGAGACAGTGGCACTCTTCAAATATGCTCGTGCTATATTAATCTGTAGTGGAATAGAAGCATTTAAGCCTGGACAGGTCGTCTGAACCAAAGTGTAGTTACAGTTTCCCTGCAGGACAAAATCTCCTCCATCAAACGTGCGGTAATAAGAGTCATCCCACGCAGAGCATATCTTAGTTTTTGAAACACAGAGTGGCTTTCCATCTTTGATAAAGCACTTCCGTTTGTGACCACAGCGCAGCTCTTCACAAGACGCTGCAGCTGAAATAAAAAAGAAGAAGTTAGGTATTTATATCCAACACAGCTTAACACAGTGACCAAATACTCAACATGCAATACAAAGTTATTCAAAATGTGCTGCGGTACATACTTTTGTAACACACTGCTGGATATTGTCTGCTCATGGTGCTCAGGTAATTCCCCACATCTGTGTCTGTGTGAAGAGAACTGGGCTCAGCATTACCGTCAGGCAGCTGAGTAAAGTTGGGCTTCAGGGAGAATTTAAAACCAGACTGCAAATCTCCTGTGCCTGTACTGTTATCTTGCTGCTTACTCATATCACCTGAATCAAACATAGCGACAGTCTGGCAGATATCATCAACAGATGGCAGTACTATTAGAGTTGAAGGTCTCTGCTGTGCATTGTAACGTCTGAAGTAAACAAGCTGAAGAGGACTGTCACTGATAATGTGGATTTTATCTGAGGCCACGACTGGAATGACCTTCATAACGCCACCAACCAGAGACATATTCTGTCGCTCGGTGCTGGCAGTGACGTCCAGGTGTGAGTTAATGGTAGCTATTGCCAACAGGAAACTGGAACTCATTCCTGTGTTTGCCAAAGGAGGTATAATGTAATCAAAACTCCAGTGCGAGACTGGTTTCAGTTCAGCAAATCCATACGAGCAATCCTGGGCTGTGTGTTTGGTGCAGGTAAAACCAACCACTACACTTACAGCTTCTTTGGAGATTACCTCTGAGCCAGACAGGCTTGAGTTGCTCTGGAGGTAAACACTCTGCAGCCCCCCTATATGCAACTTAAGGACACTACCCCTGGGATACATATTGCCTTCAGAGAGCACGTCTCCAGAGAGGAAGACATCCACGGATGTCTCCCGGTCTGAGCTGGTGATCACCATCTGGCTGACAGCAGACATGTCAGGAGTAATGGGATAGTAGTGGGTCCCCCAGGAGGACACATCATGGAGGAGGCTGTGGTCACAACCAGTGTGGGTACAGAATGATGCAAGGACTGTAACAGGCCACGTAGACCTCACACTGAGGAGGTGGGAGGAACGATCACCGGACATTCCCACAGACAGTGGCAGGTGGATTGTCTTTGACTGGCTGGCCGAGAGGTAGATGTGTTGCAGGAAACTGCTTTCCAGCACCTCCACAATGACGGAGGACCAAACACCAGTGGCTGTGATAGTGACTTGATGGGTAACATTTGCTGCTGGGTCATTATGTGGAGGGAACATAGTCAGAAACTTCCTTCCAGGACTGGCCGCGGACAAGCCTGCAGAGGAGACGACAAAACTGAGTTACACTTTACTATGAATGCTATTTTATATAATGAATCTCTGTTGATTAAACTGTGAGCTATACTTTAAAAGCAGCCAAAAAAAAGGTGGAAAAAAAAAAAACTACTACTACTTCTGCAGTAGCCCATGCTGATAGTGGTTATACTTATTCGTTTCTGTTTATTTACCACTTCAACAGGATGTACTCTTATTTGTAAGAGTAAATTCTTATAAAACACAATAATTCTATGAATTTCCGTAGAATTTCTTTACAAGGACCATCTCTTTGTACCTGGAGGCTTTATGAATATGATCCTATGATCCAAAAGTTTCTTAATCCATGGGGAAGCCTGAACTGTGCTAACATAGCATCATATTACCGTAAATAAAAGCAACTACTTCGAAAAGGTATGTGTGAAATTTCTGTGTATGACAACTTTCTATATAAAAGCCTGTAGGCTCTAGTTTTATGGTGAATACATATAGATGTAGAGCGGATATCAGTGCAAATTTGAACAAAATCTAGGCAATAGGTAAAAATTACATGAGATTAGGAACCTCCACCATCCTCAGTGGGTTTTCTCTGCACCTTCACCTATATGCGGTGAGTCAGCTGTATGAAATATTATATTACAACCATCCATTTCATAAAGGGGACATAACAAAATGATGAAAAACATGGTTGTGTTTTGCTTTACCTCAGGTACGGGTATCTGAACAATTAAAGCCCTTTCGAGGGTTTGTGCCTGTACTAAATGTGTACCTTCCGCATCTGAAATCACTGTACCAAGCAGAGCCAGCATGTTTAAAATGAGGCTGTATCAGTGATGACAAGATTCTTTTTTTAAACACAAGTCAAAAATTCTTTTTCTGCAAAAGAGGAACTAGAGTTTCCTTGAACACATAACGCTTGAGCAGCAATAAGTGTTATGAGAGGCTGTTCCAAAATGACTAACCCACAAACTGCCGTAAGTGTGCACATGAAGTGAACAATAACACAATTTACAAAACAAGATGGACAACTCAGGCAGCAGTTGATGATTATATGACGGCTAAACACTTGCACTGAAGCGATTACATCTGTTCACCGAGAGCAGACAGAGCAAGTTTCCCAGTATGCACAGTTGAGAGATAAGACTGATGGTGTCAGGTTTCAACCAGCTCAGCAGCCAATGAAGAACATAGTTCCTGACTGGGTACACCTGTATTAATGTGCACACTCACTCAGGCTGTTTCCATGATAACAAGGATCTGGCGTGGGAGCTACAACATACCAGCAGTGCATAGAAACAACTCTGAAAAACAGCTCATTTAAATGTAAGTTCACCTCTCAGTTCATATTCTTAATGAGTGTGAGGTTACTTTAAACTGCTGCATTATTCCCTACATGTTGATTGTCTTTTAGGACATGTGTGTACTGTGTGTGTGTGTGTCATTGTAAAGAGCAGCAAAAGTTAATATAAACTAAGGTAAAGGGATCATGTTTTTAACTCTTAGCAGAAGCATTGTGACAGCAAAGGTGCAAACTGTTGGTGTGGTGGTTTCAATTTTACAAACACTGAAACCTTCAAACCAAGATTTCTCAGCACACCACAATTCCCTTAAGCAATGCATAGATTAGTGTCTTTTGTTGTTGCAAGGGCTGAGACATAGCCATACCCCACTCATCACTCAAAACTAGACAAACAGAGGGAAGACAGCAGAACTGTTGAGACTTGAGTGCTTCAGGTAAAAGAGGAATAACCGTAATGCAAACGTGTTGCAAATATTGGGAGAAGGGATTAGGGTAAAAACGGACATATAGCTGCTGGAGGACACCACCAACATGCTGGAAAAACTAGTCTGGGTTACACTGTTTGTGCAAATGGCCGTTGAGACTCCTTTAATCACACCTACAAACAATATGCCACTTACCAAATCCTAGGAGGCACACCTGGAGGAGCAGCACACACTGCATTGCTACACTGAAACCAGGAAACTCACATGAATGGAACAACTACAGCTTATCGATTCTAGTTTCCCGTACAGCTGATAGATTTCAGACTATTTGCATGTCAGGGCAAACACCAAACAGAGTGATGTGCCAGCGACACAGTGCCAACAGCACGCCGGGGGAAGATGGCACAGACGGCCTATCAGCACACCTGTGCGCGCTCAGCCTGTCCGTCAAAAACGTGTGGGCGTCATTATTTGTCAACTAATTAGGCTGCAACCGCCAGGTGAACCGCATTATCATTACTCCAGGCAGTTCTCATCTGTTTCAGGTACACTTTTGCCTCCAGTTCAACTAGAATAATAAGCAATTATTACTCAGTTTTACCGGAAATTGCTTCCTTATTGGAGATGGAAGAAGTATTCAGATCCTTAAAAGCAGGCCAACTAATACCACACTGTGAAAATAAAACTTGAGACCAATTATTATCATGATAATGTAAAATACTTAAAGTCCCTGTCAGTGTTTTACTATTATAGAAGATGTTTTTGGATTAATATGCTGCATTAATGCTGTAAATTGCATTCACTTCTGTAGATGTTAGTCCTAATTTTAACTCCCTTATATACTGTTGGGAAATTAAATCTACAGCAATGCACCCTTTTGTATAAGATCATATGTTTGGAGGGGTCTCTGTTCTGTGAGAACTATGTAGGCTCATAATATTAAGGGGTGGTGTCTGGGGACCATTTTCAGTCTACACCTTCTGCAGCCCAACTGTTGAGGAGGGTCTGCTTTTTGTGAAGAGTTAACAGGGGTTCTCAAGGTTTGATGACTTAGTGCCATTTTAAAGAGCACACATGACTTTTATACTGCATATTATAAAAAGACATTTCTGATGACTTTATTTTTTATGACTCGCTTTACTATGGCTTTTTTTTATTACCTTTTCTGTGATATACCACCACTTTTTAATCTATCTTTCAATCCCTCCAATATGTTTTATAATTACTGCCCAGTGTGGGCTATGTGTAAAACGTCAATGCTTCATGAGCTCAGATAAACAGCCATGTTTTCAGTTTTGTGATGAATGACGATGCATTTTCCAGCTCATAGTAGGAAAAGTTTCTCAGCACATAAAGGAACACTTCATCCTTCAGTTTATCACAAACATTCAAAATCAACACATCTGGAGATACATGGTGCTCACTGGACAGGAAGGGAATAAAAACTTGAATCTACTTTAAAAGTACAATACAGATACAATTTGTCTCAGAGATATAGTTGAATAGAATTACAGTGTAGCATAAAATGGGAATACTCAAGTAAAGTAGTAATGCATCTATTTGTTATTTAAGAAGCCTATACAGTACTTGAACAAATGTACTTAGTAAGATTTCATCGCTGCTTATTTGGCATCAGTTTTGGGAAGGTTATTTTTGTTACAGGTTACTGTGTGAAAAATATAATATGTAATGGAACTTTTTTTTTTTAAATTACGTCATCAAAGTATGCCATTTGATAACTTTTTGTTTACTTAAAAATGTTTAATTTGGGCAAAACAGCTGAAAAATGTCAGAAATAGGCTGTGCCAAAAGAAAGCATCCCTGCATGCTGAAAAGCAACAGTGAATGTTACATTCTACAAAGCTTTGTACCAAAAGAACATTTTCAGATATAACCCCTTTGTTATCACCAACAATTTGAGTAGAGACTGTAATTTAATTACATTTATCCCCTCAGTAACTGTAACTGATTACAGTTACATTTATTTTGTAATTTAATTACATGGAAATTGTTTTATCTATCTAGTTACTTCCAGACACTTTGGCGGAGGTGTGGACTCAAGTCACATGACTTGGACTCAAGATTTGAGTCACAAATTTGATGACTTTAGACTAAACTTGACACAGTCAAAAAAGACTTGCAACACTACGTGGACTTAAACACCACTGACGTGTGACTTTACATGGGCGTGACCCTTTTGACTTGAAAATACTTGATACCTTCCCCCAAGCCCAAATGTGAAAAAGCATGCTAATTAAAAGGTGTGCCACCAATCAAATGTATCACCTGAATCAGCTAATGCTAACACTACTCATTCCCAGCGAGTCGACACTCAACTCCCCAGATAATCCACTTTGTTTTAAATAGTCAAGTTACAGACAGAGATGCAACAACTTCTAACAGAAAAATGACTCATATAAATGTAATATATTTACACTCTGTTGCTAGGATGGCATGATATGTGATGAGTGCCTGATGGGTGCCACCTCAAGTGCAGTTTATCCTTGAGTAATCATCACAGTCAGAGCATGCTAGAGCATCTATGGGTATGGAGGAGTTAAGTGTATTTGGAGAGGTATAGGTGAGAGAAAATGGAAAAAACAAAAGCCATCCGAGGCACAAAGAAAAAAAAAAGAAGACAAAATTTGCAATTTTTATTTTATTATTATTATTATTTCTTTATTGTTTGTTAGCAAAGTTGTCTATGTTGATTTCTCATTAGCCCCTGTTCTATTTTTCTGATATATACAATAAATCTAAAACACATCAATAATAATGATAATAATAGAAGTTTTTTTTGCGAGGTGGGGGGTGCCAGGGGAAGCTTGCCCAGGGTGCTGAATAAGCTAGGTCCGGCACTGTGTTTAGGACTTGAAACTCAAAGTTTAGGACTTGACTTTGACTTAGTAGTCTTCATTGGAACTTGAGTGCAAAGACTTGAGGCTACTTGTGACTTGCAAAACAATGACTTGGTCCCATCCCTGCTGTTTGACATATATCACAGCTTTACAGTAGTGTTATTCATGTCCTATTATCTTTGCATGCTGAACACAGTGCTGCTTGTTAACGTCACAGTTCTCAGGAAACTGCTCATGACAGCACTTCTGTGACACACACACACACACACACACACACACACACGGAGGTATTTTCCCGCTGAAGTAAAAAACTGACTGAGAGAAAAAACTTTAAGGGGCAGTTCGGTACAATATGAGGTGGCTGTGAATCCCCTTGTACATGTGTGAGAAAGTTGAACATAAAGCCCACGCAGCAGCAGACTGCAAGCTCTTCCAGTTAACCAGTCCATTGGCACGGTGTTGGCTCATCTCATTTCATCGCCTGACTCAACAGCTGTGGTGAGTGCGTCAAATTTCACGGCAGTGATGACAAAAAGTCACAAAAATATATGATTTTAAAACCTTAAATTTCACAAATGGAGTATACATTTAGCAATATAACTGTCTCTCTCTTGTATTTGTGAGTTAATGGTCGTTTTAAATGTACTGTAATGCAATAATACAGAAATACTGTCAGCATATAGGATATTTTTCGAAGCTAATTAGCATCAGCACGTAGCCTGCAGTGTAACTTCTCTCTGCTTTTCTTCCTCCATAACTTATTTTCTCACTTTTTCTCACCAACTTCTCCCAAGTTCATGTTGTTTATCAGCTCACCTGTATATTTCTGACTGTAACTCACAGAGAGCTCTAAATAACAGGCACTTGTGTTTGTTACACGGTGAGTCAATGTGAAAACAACTTGACTTCATCCATCTAATGTGCAGACTGCTTCCAACGAGGAAGCAGGTAACAGAAGGTGAGGCTGTTGTAAATGTAAGAGAACTGACTTGGCACACCACTTCACCTCGTCTCTGACTTCCTGTGTGTGTGAGATTGTCATGCCATTCACAGAGCGCTCATGAGTGAGCTTTCTGGCGCGTTATATTAGTCTGCAAACAAATAACAAAGTGTTGTTCTGCTGTTGTTAATCAAGCTGCTTGCCCAGGGAGTGTCAGAGGTGAAGCAGGGGCGCCAAATATTTGCTGAACCCTTTACGTCTCCTCTTTGCAGAGTTCTTTTTGTGCATTTTGTGTTTCTTGGAGAAGTGATGAGGCTGTGTTTCAGACAGATTGGGCTGTGAAAACCCTCAATGTGACTGGGATAGCTAGGGCTTGTGATAGTGTTGTTAACAAAACAAAGACAAAACCGCTTTGTCTCCATCTGATAAAAAGTAAACCTGAGGTGTACGTGCCCAGAGTCCTGAATGCCCTGAATCAGACTGATGCTGCTTTAGGCACGGTAGCGGTGGAAAATGCCAATATTTTGGTGTTACCATAGAATCCTATCAGTTCATTCCTGTGTGTGCACACAGGTTTTGTATTTTTTGCACACACACATGCAGAGAGAGAGGTGGAGAGAGAGGGAGGAAGGGAAATACAGGATATGTGTCTCCAAGACGGCTGTCATTGTCAGACACACTCTCATATCCTCTGTTTTACTGCTGGCCCGATGCTCAACAAGTCACCCACAGCCCATTTGTATTGGAAATAACTGCTTAGTTGTCAGACTTATTTGTTTAGCGGGAGTTGGACTGCTCACTGGTTTGCATGGCACCAAGTGAGGTATTGTGAGTTTTTCTTTATTTTTATTTTACCATTAGTTTCCTTGTTACTTTGGTTGCGGTCCAGTGGCGTAGCTCAAGTATGTTATGTTATAGAGAAAAGGGGAATTTGCATCAGCCTCACTTATATAAACAGCTCCTGTAGAGATGGCAGAGTTGAGTAAACATTTCAATAAGAATATTTTCTCTCTTCACTGAACCAGAGTAAGCTACCACTTTTATAAAATTGAATGGCAATGAATAACAAGTGATAGGGGTGCTTTTTTTTCCTCCTTTCTCGCTCACTCTTTTTCCTTCTTGTTGGACTCATTGTTTTTTTTAGAGCAATGCTGTTTTAGTGTTGACACATCTTCACAATAATCAAAGTTTTTCTTTGCCATCTCCTCTCCTCTGTCTCTCATATTTTCTTGCTTGTATTTGTTTTCCTATGAACTCTCTAGGCCACAGCGATTCTAATATCTTTGCACGTTAACGATTGTTATCGCTGGTGTCAAAGTCTTGTCAGCTATGCACAGTGGCTGAGCAGAGGGCTGTTATCAGTGCGAGCAGATAAGAAAGAGATAGTTTGTGTCCCTGCAAGTAGTTCTGTTTATGTGCATGTAGTAAATCTCTGTGTCTGGGTTTGTTTTGTTGATACGGTTTTGTACTGGGTGGGTTGGAGGGAGTGGAAAGTGTTCATCATTTAAAATTAAACCTGGTAAACAAGATTAAGGTGTTCTGTGGGCTGGCCTGGACAGACAGGTATGAGGTTCAGGGTTAATCCTGTCAGTGGAGAAGTGCATCGGTGAGAATTGGACAAAAACAGGACAAATTCAGCCTCTAGCAACAGCACAGTATATGCCTTTCCTGCAGCACTGCAATCCAGTTTTATGATTTCTACGTTTACCTTCTATGATCTCTGCATCTCTAGCCAGCAGTCAGCTGGTTTGTCTGCTTTGTAAACAAGACACTGGTTATTATATGTTGCAAATTGGGTCTGGTATTAAAGAGAAAATTCAATCGGCATTCAAATGTACAAGAATATATTACCCAATTTGAAAAATAATACAGGCGTCAGGAGCCATTTTGATACAGAGGCAGTGGACTGGGTTGATAAATATTTCCAAATTGGATCAGCTTATTATTTCACCCAAAGCAACTCTGAAAAGCAAATTGGATACAGAAGGGGATTTTATTTGCAGCTTCTTAGGTTGTTTGCGTTTGGAGATTTACTGCAGCTATTCAAGAGGCCAGAACAGCCCTCGCTACACTCCCTCTGCAATCAGCCTCAGTCGTGTGATTAACATCTTTTTCCTATATAGTCAACCAAAATAGTTCTTAATGCTGTTTTGCTAATTTAGCATGAAGATAATCTTGTTGCTTAGTGGGCTGTTCTCGGCCCTACAGGGTGGACATTTGTCTCACATGAAAGTTTCTAGACATCAAGTGCCATGGCAGCATTTATAGATGAGATTACAGTTTATGGCCAGTTTTCTGGTGCATAGTTTTTCATAAAACTGTCAAAAACCGTGTGGAAAGAATGAACCAATGCTGACAAGTATCCAGTCTTAGAGCTGATAGCTCAGTCTTTTACACTTCCATTCACCAAATATGGTAATTAGGATCTTCTCGCCATACGCTGAGCGTAATCCACTTCCTTAAATTGTAGTAGTGAGTAGGAAGCAGTAAGCGGGTGTTTGCTGCTGTCCCATGGAGCCCAGTTTGATAATCTAATACTTAACAATGCAGGTCACTTCAGTTCTTTCCACAGTCATTAACTATGAAGGAAACAAGGACACAATGGGTATGGCTAACAATAAAGAGGCGCCTTCAGTATAGCATTTGGCACAAAGGTCAATGGGAGAGTTCCCTCTGTGTACAGTATCAAACATTGCATGACTATTGGTTCCTGATCCCATGCCAGCCTCAATGGCTAAATCGGACCAGTGAGACTTCATCCGGGACCTCAACTGGAAGAGAGGTCATTCCCATGTTTTTCCCTCTTTTAAAAATATCACCATTCATATTGTGTTGGATACAGCTGGGGGCTTTGTTTGGCAGGCTAACAACATCTGCGTTTCACATCTACGTGGTGGCAATGGGGAGCGGAGGTAGAGTTTGTTTTGGGCCCTGTGCCATGAGGAAGTTGGGCGATTTCTCCTCAGGAACAACAATGCACCAAAAAAAGAAATCCCAGCCAATTTCTGTTATAGGATAAAGCTGATGAATTCATGTGTGTGTGAGTGAAATGGAGCTCTTTCCCCAGTTAGCACAACAAGAATATTGCTCGGCAGAATACAATGAACAAAAAAAGATTCATTTTTGTTTTGTCAGTGGACGTCATCGGACACTTTTTTTTTTTGTTGCTCAACACCTGGCATAGCACCCGGGCTTTTGCAAAGGGAGGGGAAAATGTTGAATAGACACTTGTTGACAGCTGACTGTGACAGAATTCTCAGAGCAGGTTTTCTGCTGAGCACTATGGGAAATAAGGATGTCATTCAGTGACCCTCTCCCGCCACCCACCTCAGATTACAGTCTAGATATGCATACATACTTTAAACCAGTTAAAACAGTGCAAGGACTTGTTGGCTCAGAAACTCCTAGTTTTCCACTGACTAGCAGTATGTGATCCTGAAACTCAAAGTACCACACAAGCCCCCAATAATAGACAGCATTGCTGCTTTCCATCTTGCCCTATCTCTAAACCAAAACACCAAGATTCCACACACATCAATGGCTGAATATTAATAGCAGATATTTTTATCTCGGTTTCTTTTCCCCCCTGCAGCATTTGAAGATGATGCGATTGCTGTTCCTGTGTCTGCTGCTGCTGCTGCCAGCTGCTACTGGTACGTTCTCATCTCTGTGACGCTTGCAGGTGATAAACATCTAATCAGGGTCTATGCATCCCTGCGCCGGCATGTTTTCCTCACCTACCTATGTATGTGCACCGCCTGTGCAGATTAATGTATGCACTCACTTTCACTCAGGGTGTTACGGTGAAACAAAGGGTTTGTACATGTAAGAATAACATTAAAGGAAGTACATGCACAGTGAAATTAGCAACAGTACTCGTAATGCTGTACTTTCTTAGTATAGAGGATACCAGAAAAAGTACAGCAGACAGACACCACCTTAATACAAGTAGAACATTAAACTGACTGTGGTCCTTGCACTTTTTGTGCTGTACATTCCTATGATTGTCGTAGTATTCTGATATTAACCTTCAAAAAAGTTATTGTGAGCATTATAAAAGTATTCTAATTGTCACCTCTTTTGCAGCTGTTTCAGAAGAGATTGAAGGCTCAGCTGATGACGGTATGACATGCATCTTTGTCTGTAAAATAAAGAAAAACAGGAGCACTTTATGAAGCCTTTCATTCACCACAATTTATGAAGAAAACGTGACTGCTTCCCTCTTGAAGTCAATTAAGGGATGCAAATAGACACATTTGATTTGTATTAAGCATTGAGAGATCACACCCATACGCAACCACGGAGAACATTTTCTGTCCATTGTTTTGTATTGTATCACACTGTAATTTCATTTTCAATTATTTTTTTGCTTGTTTCTACATGTTTCTTTGTACTGTCGTCAGTTCCAGTATTTTGTTTTTGTTTTGACCTGAGGTAAGCTTAGTGGATCCTTTAGGTCGTGTATGAAATAATTAGCAGGCGGATCAAGGGTCACACCAGACATGTTGGTTGACAAGCGCTAGCTTCGTGTCAAACAGAATAACTTCAAATCATGATGTTGATTCATAATGCAACGTGCTGAACATGAGAAAAAAATACTTTCCTCGTCTTTACATTTCTACTCTTTCTTTGTCAGTGCACATCAGAGCTGCACAACTGGAACACCTCCCATTTCTCATTTAATGGTTTTTCTTCCTCATTCACAGTTTTGGTCACTTGTTTATGGGTGTGGTCTCTTGCTCTCAGTTTTTTACTGCCTACAATTCAGATGTATTTTGGTTTTCTGTGCACAATATTGATTTCAGTTTATAGTTTTCATTCTTTTTGCTCACAGACCCTTTGGTCCTAAACTGACTTCATAAAACCATCAATCAATAGTGTTGGTAAAAGATTAAAGGTGTTGTCTATATCCTGACTATTGTAAAGTGCCAAAACTCTGTTATTATTTCAAAGCGCTCATACTGTCTGCACAAGAATCTAATTTTATCCTTTCTTCACAGGTCTGGATGATGATGATGATGAAGATTTATATAGACAAAGAAGTGAGTATATTTCCTCAGTTCCCAAGAGTGAATTGGAGGGCAGTAGGCTTTTCTAGTTTCTTGTGCGTCACACCCACAAACTCTGTAATGGCAGCTGCCCAGAGGAGAGTGTGTAAAGGTTATGGCCTCTGTAATTATTGTCAGTAAGTCAGCACTGTGTATAGGGTGCTCTAGTCCCGTGAAATGTGTGGGGCTGTGGCCCCTGTTGGCTTTTCCGCCTCCCAACCATTAAGCCCTGAATGGAATCAATTAGCTCCCTGGTGGGGCCCCGCGGATTCCACCGAAAGGCCAATGAACACGTCGACATCTCCACCATCCCGCTGGTCAGCTAATCAACATTGGCATTCTCATTCTCTCTCCACCCCTCTCTCCATCACTCCTCATCTTCGCTTTGATGGACATTTGATAGAATTACAGATCTGCTTAGAACGGGGCAGTCGGCTCTTGGAGTAGCAGCCTCTCTGCAAAGCACTGTGATTCCTCTGAAGCCTCAACCCTCTGCCTCTCTGTAGACACAAGCTTGTATACTGGATTCCATACACCATTTGTTGGCATTGTTGTCTCCTGTAAGCAGTAGACGTATTGCATAATGAAGTGTTCTGTGGAGGGTTGAAATGTGCAGGGCTTTGTATTGCTTTAAAAAACGACAACACCAGTACAGAGGCCAGTACCCTTACACTGATACTGATACCAGGAGAGCACTTCAGGTGTGTAGTACAGCCATACTTTAGAAGGTTTTAGTGGCATCTCAGCACACTGAACTGCCAACTTCATCAAACACACCCCACTCTGTGTCATCACAACACAGATTGTATGGATTGTATCTCCTGCAGTAGTGGGCAAACCACACTTCACATTGAATTGAAGAACACTTGTAGTGATTGGCTGCCAAATGCTGGTTCATGGGGAAGTTGTTGGGTCTCTGTAAATTAACGAGTTTGGTCTAGACCTACTCTATATGAAAAGTGTCTCGACTGCGAGCAAGACCATACCAATAGTCATTTTTTTCGAGATCTGAGTACAAAAAGGATCAAGTGCAGGTTTCAATAGTTTCGATACTGCCTGGCACTGCGTTATGTAGGTCGATACCTTAAAGGTATCAAGTGCTGATACACAGTCCCATATACAATACACCTGAAATCAGCAGAGCTCATGTTAACTGGTCTCTTCTCCTCTTTGCCACTTAAGCAAATACAGATCTTGGCTCCACAGCTGCAGATAAAACTACAGGCATAGAAAACGCGGCAGGTGAGAGAAGTATTTCAAATATAATTAGTGATATACCATAAATGTATTAAAATATTAGAATACATATCAACAAGTATGAAGGATTCATAATAACATACACTGGTATTCATTATTGTTTAATACACTTACAGACCACTTTCTATGTTTTCTGTTTTAGATAACTTCACCGTGATCGTCATCGTCGTAGCTGTGGCTGTGTTGGTTCTTTCAGTCGCTGTGATAGTCAGTAAGTATTCTGTGTTTTGCTGAGACATAATGATGTGAAATAGTGCCTGCTTCATTCCCACAGCTGACAAATGTGCAGCTGTAAAGCCCTTTGGTGGAATCTCTTTACTCCCCATGTGCTTTGTAAAGATGTTAATACCTAAGCAAATATGAACTTTTCTCTTGTGTAGCCTTGACCTTTTTCCATTTTTCTTCCTTGCAGCCATAATGTTAGTAAGACGCCACGCGCACAATCGGCAGCAAGGGTAAGGTCAAATTTCTTCACTTTCAAAGTTGATATTTGAGAGATGCATGTTCCACTTTACGCTAAGTCAGCCTGCAGGTGACAGAACCAGTCTGGTGGGTAACAGCCTCACTGCTGCCTTGCCAATGAACCCTACTCCACATGACTCGTCAGCATCAAAACCAGAGGAAAGCACTCGGGTGGCGAAATGTAACCAGCATTCACCCATCCGAGCCCGTCTGGACTTGTACAGCAATTAGTGTCACAGCCTGAGGCCACCACTGAACACTCCCCACCTCTAACCCTTCCCATGTTAGCCATCAAACAATAGCCTTAAGATAGTGCCTCTGGGTCTGTATGACCGAATGGGACAAGACCTAACCTGTTCCAAAGCTTACCTCATGAACTGAGGCCTGAGTTAGACAGCTACTCAGAAATAAAGCAATCCTGTAAACATGATCCTGGTGTCATGACAACAATCTGCCAACAGCACTCAGACTGCAGAACAGCCTAAACCAGTTATACAGAGAGACGATCTCTCCTCACTTTTTGCCTCCCTTCTGTACTTTGCTTATTTAACGGCAGCTGGCTCAGGGAAGGCTTTCTGCAAAGAAATCAGTTTCTTTTATTCTGGTGTACAGTAATACATGACCTGCAGGTCAGGTCAGAGAGGTTGCAGAGTTCAAATTATTCTCCACACATCTCCTAAGCAGCAGGAGAACTGCCATTGTGGAGCAGACACCCAAGACAATCTGCAAGGGTTAAATTCCTCCGCCGGATTACTGGCTGCCTCCTGGGGCTGCAGTCAGCTCTGGCAGTGTTTGGTGCTGACTGATCGCTCTGCTGAAAAGAGGCTTAATCACACAGCAACCTCTGGCTTGTTGGATCAACAGTGCCTTGCCAGGTTTATAAGTCCCACCTGGGGATGAGCCGTGTTTTGAGGTGGTGCAGTCACCGTGCACCTGTCAGAGCCCTGCAGCATGAGGCAGACGTGTCATTTCCTGAATTCCAACACGCGGGGATGTTTCTTGTGTCTTTCTGCTAACAAACTGAGAAAGAAGCTAAAAATATCTTGAAGATGACATACTTTTGCTCTTGCCCTGTCTCCCCTTACCCCCCTCCTCCACCCCCCATTTTCCCTGCTTTCCCGTCCTGTGGTCTGTCCTCCCTCTCTGTCTTTAGGGTCTACTCCGTGCCTACAGAGCAGGACCAGAAAGGGGCAGTCTAGTTCCTGGTGGAGTAGCAGTCTTACAATGACAGACAAGAGAGGAGCAATGCACCGGGCTATGTCATCTCCTACTCTTCGACTCAGGACAGATAGACTTCTTTGCACAACAGCCTGCTTCTCACCATCCAGTAAACTGCTTGCTCCTACATAAACTCCTATGAATACATATGCAATATGTATATTTTTTTTATGTTACACACTTTTGTCTTTGTCCCAGCCGTTTATACTCCACATAACATGCAATTTAGCCAGGGACATTTGGAACACATTCAAACCTTCTAATTGGATTCTATTTGAGGAATCCAAATCAAAGCCAGTGAATGTGGCTTAAAGCTTCTTTTGTTAAAAGGGATGATTTAGCACAGCCAGAGCTCCCCCCTTTTTTTTACTACCCGAAACAAGAAATTATTCCCACCAGCTATGCAGTGAAACTGCATTTGCGTTTGATTTGGTGCATGTGGAACAGACCTGTCTCTGTGAAATGGTCGATGAGTGAGACAAGCCATGCTAATCCACACTAAGCCAGCCCAGTGCTCACTTCATTCTCCTATTCACTTGTCTGACACCTTCTGTTCCTGGCCCATTAGGAATGACAGGAGGCAGCACAATAGGGAGGTAAAAACCTGTTCCCCCCTCTTGTCAACCTCAGTAAAAAAGAAGTGAAAATAGCCAGTGTGAACATCTCCTTGCAAGGCAGCAAATTAATCGACCGCCATGAATGATGATGTTTTCTTTTCCCCCCTCTCTGTTTCGTTTTGAAAGGCTTTCACTTTAGTCCCACAGATTGTAAATACAGTGGCTCTCTGAATGCTGCAGAGAGTTAGATTAATGCCTCACACTGGTAGAAAGAAGCTGGGTGTGAGGGAGGGATACAATCTCACGAATCAAATAAAGTGTTGGGGATGATTGGGGAAAATACCAACAATGCTTTTGTTTCATTCATACAGAGCATGATGGCTTCTCTGTTTTCATTTAAATGGAAATCAATCATGCCCTGTGAAAGAAAGCTTTCTATCCAAGAACCAGAGGCACTGGTTGCCTTATTTGTTACAATACAGAAAAGGGAAATTTCTGTGGCGAAGGTTAATGGGGAATGAGACATGCTCCTGTTGGACATGACAGTATTTCAGTTGTGGCTTTGAGTAAGCAGCACTGGGAATGGCTACACGGGGTTAAACGCTGGATTTGTCAAAGCAGGATCTCACTTTGCTCTACCACTAAATCTCGCAGCTAATCTTGCCACTGGGGACAGGGCTCGGCTCCAGACCAGCCAGACTTGAGAGCAAAAACAATTGTGGAGTCACGTCCACTTCAGGGCGAACAGTGGCCATAGGTCTGAAGCGTCGTATTAAACATGACGCATCCCAGTTTATTTAACACAAACCAATTGGCAGATGATTATTGTTTGTGCATTTGTTTTACCGTTCATATTTGAGCACTGTGTGTACAGTGTGTGTTATTTCTCAAAGCATAGCATTGCCCAGTAAGCCTTCAATATCTGTCAGCATTTCAAAGGGAGGACAATTGGACAAAAATTGCAGTACAAAACATTTCAGTTTTTTTTCTATGTCTTTGTAGTCATATTTACTCACATTCACTTTTTCTGTCGGACAAACAAACCACAATGACAACATTTGAGCAGAGGATTCTCTTTGTTTGAATGTATAAAGTAAACAGACTTGTACAAAAACCCAAAGAGAAATGCAGTGTTTGGTTCAGACTGCTCCGCACATGATGTGACCAAACGCTGCACAGTTATTCCCTCCTATGCAGCCTCTCTGCTGTGACACTACTGATGCAGATGTAACGAATGTAGATGCTGAGCTTTTCTATCTCTCTCAGCGGCATGTATGTGGAAAAAGTTATACTTTTTTACCCCCTTTTTTAAACTGGCTGATTGTCTTTCTATGCAGACTGAAGTACGGTGTCTCTGAGAGCTCAATGCACTGCAACTTAAAGGGACAGTTCACCCCAAAATCAAAAATACATATATTTCCTCTTACCTATAGTGCTATTTATCAGTCTAGATTGGTTTTGCATGAGTTGCTGAGCTTGTGGTGTTCAAAGCACCAAAAAATGCATTTGAAATTATGATCTGATTACTCAAGATATCCACAGACCTTGTTGTGAGCAGAGGAGAACTATTTTCATTCTACCGAACTACACCCGCCAACCACATCAGCGTGCAGAAGGAAGTGTGCATCTACTGCTAGCCCACCTAGCACCAAGTATGATGCCATTCATGTTTACATCTTGGTCTGTCAAAAGCACAAGCCTCTAGTCCATGAGTAGAGGCACGCTTCCTTCTGCACAGTGGTGCGGTTGGCGACTGCAGTTCAGTACAAAGAAAATAGTTCCTACATGAAACTGCTCACAACAAGGTCTGTGGATTATCTTGAGTAACCAGGTCATGATTTCTGGAAAGAGACATTGCTGTTGAGTTTTTCAAATGTATTTTTGGTGCGTTGAGCAGCACAAGCGGAGTGCCATCTTGTTCCATTAGATTGGAGAGAAGACACACATCTCTATAACTGATGCCTCTAACACCAAAACAATCTAGATTGATAAATAGCACTACAGGTAATAGGGGAGAAAATTGAGTTTTGATTTTGGGGTGAACTGTCCCTTTAAGAAAACACATGCAAATAGACAAAACAAGCAAATGAAGATGTTTCATCTAATTGCATGCATTTTCCAAAGCTCCACTGTGTAGAGCCTCCAGAGCCACCGTACTAAAGGCATGGTCTGACCTTATGCAATTCTTCTAGCTTTTAATATATAATATATTGTAAGTATTTACAGAGTTACTGACCTATATATTTGTATTGTTTCTCTTGATGAAAAATGTATTGTATTTGGCTAAATGGTCTTTTATATACTTGTTTTTAAAGGGTGGTTCTTATCTCCATTGTTCATTTATAAATTTTATTTGTGTAAAAAAAACGTTGGGGCAAGTGGGAGTCTGTTTTTTTGCCAAAAACCCTTATGTAAAATATTTGTATTTTAGTCATATTGTAGCAAAAAAAGTTTAAATTTGGACTTCATGTTAAATGCACATGTCCATATGTACCTGTGTATCCAGATTAATCCTACTGTATGTGTAATTTATGCAAAGGGCACTTACATTGTTTTCTCATTGTATAATTATTTGCTAAGTATATAGTACATAACCTTATATCTCCCAAGAAAACAGTTGCAGTCAGTGATTGTACACCATGAATCAATTCTGTTTGCACATCTGCTCTCTCCCTGATTTTGTTCTGATAGTAATTAGAACAGTGAATACTACTGTAGATTATGTAGAACTCTGTGTTGATTTTGACATTAAATCTGTTACAAAAATTTGCTCGGTTTCTCCCAGTTTGTTGTCTGCATCATTAAGATGCCATATGGATGCAAAGATAATGCGCCAGTGGATTCTTGTTTAATCTAGGGCTTTACTCACTTACAAGCACAGAGTCACTAAGAGGCTTAGACACCCCTTACTAAACATCACGTTTTTGTTGAGATTGAAAGTGTAAAGAGCGTGCAGTATCTATCAGGAAGAGGTGACCCCGGCTTCAGTTTTAGATCCTGACGGAACACAAGTGTTGTGCGAGATTGTCAAGTATGGGATGACATGGGTTATTCTTCATAACCTTTAATAATAACCCTGGCTGTGAGACACTGCCGATGGCTGTGTTATCATTTAAAAGATACAAAGGTCATTAGAAACAAGCCTGCTTCAGGGCTGAAGGTTTGATTAAAATATGAATCATCAAGATAAATGACCGCTTTACTTTTCTTAGTGCAGTTTTGCTAAGTATAGAAATGACATTTGACAAAGATCGTTTCACGTGTCAACATGATTCATGTGCTCTATGTTTATTCAGTATTTTCTAAGCAACATAGTGTCAGTAAATCTACATTCACACACATGCTCCCACGTTTAGGTTGAGTTTTCTTCTCTTCATGGACTCGTGGTTGGTGTCTTGCAGCTTTGCATTTTTATAAACATACACACGCTCTTCCTCCTTATCCTTGGACAACTCGATATGATCTGAAAAATCAACACACGGAACATTTAAAGAAGTACTATTTAAGCAATCAATTATATTTATCAAATATTCCACAGTAAGGAAAACAAACAACGTGATTTGCAGTTGTTGCGGTTGGTCTGTTACCATTTCGCCCAACAAATAGCTTAATCATAATCTTTTTGATCTATTAATCATCACCAAGATTTTAGTCAGCGTTCTTTTGAGATATATGTCTGAAGTGACTTATTGTTTGCCATATATCACCCAGGAGCCTGTGATATAAATTACTTATCTCATTCTGCAGTTTCCCAACAGCTTGATATAAGCACCGCTACCCTTCATGCACATGGACTGTAATTTAGTCAAACATCACTTTTGTCTGTCAGCTTTCATTGTCTTAAATTATTCAGCACTTGTTCTAATCATGCACCTCTCAAACACTGCAAAAATATTACCCTTGAACATTCACTAGAATAAATGAAAATGAAAGCTGCGAGTACTTACTTAGATGACCTCTTGTGACAGCTGGGCAGGCGGCAGACCCTGCCACCTACAGTTAGACACACGCAAAAGAGTGAGAATGGGCAGCTGAATATAATTACAGTGGTTTACAAAAGACAGAAGTGGAGCTCAGAGTCACACTTACAGCCAATGACCATGATGCCCACGATGAAAAGTACTGCTGCGATTGACAGTCCAACTTTGCGCAGGGACTCATAATCTAGCCACACAAAACAGGAATCAGACACTCAAGCACAGACACAGCAGGTGATAACCAGTGTTGGGGAGCAGTGATCTACAAGGTAGATTAACTACATTTTGCTGTAACTTGCTGGTAGTTCACCTACACTCATAATTGCACAGTGAATCAAGTAGTTAAATTACTTTTTTGCCATGTTTTGTGGACTTATCTACTGTAATTATGAGCAATATTGGGCCATCAGATTGTAGCAGGCTCTTCCTACATTTCTCCCATTTACACCTGCATAGTCCTTGTTCACAGCGCCAAATGTGACCCACTCATGTGGGGGATAAGGGTACTGTTTAAACCCACCTTTAACCCAGGTTCCCTAAGACTGATAGTAATCTTTAGGTCATGGCTTCACGTGCACTTGTACAAGATTTAATTTTGAAAGCTGCTAAAAATAGCAATAAAACAGCAGCTCTATTATTATAAAATTTAATATAATGCGAACCAAGATACTCAGACTTAAAAGAGCCATATTATAATCCAAGATGTTGTAATGCTGTTTCTATGATTTAATTATTTTGTGGTTTTTATCCAGGCTATATTGTCTGTGTGGGTGGTCACTCGGTTTGCTGTGCACCTCCATGCAGGTAAATTTTCCAGTTTTGCATGTGCATGATTTGAGGGGAGCACATGGTAGAGCAGAATTGGATCAGGACTAGTTCACATACAGACAACCTGTTTAAAAAATTACACCTTTTTTTTTTATAGATTAGCAATTTCTGTTTTTGTCATTTAAGTTGCTCAGAACCAGCATTACATCTTTGAAATATAATACTGCTGTTTTAAATCTGAGTATCAGGGTTTGCATTTTATTACATTTTCTAAAAATAGAGCTGCTATTTCATAGTATTTTTTCAGCATCTTTCAAAAATAAATCTTGTACAGTTGCACTTGAAGCCACGTCAATTACTAACATTTTTTTTACACTTATATGTGTGTTGACCTAAAGATTATAATCAGTCTTAGGGCACCCGGGTTAAAGGTAGGTTTAAAGAGTACCCTTATCCCCCACTTGGGTGGGTCACAAAAGAAAAGGAATTATTTTTCTATTTACCTTATCTACCTTTTTTACCAGCTCTGCCCTCTTTTCTTTTATCCTGACCACAGCAATGTTTGCAAAAATAAACTTGAATATATTAGGTGTTATTTATCCAGAGGTATTGCTGATTGCTGTTCACTAACAAATGTTCAGAGAAGTTGTTGCATGCTGTTTTAGAAGTTAGCTGACTAACTGAGTCATCCTGCATGATGCAACACCCCCACCTGGACTTCAGTTTCTGTACATCAGGTGTCTGACTGATGGACACTGTATACAAACCAAAGCTGACATTCCTGCACTTTCCTGTGAATAGTGTTTTTTTTATGACTGTCAAGAAGTGTACTTTTTGCAATAAATTAAACTGACTGGTATTTCCCCCTACATTCTTCATACTATGTATCTTTGTTATATTTGGATTCTTTATATATATATATTTTATGGATGTATTTATTCTGACATTTTCTCTGACATTTTTTATTTGGGTTAATGGGAGTCATACAGCTCTTAAATTATTTCCGTATATATGCTATGCAGGGGTGTAAATACAGACAGTGCAGGCAGTGGGTTTGCACTGAGGCCCCTGAGGTTGAGGGGTGATTGAAAGTGATTCAGATTGCCATTTCAAAAATATACCCGTGTTCAAAGATGAAAGATAAAAAAGAGAATATTACTAATTTAAAAACAGTGCCATTTGCTATACATGTCCTCAAAAAGGAAAATCCATCTGTGTCATGGTTTTCTTTATTTATTTATTTATTTATTTAGCTATTCTTTAAGTATTTAGCATCTATTCAAAACAAAATTATATCCTTTTTTATATAAGTATAAAATCTATAAATATACTATAAATCTCTTCAATCAAATTATTCATTTCTTACTGTCTTTGATATTTTTTTCAGACATGCAGTGATGATTGCTGGGTTATATGTATGCTGATGTTGTCCAGTGTCAAGTCTCTTGTTTGTGTCAAGACAATGCATGCATGACAGCATGCACTAGGGCCCATCGTAACTTCCTTACGCAACTGATGCTAAGTGTCCCCATTACATTGTGTCAGAGATTTCTCTATGAAATGTGTAGCCTGAGCTCTATATTTTAGAGCACTTTACTGGTGCATTTTGGGTATTATTAAGCATTAACTCTTGCTGTTTTTCCCCTATAGGAGTCATAAAGAATGTGTAATTATATATACTATTTGCACTGGGTTATGCAGTAACTGTTGTTTCATTTATTTAATAATCTGGTTTCTACCACTTCATATTTATAGTCTCTTGCTGTATGTTTCTGGACCTGGGCATCTGCTTTTCTACCTTTCACCTTGTTACACTGGCTCTCATTGTTCTCTCTGATTACTGGGGACACTCCTCATACTTGGGAGAGGCTGTTGGTGGACAGTTCATACATTCACAGAGGGACCCGATGATGCCATTATGTATTTTATGTCCTGATTGTTGTTTGAGCCTCACCTTTTTATATGAACTGCCTTTCCTGCTTGTTTTACCACTCCGATGATGACTTTGTAGCTGAAACACATCTGTTTCTGTTTGTTTTGCCTACATTAAATACCGTAAAACTTCCATTAAAAGCATAGTCCAAATTAAACACCTGGCCCCTTTTACTAGCCTGGTGTGGCTACACATTTTGACAAATAAACGCCTGTCTCAGTTAGACGCCTGGTCTGGTTGCTAAGCAGTTAATCTTTTTATAGAAGTTCTTTGGATGTATAAACGCGGTTATTGGCTACCTCAAATTATGTCTTGATTACCCTGTAAGTTATTCATATTCCTTTAGTGCGTAAGAGTCCTCAGATCAAAAGAATCAAAAGGGATTTTCATAAAAATTAATCCAAGTTGTGAGTGTTGTTTTAAACAGGATAAAGTGGTGCTGTGTCGGTATGCCAGGTGCCGTAATCCTCGAGTGCCATATCTCTCTCTGATGTCTGTTGGAACTACATGACTCATGATTTATATATTATCTGAAACCTAATTTTTAAACAAGTAATATTCAGACTGGTTTGAATAAAGAATTTGATCGTATTTCCTGATCTTTGCTGAGCAACAGTTTTGTGGTAAAGGAATTAAAGGCCTGTCTCATATAGACGCCTGTCCAAAATATAGGCCTGTTCATTTCATTGATTTACACAAATAATAGCCCGTTTATCTGTGAGTGCCTGTGTTCTGTTTGTTGTCAATATTCAGAGAAATTGTTGCATGCTGTTTTAGAGGTTACCTGACTAACTGAGTCATCTTGCTTGGTGCAATATCCCCACCTGGACTCTACAGTAGCTTCTGAAGGCAACTGTCTGAGTGTTAGACATTGTATACAAAATCAAAACTGACATCTCTTTCACTTTCCCATTCATGCCTTGTTATGTATTGTTTATGACCTGTGCACTTTTTGCATTTTAATTTTGTTCTAATTTCCTATCACTCTATATTCTCAGTTTAATCTTTTTTTTTTTTTTTTTTTATAAAGTAGTTCAAACCACTTTTTCTGAGTAGCTTTAGTCAACCAGACAGTTTCTCCCTCGGTTAGCTTTGCTGTAGTTCAACTTCTGCCGGTGTGAACTAAAGTTACGCTTTCAAAGCAGCTTCCCCAACACTGGCAATAACACAAAACTAACACAGTCATGTGTAGCTTCTTACCATAGGTGAAAGCTTTGTCACCCTCCGTATCTATAAGATATAAGATATAAGAGGAGACAGAAAAGTATTGAATTAAGTTTGACTGCTGAACACAGGAAGCTTCTGCAGGAAATAAAAAACGAGAGAGAGGATCACCGGGGAACAACAGTCAGAGATAGCATGACAGATCCACTGGCCCCGCTGACATGCTGTTGATGGTGCATCAAACCCCTATCTATGGAAAGCCAGCACAGCATGAGGACACAAATATCTTATCTCTTCTTGCATAAGGTACAATCAAGCATTAATCTGTTGGCAAGAGAGGAAGTGAGGTGCTCTATTCTACCACTCCGCCATGGGTTTTGTTTGGAAGACAGGGAATTGTGATACTGTCAGTCTGCCATGAGGTAACAATAAAACCGCAACGCCTGTGGCATTTAAGGTAACTATGGAGTAGTAAAAATTTTAGTCACCCGAGGCAAATTTGTCTTTGATGGCGCTCGTAGTTATGGATGGGGAGGATGTCACTGTGGATGCTGAAAAAACAGACAGAAAAAACATTAGTTTCCTTGACTTTTTTTTGGATTTAATATCTATAAAATCTAATATGTATAATGCACAGGTTTATAAGGCAAAAGCATAATTTCATATTTTGGAAAATATTTTTTCCGGGACATACTGACTCCTTATCTTTGCCATACGAGTCCACGCTTAATTACTTCTCATTAAATTCCAGGTGCACTCCAATGTTTAACTCCATTTTTAATTGAATTTCTGAATATTTCAGTGGAATGACTCTCTTAGGAAATTTAGGCTGACACTTTTTAAAGCATATCAGCGCTCTCTCTGTTGCTCTCACTCTAGTTCCCTGCCTTTCCCCAGTACTGTAAAAACGCAGCAGAAATACCCCTCTGTATATCTCAACAAGGACAGGGAGTTTAACATTTTCTAATTACCTCATAATTAGTTTTAAAGGGAGGAAGCTTTACTGTAAGCCTTTGCTATTGATGTGAGGGGATGTTATAGCCTACTGGAGTGCTCGTGGTTTATCTACCAGCCAAAGTCAAAGGCTCCACTGACTGGGTGTTCTAACATGTGATGGAGAGGGAGCAGATTGTTACCTGGAGTGAGGGTGGTCTTTGTTTGGGGTTTTGTTGTCCCCTCTGTGGCAGCTAAAGGGACAGAAACAAACAAGTCACATCGGGTTGAATTGAAATTATGGGTGTCATATATGCAGCACTAACAGCACGCCAGACTACCTGCTGGAGCCTTAGTTTCTGATGTGGTGGTGCTGACATTGACTGGGTTGCTGGTGTTAATGAGCTGCTGCCTTGTGGTTGGTTCAGTAGCGAGGGTTTCCGGGGAGGAGTCAACCTTTCTGGTGACTCTTTTTACCACTGTCTTTCCTGTTGCATCAAGAAAGCAACTGAAGTAAATTAAACTGAGAAACACCTGTTTTTTGTCTTCAGATAGATATATAGATAGATAGATAGATAGATAGATAGATAGATAGATAGATAGATAGATAATGTCTGAAATAGCCTGGAGACTGCAGACACAGCAAAGTAGCATTTCTCACGATAGCCACAAGTACTGTACCAGTGGGAGTCGGAGCAGTGGGCATTGTTGTCGCTGTTGTATTGCTGCTCACAGACTCCATTTGATCTGCGGGTGTGGAAGTTTGAGCCCTCGACACTACAGGGGAAAAACCAAAGGACACATTTTAATCGCCAAAAACACAAGTCAGATGAAGCCTCACAGCAAGGCCTCAATACAGTAAACTTTACAGGAGGAACAAAGCGCAGTGTTGTTTACCCCAGCGACTTTCTCTCAGACAATGCTGTGATGTATTCCTGGCAGTGGCCAGACTTCAGAATGTGTCTGGCCATGCAGGGGAGAGCGAGGCCTGCAGATACACTGAGAGTGTGTCACAGTAATAGTCCTGTGAGTGGGGCAGTGCAGCACAGTTACAAAGAAGTGGCTCTCACAAAACCTCTGGCCACAACAGAGCTGGATTGTTGTGTGAGAGCCCGGGACAGTGAGGCCGTTGTCTGTTTACTCACTCAGCACCTTCCAATTAGTGCTGAAGCTCTACAAAACCTTCACTTTCTTTGGCTAATGCTGTGATTCCAGATATTTTAATGAACCCAGACTTGACATGGGGTGCAATGATTTACAGCTGGCTCTAATTTATGATGTGTTGGATACATTGTGTGTGGATGGAAACTTTAATTTTGAATAGTAAACTAGGGCTGGGAAATATATCTTTATCTATGCCTTATAGAGAACCTTTTATATTTCAGTCATCTGTTTGGACATGTTTAGTGTGAGCTTATACCCAGTCTGGACTAAGATGACATTGGACCTTCAGTCTTCCAAGCCCAAATTAGGATCATAATGTATATTCAATACTCTGATAAGTTATTACATTCTCTTACTCTTGAATATTCGTGACAAGACTTTATGTAAATTATCAAACATTTAAAGGGGAACTTCCCTTATTTTACATGTTGGCATCAGCTTACTCATAACGAGGAGTGCTACTCTGAGACAGTAATCTTGATGATCTCATTCATATGGGCATTTTCCCGGCAGGTAGGTGTAAGATCCGCTTATGCACAAATATATATTTGGTAAAAATGTCTGTGTTGAGATAACATTTTATATAGTTTCTGATATTACTGAAGTTTACACACACTTTCTGTGTATTTTGCACAGTGTGTAGTAGTGGACCATGCTAAGGTTATGTTTATATTTACTATTATTTCTGTGTTAGAATACAGGCATAACTTAACTTTAGTGCACATGACAAAAAGCCACTGTTGGAACGTCATGCTTGAAACACCACAGGAGATCATTTCTACATGTGGCCATCTAACTGTATAACTCCCCCTTCTGTAGGGAGGGGAGCTAACACGAGGATACTGACAGCACATTAGGTGTCGCACCTACATTAGGCGCACTATTACTTCAGATGATGCATATTACTGCTCATATCTTGTGCAATGTTTTTTACAACATCATGCACAATATTATTCCTCAATATCATGATTCATGATCACTTGACAACGTAGTGCAATATCATTTTCTCAGCCATATGCAATATCACTGCTCGTTGTTATATGAGAGTCATTGATTAGCAGGAGCAGTATATTTTTCCACCATTTTATTTCAATTTAGTAACTCATGTATTTATCATACTCCTATTGTTACTCTATTGGGCACTGTTTTTTGCTTTTGCTCCTAAGTAACACTTCTATCTGTATATCTATATATTTAGCCAGATATTTAACACTCTACTGTTATAAAACTGGGCCCAGTGGGTGACCCTGACCCGTGGATCCCACTGGTTGTTACTGGTTGTGAACTGTTAAAATTGTGGTTGTTGTACTTAATGTTACTGTTATTTGAAATATTCTCTGGCACAAGAATTTCCTCTGGGATAAATGTTGAATTGAATTGAAGATGAGGTAAAGTCTGTGTAGGTTTGGATCATAATACATTTTTGATCATGTTATGCAGCGTTGAAGACCGCAGCAATGTCTAATACTGTGAGAACACACAAGAATAGGACATCACGTTGGTAGTGGACCAGACGATGTGTAATTTTGGAAGTTCTTTTTTTGTTTTCTTATTTGTACTCTCAAATAAACCTTGTTCAAGTTTTTCCCTGCTTCATGTGACTACTCTGGATCTTCACAAAAGAACTGTAACATGAGTCAAAACTGAGACACCTTGCAGGCTAATAGGTCCAAAAACTTGGATATGTTAAAACAAGCCACTATAGTACAGTCTACAGGGCTTACTGGGGTGGAAATAATCAAATATCTTCATCACCATCGTCACATCTGCATCACTTTTGACATTTTTTTAAAAAAAATCTGTCTCTTATAAATCTCCCAATTTTATGTAGTGGACATACTAAACCACTGGTGTACCCCTTTAAATGACAGATTAGCAAGCTGCAGCTTAAAGCAACACAATACTGAATGAAGAAATAACACACTCTTCCTCCTACAAACAATATGTTGAACTCATGAGCACTAAAACAAACCCTTGCCCAATTTAATACACTCAGAGGCTTTGCTGCTGCTGTCTTACTTCCTCTGATTGGACCAGTAGGTTGTTTTTACTACTGTTAGCAAACTTTTTACAGATATTACTGTATCAGTGCCATTAATCTGTCAGTTTGTGAATTTATGACACTTTAATCATTTACATTTTAGCGTTGCATTATCCTGTTGTTGTGATCTGTATCCAAAGTGGCTGCTGTCACTTTAAACCAAGGATGTCAAACTCATTTTAGTTCATGGGCCACATACACTGTTCAATTTCAAGTGGGCCAAAAACTATTGCATAATAACCCATGAATAAAAACACCTTGAACTTTCCCCTTTCTTTTAGTGCAAAGAATTACAAGTACATTCTGAAAAAGTTCATCCATTTACAACACAGATGATGAACAGTCTGAGAAGTTTGAGGAAAAATAAGTGCAATTTCAACATCAGATTTTCCACATTTGGTCAGTCCATTAGTCACTGTGCATTTTCCGTTTTTTAGCAATCGAGATTCCGCAATATTGTTCTGAGACTGAACTCCAATGCAGGGTCTTCTGTACTGAAGCTGCTGATTGACAATATTATGCACAATTTTCAATACGTTTAACTATGACCAGAATAAGTATTCACTGTTTTTCAGAAAACTGTATTCTGGTTAGGGTGGGAAAGCCTCAGACGGAGCATTTTTAATGAAGTACACTAGTCACTGCTTAGCTTGCTCCTGAAACCTGTTACCTCTTAGCCTGGTCATCTACCGAGCCAGATTGGACCTTTTAGTCTGCAGCCTGTATGTTTAACACCCCTGCTTTAAACTGAAGTCACACGTGTGTTTCAGTGAGCTGATTAAGTGCAGGCAGGATTTTTTGCACTCACCTTTTAACATGACAAACAGGAGAAAGGTCAAGGAAGTTAAATAAATCTGAAAGAAAAGGAAAAACATTATGGAGAGAGGATGTGAAAACAAGATGCACCTTAAAGGTCCAGCATGTAACATTTAGAGGGATTTAGTGGCATCATGTAGATTTCTTCAAGTGTTCATTGTTTAGGAGGTTTTTACCGGGAGCTAAATTATCCACAGGGGTCTCCTCCTCTCCAAAACAAACGACCAGGTCATTAAAACCAGTAAAAAATTCAGTGTTTCTCCTACGCTGTTAGGCACATCACAGACAGGCTAGCCCAGCCCCGGCTAATGTGTGCCCACCATTTTTCTGACTCAGACATTCAGGAAGTTTTTACCGGAAGCCCAATTATCCGCAGAGGTCTCTTCTTCTCCAAAACAAATGGACTCAGTGATTTAAACCAGTAAAAATACTAAATAAAGCAGTTTCTCGTCACGACGCAACTGCTAACTACGGTCGTTGACGTGAAAATTTGAATGGCCCTATCTAGAGCCAGTGTTTGTTTTGTCCGTTCTGGGCTACTGTAGAAACATGGCGGTGCAAAATGGCGGACGCCATTGACAAGGACCCGCTCCTTGTAGATATAAACAACTTATTCTAAGGTAACGAAAACACAACAATTCTTATTTTCAGGTGATTATACACTAAAGAAAACATAGTTGTTATATTAGATTTCATAAGTGCCAATATATCCCCCTAAATTGTACACACTGGACCAGGGCTGTTTCAAGACACTCTGGGGGCCCTAGGCAAGAGGCACCAGCTACCCTCCTCCACTGACAAGTAAAGAACAGTCCCTTCATAAGTAAAGAACAGTCCCTAAAGTGCGCTGAGGTTTGTGGGCCGTTACCTGCCACAAAGAGAGAAATGTGAACGGCTTGTTTCTCCTCTGACACGTCACATACCCGTGTGCCGCCACGGCTCGGCTGTCCAGATATTTCTGGGCAGTCATGAAATCAACAAAGAGGAAATTATTGGACCTGGACCCGGGCTTCTCTGTCACCGGTAAGCCCTTATCTTGTGCCGTATTTGACAAGAATATGGCGCCTGTGACCCCCGTTCAACCCACAACCGGCAGGATTCGCTTGTACTTGCACAGCGTGCTCCTGAATGATTTGTTATATTGATATTGAGTGCCAGGTGGCCAGCGTGTGCCATTATTGGACGCCGCATGGACACTCACCCTCTTGCGATTGGACTTTGAACTTATCCCACAGTAGTGGTACCGTGAGGTAACGTACTACGGTACTGCAACAATGTTAGCGTGGGTGGCAACCAATCATGCGGGACATGGTCTCAATTTGCGTGACGCGTGAAAAGAGACAGAAATGCTGTGCAGTCCCGCACAATGCGGACATCTGGTCACCCTAGCAGCAAGTCAGCTAGTAGGGGGCCCCATTAGGGAGGTCTCCCAACGTGTCGTCGTTGCAGTGTCTAAGGGGGTTTCAAGTTGTGTCATTGATTACGGACCAAATGTCAGCAGTCACTGGGAGGCCCCCTCTAGCCACTCGCAAGCAGCAGCTAGTAGGGGGCCCCATTAGGGGGGATTCCAACGTGTTGTTGTTGCAGTGTCTATAGGGGTTCCATCATATTGTCATTGATATGGACCAATGTCAGCCGTCTCTGGGGGCTCCCCTTCCAGCTCGGGGCCCTAGGCAATTGCCTAGTTTGCCTGTCTGGTTGCGACGGCCCTGCACTGGACCTTAAACTAGTATCTCAACAAACAATATTTCCACTTTGGTAGTTTTAACACAACCTGGATATAAGATTGAAATGACTCAACCACTTTATCTAACATCTGCAAAGTAACCCGGAGCCCCTCAGATATTATAGTTAAATGAAGACAGGTCATATAAACACAGACCCCGGATCTGGTGCACTGGATTGGAGCAGATACACAGCATCCAGACAAAATGTCTGCTCATTAGCCCACAGAAAAACAATGTTAATTAAGCTATTGTCTCTTTAGCCATGGCTATGATGTTGTTTCACCAGGGCACCAGTACAAGGTGAACATGCACTGAATTTTAAATCAAAGGATTAAAGAGAGAGCGCATTCACTCTGGAACATTTTGTACAGTGCAGATCTACCAGGCAGGAAGTTGTTCTCATTGAGGTTTAGCACCACATGGCCTCTTCTCCTTCCTCCTAAAGCACACAGGCAACATCTCCCACACTCCTCACGAAGCATGACAAAAAACAGATTCGTACTTTGAATGTCAAATTTTAGAAGATAACACATATCATAACCACGATTTTTCTATTCATTTGTCAAAAAAAGAGTGACCGAGGCTGCACATTGTGTATGCAATCCTCCCACACATGTCTGTGCTGAACTTTGTGGCAGTATTGATCAAACTTTATCGCATTTTTTAAGTTCGCTGCTGTCACCAATTAAAAAAAAAGACTTTGGAGGATGTGTCAAAACAACTCCTTTTAACATAATGGGAATCCTGTACTGGTGAGCAGCATTCTCTGAATCAGTGGAAAAACATACTCTCTCCTCCCCCTCACAACATATTGCCCCTAGCTTGAAACAAAAACAGTATAGAGAAACAGGAGTAGGCAAAAAGCTGTCCAACATTGCATTATTTTATAGCAATACAGAGAACAGCAGAGGCAGGTAGAGTGACAGATGGAGGTCTAGGCCAGTGGCTCGGTTTGAATCCACCCCTAGCAGAAAATGAATCTCGATCTTTGACCTATCCTGGTGGCAGCTCGTCCTCCGGGCTTCGAACAGTGTGACAGGTGAGCGTCCATGGCCGTCATGGGCTGTGACAGCTGAGATTAGCAGGTCATGCCAATCTTCATTTCACTCCAGAGCATATGTCAAGATGAGGCCTGTTTCCCCTGGGCTGTACAGGCGTCTTTCCCTTCCCCTAGCCTGACCTGCCTGCCTGTTTGTCACATCTAGCACTCTCACTCACTCTCCGTCTGTCTGTTCATCCGTTTGTCTGTCATCCTCCATCAATCTCCCTTCAGTACGCCTCGCCAAAAACGCCCCTCAGCCCTCTGATATTTAGTCATCCATCCAGGCTATTATGCTTACCTTAGTATCCATCCTGCGAGGTGCCCGGGTCCAGAGATTCATCCGCATCCTCATCATCCACGGTGCTTTCCTCTGTGTGTCACTTCTGAAAGGCTGATGGGCTAACTGCTAACCAACCACACCCATGTACTCAACCATCACTACTTCCTCATCCAATTGTCTGAACTCTGCTTCAGTCTTTCAGTCTCTCTCGCTCACCCACTCTTTCTCATGACATGGCCTCCTCCTTCTTGTTCTTTGGCTTCCAGTCTTTCACTCTCAGTCACTCCACTGTGATCTCTGTCTGCAGTTCAGCCGTCTCTCAGCGCTGCAGCTTGTCTACTTCTCATTTCCCTACAGTATACTGTCTTTTATTATACCTGTGTGTTTGCCTGTCTGTCATCCTGTCTAGCTCACTGTCTTTTTTCTCCTGTGTTTAAACAATCTTTTCTGTCCACGGGTCCATCTGTCATCTGCGTCCATGTTGCTGTCTCCCAAACAAGAAATGAATGACCTTGCTGTAATGAGAAACTGATGATAAAGTCAAAAATGCTGCACATATTGGTGGAATCTTTAATCATGGCTTCCTTTTCATGGTGAAGAGTTTTGTTAAATATCCTCCTTTTAACTCAGAGACATTGACGATGTTCTGAATATATACTTTACTTTTTCAACAAGCTTTTGAAGAAGCAATTCTGTTTCTTGAGTATATTTCAAAATGTCCTAACATATTGAAAACTTGTTAAAAAGTCTACATCTCTTTTGTAGACACACCTACTCCATTACATAATGCGTGGGTTTTTGTCAGAGTTTTCAACTATTTCCTCAAGGCTGCAGGGATAGCTGTGTGTGATTGTGACCCAACAGCATTACCCAACTGAGAGGCACAAACCTAGACTGTTACAGCAGACAAAGCCTGCAATTCATCCACACTAGCAAAGGACAGTCTTTGTCCAGAGTACCCAGGACTCTTTTGGCTCAGCTTGTGCTCTGTCACATTGCTGTGGTTTCTCTAAAGAAACTCTCAACACTCTCCTTGATGCAGTTTGCATCATGACCCATCCTCCTCAGTACAATATTTTTCTCATGTTTTCAAAATAGAAACAAACAGTGGACTTGCCCATTTTATGCTTCCACCTAATTATATAATAAGATGTATCCTGGCAAGTCATTGGTAACCAATAACAATCAGCTTGTACACAAATATGATAAGGAGAACATCAATCTGATGAAGCAGCTACAAGGAGTTTTCAAGTCTCACTTTCAGTCTCACTTTAATACTGCTGCCTCTATATGACCTACATAAGCAAACATTCAGCAAGAAGATTGAATTTCTGTATGGTTATTCTTAATATCTTTCCTGGGGTCTGATTCCTTGTGAAATCAGACAAAACGATTTACATCACACCAACTGCAAAAGCCTATGTTAACATCTTCCCTGGTAGTGTTTCACACTAGTTTAAAGGAAACAGGAGATTATTATTTTAAGATTATTTTTAAGTTTTTTTAATTGCTGTTATTATAGCACATCTAGAGGGTGACAGGTAAGGTGTGAGAGAAAGGGGCGGTTGATTTGCAGCAGAGGGCCACAGGTTGGAATTAAACTCAGGCTGCTGCAAAGGACTCAACCTATATGGGGCACACACTCTACCAAGTGAGCTAGAGATCTTAAGTGCTATATCGTAGGCAACTGGACTTGAGTTTCTTTCATCTAAGAGGCTTCTTCAGTTCTTGGATGAGAGGTGAAACATCTTCAGGAAACTCAAGCAAGTTCCAGTTGCCTACGATATAGCACTTAAGATAACCATGACCTGGATGACTGAGAATCTTCACCAACAAGTGAGCTACAGGTCGCCCCAGCAGGAGATTTTTCTTGAGAGAAAAAGACACGAATTGACTAAAGAAGAAGAAGAACAACAACAAAAACAAACAAACAAACAAACAAACAAAAGCTAAAAAGGGACAGTGATAGAGCTGGCTGAAACAACAAGTCAGCCTTGGTCGATCATTTAACATCTGGAGAGAACTGTAGGATCTGAAAGAATTTTAAACCAATTTTTAAACTTCCTTAGAGAATGGAATGTAAACAGAATTACTTTCACAGAGCAACCAAATCTGGTCACTGTAGGCTTACATGTAACCTAGGTTTACGAAAAGTACTTTGTTTCAACATCTTCATATTATAGTTTTTAATCTTATATAGCCGCAGATGGATACACTACCACATCCTGCAAACAGCTGTGTTTCAAAAGGAAAAACAGCATTAACAACTAGAAGTGTTTTTTTTTTTTTAATTAATTTTCAAAATAAAATATTTTGAAGACATACAGAACATACAGAATAAACAATCAAAAAGTGCACACTGTAGAGTGCAGACTGCTGCCACGTGGCCGCCAGAGCCGATCACCGCCACTCTAAGAAATACATGCAGCACAGCTGTGCCCAGGTGCATTGTTACTCCTGACGTCCTTACAGTCAAGATGACAGCAAAGAGAACAAAACATGGCTTTTTTTCAATCTTGTATTGTGCCTAATTTTGGTGAATCATAACATATCAGAAATGGAATTAATCTGTAGGTTCCATTTCGAAATGAGACCAAACTGTTTTATAGATGTCAGTATTTCAGTCATCACAATAAAGGCCAAAGTGTGGTCTGCAACAAACTGGGCAAGGCTTTTTGTTTTCAGTGAAGCTGATTTCCATAAAACTTGTGGCTCCTATCAGCCAATTAACAGCATTGAGGAGTCAGCAGTCAGTCATGAATCTACACACAAAATATTAGGCTGATTGGTCCAGTAGTTTGTGAGATTATGTGGACAGACAGATACACGCTCACACACATTTCCAGAAGTATGATCCTCTTCAGGCTTACACCAGGCAGCGATAATAAGTTGCGTCTTTCTTCCAAAACAAACCTTAGCACAAGCCAGATCAAGATCTTTAAGGGTGCTTTCAGACCTGGAGATAATTTGCCTTGGTCTGAATCAGAGTTGGATAATTGCCTACAGTTGGTTTGTGTTCTCACAGCAGCATTTACAAGCGGACGAGATCAAACACCTGCAGCGAAAGCTGCCTTTGATTGGTCAAAATTTCCATGTGGGAAAATTCCTGGAAGTAAACAAAACATTGAAGAAGAGTACACTTGCAAGATAAATGCAACACTTTCTAGTGTCACAATGGAGGGACAACTACACAGGTTGATGTTAGCGCTGGTCATCGTGGACTATATTGCTGTCATTGTTCATTTTAGTTAAACCATACAGTTTGAAAACGAGGTGCGGCTCCAACTAGAAAACAATGTTTTGATGCATTGGATGTGCTGAATGTGCATATTAAGGCAGTACAGGAAGAGGCGCACATCAATAATCCTCCAGGACTGTAACATGCTCATGATTAACCCAAACAATGCGCAATGTGGCTGCAGTTGGTCCGGCTCAAGGTCAGAACATGTTCTCACCACAGAAGAACCACACCAGAGTTTGTTTGTAACCAGACTGAGACCACCTCTTCAAGAAGGTCTCGGTCCAGTTGTTTTGCTGCACATTCGAGTGTGATTGCTGTGTTCACACCTGACACCTTGATTGAACCAAACCAAAACCAAACAGGGCAGGTGTGAAAGCACCCTAAGACATGAGGTGGTGACGCTCATGGGAAGTGCAGTCTTCATTCAAGGAAACAGTACCACTTTTGTCCACAGGGGCTGCCAAAATCAACACAAATGGCATTTCCTTGTAGTCGCTTCAATGCAACACTTCCTTAATAACTAGTTCCTTTTTTTTTTTTTCATTCTTTTTATTAGTCTTGCTGGACATTTTGTTTACCTGCATGATCACACTATATAGTTTGCTTTCTAAATTTCCCATTAAATACAATTTATTTATTTATTATATTATATTATACAGGTTCACATATACAGTATGTGCAGATAAATACACTTTAGACATGGGTACATAAAATGGGGTCCTTCAAAAGCAGTGACCTGTCTATGTAAGTACCGATCTCAGTATATGAGGTGAATTATTAATGCTAAAATGTAAACATTCATAAAATGTTTTTGTACAGTATATCCTATTAGACTCTGAATTAATAATAACATAATGTTTTTCTCTTTTTTGTCCTTTTGTCATCTGTTTATCCCGGTATTTGGGTGGGAGTAGGTGTGCATTTAAATGAGTGAGATACAGGGGGGATGTGTGGATTTAAATGTGCTTACATATAAAAAACAAATACACCCAGGTTTAAATGAGACTTGAAAAAGAAAGATATTTTTCTTTTGTTGAATATACTGTATACCTTTGGGGAAAAATACCAGGAGAGTAATGCTTGTCTGGATGTGAATTTTGTTTAATGGAGCCTACACTATTTCAAATAGAGACAAATGGGGACTGTGAGAGTGCAATGTTTTAACAATGGAAAAACTCAGCTTCATGTTGTTTTATATGCGATCTCTCTGGGCTCAATAAGCACGTCTGCTTTTCTGTGGTATAGCTTTATTTTGTCTCATCTTCCTGGTACGGTGTACACACTGTGGCCAGTCATCAAACTCATCTATAATTAAAGATGCTATTTCAGTTTCAATATGCTTTCAGATCTTCCTTTATCAAGATTATCAATCAATTATTTTCACTTCCTGGTTATCTTTCATGGACCACTGTTATATTTATTCAGTTGTATTCTTTCATCCACATTGGAGGGCAAATTACATCCTCATTACTGACAACAGGAGAGCAGAGCCACAAAGTGAGTCGTAATAACTGCCAGTAAAATCATGTTCTAATTTGTAAAACCTGTGGTTGCTTTTGATTTGATTTCTATTTAGTTCAAATTGAAAAATCTGAATAATGAGAGCAATGACAGGGTTTGCGGAAATCGGAGTTAAATTTGAGTTAGCTCCCCACTGGTAGCACAACCTGTTAAAGTGATAAAGGAGTATTATTCAATCTCCTGTTTGTTTTCCACAAAAACATTCAGGAGAGGGGTAAAAAGGACGCGGAAACACTGCCAGAGCTGAGGTAATTAAAGTCTCTTATTTGTTTCTCTTTTGACTTTAATTGTGCACTCGTGCAGCCTGAATGTTGGAGCTCCCAAGAGATTCTTTTGAACGCATCATATCAAAACGTTCACGAGGCAAATGAGGAAAAATAGAAGTTGACGTACAGTATTGAGCTGTCAAGCCTTCAGTTTAGCAGATTACTGCTCCTGCCTGAGCCGAAATGATGCATCTTGAACAGGCTTTGGTATGAACACAGCAGTCATCTTGACAGGAACTTAAACAAT